CTATGAGCACGCCTTGGTCTTGCATTGCTTTGTAGAGGTAAGCTACATCATCGGGTGCATACCTATTTCCTTTGTGAAGCTTGTAGGCAGCTGTAATGTGTTGCAGTTCTTGTTGAAAGTGGGTGTGTCCATATCTTGGTTATACTTATTGATTTCTTCGTTTTTTCCAGCAATGAGCCATGATTTTTTGGGTGCAACGAAGCTTTGGGAAGACTTAACCACACGAGTCTGCAAAAGTGCCAGCATGGGCTCGCTTGGAGGCGCCATCCTGATCACATTGAGTGCGTCAATCCATGCCTGTTTATTGGGATTCTGTCGGTGATTTGTTCCTAGCTGAATTTCTTGAAACATGTGCCATGTGGCCACACCTATATGGCTGGTGTATGCATGCATCTTCGTCACAGTTTCAGTCACACACGGTGGCCAGCTGGTGCTTGTCACCACCAAGCAGTATTAGTTTTCCCGCAAAAGGAAGCGTGGTGGTTACGTTAGGGCAAGCATCCAGGCAGCGTTGGTGCAGCTGCTGCAGGAAGGCGGCCTTGGCCATGCTGATTTCATCTAGACAAATGACATCAGCCATGGCCAAAAACATGAGCATGTATCGGTTGGTCAGGGGTATCCATTGACTGCCCTGAAAGCCAAACGCGAAATGTGCTGTCATTGCTCCCTTGCCCAGGAATTTTGCAGCTTTTCCCGTGGTTGCACAAACAATCACACACTTGCCCATGGCTGCAGCTTAAGCTGCATAAGCAAAGCGCTTTGCTTATGAATGCATGCATGACATGTGTTTTGCCGTGTCCTCCTGGCCCTTGGATACGCCACAGGCGCTGTGATGGTGTTCAACGTTGTTGTCATCGTTGGCAGCAACAAGAGCATCCAGGATGGAAAGGACTTTTGCTTGGTCTCTGTCGCGGCTGCACTCATCAATCCTGCACTGAAAGAACGTCGGTTGTTTCGGTAGGGGTGTATTGTCGATTGATGCTGTCCTTGAAAAAGTTATTGAGTCGCTCAGTATCATGGGAACTAACAACATCCACTGTTACTGCGTGTTTGCATTGCCAGTTCTCGTTCACGCGCGATTGGCTGTTCGCTAGCTATGAAGTCCAGGTTGCTGTCGCGCATGTTTCCTTCCCAGTCGTATTTAGGATGTTGCATGTGAGCCGCAAGGTCAACATCCGTTGAGAACAAGTAAGCGGCTTCAATCCAGGTTTTGGTGTAGTTGTTGTAGGGTTGGCACGGGTACTATACTAGAAAAGAGTACTATACTATAATAGTACTATGCATAGTACTATTTACTATGCAGGGCTCTAAACTGGTACTAGTTTACGACGCTCGTACAGCGTTCGTACATAGTAAAATAGTATAGTAAAAATAGTACTAGATAGTACTAGATTTGGGTTTGGATAGTGTCCAGTACTAGTTGGACCAAGTCGAGATCTGCAGTCAAGCTGTATTTTGAAGGGCTATAGCCGCGTCTTCGAGCTGTGCTACGTAGTTATTGATGAATAATGTCAAAGGAATCCAGTATAAAGAATGAGAAGGCGATCAGAGGCTTGCATCCTGGTCCAGACGTCCCCCCTGAGGTTCTCCGTTCTCGGAACGAGCTTTTTAACAAGCTTCGTAACCAGAAGAAGAACGCCAAGACGGGTAGTCTTTGGGACAACTTCGATGTGGAGTGGTGGGGTGGTGTACCAAAGCTAGTCTGCCTGTTCTGCGATGAGCCGCTCAGCGCAGTGAACCCATCCTTTACCAACGCGCACCACATCAAGCAAGGTGCTTGCAAGGCTATCAAACAGCGTGCAGCGTCACTCAGCCAGCAACAGCAACAGAGTGGAACCAGCTCTGCTGCGGCGGGCCCCAGCACGGCGGATTAGCAGGCCCTCTCCAAGCGCCGGCGCGGCATTGATGGCCAGACCCTCCTCCCAGTGATTCCCGCGACTCTCGCGGGGCAAGTCGTGGAGGAGCTTGGCATGTTCTTCTACAGGAACAACGTGCCTATTCACCTGATCGAGAAGCCCGAGTTGCGGAACCTATTCGGGCTGCTGGGCGTCACCCTGCCAAGCGCAACTGGTCGGCATGGGGCCTCGTCTACACGAAGGCGCGCAATCGGCTGGCCATTGAGCGGGCGGAGACGCTGGGTCTTCTATCTGTGATTATGTCTTTATGTGCCATAACACGCCTTGAGACATGGGGTTTGGGGTCCACCTACCGGGCACTGAACTAACAAAAAGTGATCTGGATGACCACAGCGATCTGCTTTCTCATGTCTAAGTAGATATTTAGAAAGAACGAAAGAAGACCTTTCCAACGGTGTAATTTTCAGGTACAACGGTTGGTCGTACACCCCCCTTCTACAGGGAGCGTGTACCTGCCTAGTAATAGTATCATAGTACTATATTACTATATATAGTACTATTTCTTACTATACTATACTATACTATTTGGGAAAATAAATATAGTATTTTTGCCATTTTGTGGGACATTATCGCATCATCGTTACTGTGAAAAGGCATTTTTTGGAGCAGTTCCGAGTAATAGAAAGATGCGCCATGTTGTGGGCCATGTTGTGGGCCATACCTATCTCTAGCAGTGGTGGAGATGTCACACGATATGGGCGTCTGGCTGAGTGCTTGTTTGAGCTTGAGCTGGTACATTTCTAGGATCCAAGCCGGGTCCATTGTAAATTGTGTGAGCCATTGACCATCGGTAGTCAGGTGTGCGGTCCGAACCCAGGGGCTGGGTCGAGCAACAAGTGGATTGGCGAGCCTTGGGAAAGACGTTGGCTGCAAAATACGGAGACAAGGCCACGTCACTCAGAGGCACGCTCGAGTCCAACGCGGCCTCAGATCCAGGAGCGACAGAGGCATTACGAATCGAAGAGTTTTTGGGCTCCGAGGACGGCCGTCAACGTGTGCCCGGGTGCACCACCCAGGGGTGGTCGGGGGGACGCGGAGACGAGAGGGAGAGAGTTGGAGATACGAAATGGGGAGAGTTTACGGTGGGAGCAGGAGTAAGGCGAGGCAGAGAGGGGGGCGCGCGGAGCGCGGGTGGCCGGGGGTGTTTTAGGTTGGCAGGGGGATGGAGGGTGGGTCGCCATGCGTGGTGCGTGGGGCTCGCTTAGGCTGAGAGCATTACAAAGGTTGTAAGTGAGCCCTTCGTATCATACGGATGCTCGCCCCAACTAATCCGGTAATTACGGTGGCGGGCTCTTTGACTTCAGAAATGCCAAATACAGAAGTACGGAGGGCCCTATGCCAACCCCGGATATCACACCAGTACGAGACAGTCCGAGTTTGGTCTTTCCAGCACAATGCAGATTCAGACAACAGATACAAACTAAGCTTTATTAAGACAGGTTACAGAAAATAGACGACTAGAAAGACTAGAGAAAGTCGATGTCGCCCTCCCTCCCCACCCTTGTGAGACAGGACCAAACATGCACAGACTTATCACTCATCATCACTCTCCGAAACCACCAGCCCCGTCCCCCGTCCCCGAGGCGGGTGAGATGCCTAGTAGGAGCCAGATAGCGGTGCAGGGTACCCAGAGAGCGTATGTGTGCGGAGCACATGAGATCCTCATCGGAGACCCCCTGAGACTGGGCATGCTGCAAAGCACCCCGACGAAAACTGTGCACCATCTCTCCACTGTATAGCCCAGCATCGGTAAGATGAGTGACGAGGCGATATTCCAGGGCCTCGGTCGTCATCTGCACCTCCCGATATGCGCGGCCACTGCGCTCCGCCAGACAGAAAAGGTATTGGGTGATAGGGGCACCTGCCCCCGTGCAAGTGTTCATGTACACTGCGAGAGCTCGTAGCGTGCAGATGAGGGGATCACGATCTGGATGCAGCATCATCGCAGGAGCACGCTGACCCTTGTACGTCTTGGTATTTAACTCTTCAATGTGTAGTACAGTGTCAGGAGAAACACTCCCGTCGGGCGCTGGTAGGGGTAACGGCCAGCGCTGGTACTCGGTATGACCATGCACCGCATCCCTGAAATCACTTAACAACAGCTTGCCGACATCATGACCTCGCTGATAAGTCCGCCACATTAAAGCAAATAGTGACAAGTCCCGAAGCACCAAACTGCGAGCAAACAAATGCTCTCCGTCGCCGGAGGCAATCCACAGATGGCAGGCCAGGCGACGAAATTTCTCTGCCGTCAAGGGGATGGCGCCTCGCTCCACATAACCGGCGTCACTCAGGTCCCGTCCATAGCATGATGTCGGCAAGCTGTTGTTAAGTGATTTCAGGGATACGGTGCATGGTCGTACCGAATACCAGCGCTGGCCGTTACCCCTACCAGCACCCGACGGGAGTGTTTCTCCCAACACTGTACTACGCATTGAAGAGTTAAATACCAAGACGTACAAGGGTCAGCGTGCTCCTGCGACGATGCTGCATCCAGACCGTGATCCCCTCATCTGCACGCTACGAGTTCTCGCAGTGTACATGAACACTTGCACGGGGGCAGGTGCCCCTATCACCCAATACCTTTTCCGTCCGGCGGAGTGCAGTGGCCGTGCATATCGGGAGGCGCCGATGACGATCGAGGCCCTGGAATATCGCCTCGTCACTCATCTTACCGATGCTGGGCTATACAGTGGAGAGACGGTGCACAGTTTTCGTCAGGGTGCTTTGCAGCATGCCCAGTCTCAGGGGGTCTCCGATGAGGATCTCATGCACTCCGTGCACATACGCTTTCTGGGTACCCTGCACCGCTATCTGGATCCTACTAGGCATCTCGCCCGCCTCCCGGCCAGCGGGACGGGGACGGGGCTGGTGGTTTCGGAGAGTGATGATGAGTGATAAGTCTGTGCGTGTTAAGGCGAGGCGTGCGGTCAGGTGCCGTGCGGTGTGCGTGAAATCGGTAGTCAGTGAAATTGCCTGTGCGAGTGTTGATCATGTGACTTTTTTTCCAGTATCCTTTGTCGTTAGGGAACAGATACGGCTTAGAAGCAGCTTCGACGGATGGTAAAGCTGGGTCAGCGGGATTCAACGAAATATGGGCAGTAGGAACAGCATGACTAGCGACATCTCCCATGGCAGGACTATTACTGCTGGCTGATTTGGTGACCACGTGATTTGTTGTTTCTGCAGCAGGAGGTATGGTGACGGATGGAGCACGGAGGCACAGGTGAAGATTGTATGGAATTGCTGTGGCTGTGGGATGGTGGGCATCGTGGTGGTCGACAACTGCCGGGATAGGAGCGCTAGATGCAGCTGCTTGAATTGCTGGCACATGTTCAGGTGACAGCAGATGCATTCCAGCAGAATCGTCAGCGGTTTCGTGCGACATTTTGTAGGTTCCGTAGTTATTGCTGGTGTTTCTTAAAAGGTTCAACATGGCACTCACTTGGTTTTTGACAGTGTGGCCTAACTCTTTTGCTTTCTTTACTACTGGGCCGAAGTAGCCTGAGTCCAAGCTATGCGCGGATATGACTCCTTCACAACGAGCGTATTCATAGTCTCGGCAAAGCATACCAAACATAATAATCGGTTTCAAGAACGACAAAGACGCCAGTGCTTCATATGGCTGTCACAACAGGAAATGGCGCACGGGTGCTGTTATTCCAGTTAGCCAGTTTTGTCTTGGCGATGTGATGTTTTCGTTGGGACCACAGGCTTTGCAAACGCGCACAGCATGCGACGCAGGCTGCCCATCGCAGGTCTTCGTGGTGGTGACCTTGCGCTGTATCATGTAGCGGTTATGGGGGCACTCCGTGACACCCGGCATGTCATCTATGTGTTGCTCAGTTGGCACTTTCAACCAGCACGTGTGAATTAACAACCATTTGCTACTGCTTGTTAAGTTGCCCAAGTAAACAGCTGAGCACGCAGGGCACATGAGCGCGTTGTCTAGGCACTGTTGCATGTGAGTTGCCAACTTATTTTTTAGGTTTACATAGATATTAATGTCCTGGTCAGGTATTGGCCACTTCCATCCCCACTCACCTTGATCTGTTTGATGTGCGGGTGGCAGCGGCGCTGTAGTAGTTGTTGTTGAGGTTGATGGTGGCGCAGGCAGCATATGCCCAGCAGCAGTTGTGGGCATGAGCTGTGATGGACTTGCCATTCCAGAAAGAGTACCTGGCGCCGCCAGCGTTTGTAGCAGTTGTGGCTGCAGTGTTGCGAGGGCACTGCTAATGAACGCGAGCTGCACAGCATTAAAAAAAAGGCAGAACAAGGGTAATGCTGAATTGGTGGATTTCTGCTATAGTCATAAAAGAATGTTCTTGTGTAGAATGCAATTGCAGTCCTATCTTTTGTCACAATAAGCATTTGTGCGATAATTGCATGATTGCTTATTTAAAAGCTAGGATGAACAGAGTGAATTGGCCATCCATTTGGTATTGTTCTGCAAAGTAATCCTTGGAATGTTCTAAATATGAGTGAATAATCAGTTACAGGCGTACCGGGTTAATGCCAGAGCTTACCAGCTGAGCGAAGTATTCCAGCGCAGCTTGTGGTGGTGGTGGTGGTGGAATCGCTCCGGAAGGTGGTGTGGAAGTGTCAGCTGCGCATTTACTGGTGTTAACTGCTGTTGGTTGTTGGCGTTTGGTAAGGGTAGGAATTGCGGATGCAAAGCGCCGACAGGTGCTGGCTGCATAAGCCATCCAGTTTGAGCTGGCACGGCATTAGATGACAACAGCAGGTCATGTTGCTGCGTCTCATCGAAGGGTGAAGCAGCTGCACCAGCGATAGTTGGTGGATGCTGGTTTTGTACTGCTGATAGTGGTGCGGTAGTTGTCGTGAACGGTTGGACCACTTGTTGCATTGGCTGTGGGATCGTCGCCGCTGCAGAAGTGTGTTGCTGTGTTGATGGTGTGGATATGCCAGCGCTAGCAGTAGTGTCTACAGCCAGCAAATCAGGATACATTTCGACCGTAAACTCGTCGACACGCCTGCGTTTCCGCTGCTGGTTCTCATTGGTCGCAGATGAACCTGTTTGACGATGTCATCAGTAAGAGGGGTTTATTGCAGGTATTAAAGCATGCCAGGACAAGCGACCAATATCATATTGGTCGTAATAACCATTGCACATGTTCTTTTACATACCGTGCCTTTCGCAGTAAGAATATGTATGAACGGTATCAGACCGTCAATATGTATGAATATAGAAATATGTTGCCGCAGACCGTGCCATGTGCTGAACTGTTCTAATTGTCGCTTATGGCTATACGCGAATACAGCGAATACATACGTGATTCAGGTTTCCGCTCCTGAAGGGCGGGTCTTACAATGGGAGAAGTATTGAACCGATATTACTACAACAAACAAGTGCGCGGACGTGTTTGCCACCTCTATCTTGACGATAATTACACACAAAGCACAAATAGCAGAGACCTTGCGAGAGGACTGTGCACGCAGTCATACAGTCCTACCTCTTAGAGGATAAACAGGCAAATGGCGATGTCCTACCTCTTAGAGGATAAACAGGAACATGCAAACCACGCAAGTTTGATGAAATCGCTGCACAGGTGCTTGTGGAGCTGGTGCAGGCCGATGACCAAGGATTGCTCACCGACCTGGCCTTGGCTATTATCACAAACTTACTCGGCACTCATTGGAGCGTCCCTGATATTAGCCGTGATTAGTCTGAGCTGGGAGCCACATAAGCCGCAAACCACTTCAGCATATTTGCATTTGTGATTGGCCATAGCCGGCAGACACGGAAATCACAAATGCGCAGTGTTTACGCGATACAGGCGTGAATCGCGTATGTAGTCGCCTATAAAGATGGGCGAGGTTTTGCGAGCAAGCCATACGCAAGCGTGCACTTCGCCTCGCGCCCGCAATCTATTTTGAATCCAGCCATAACCTGATTGATCCTGGTTTCGGAGGACGAGTTCCTGAAGCATCTTTTTGTAGCTATCGCTGTACGTGCTCTTGAGGAAAGTCTTTTCCGATTGTGATAGGGCTCATATGATCTCATAAGGCATTTTGGTCCCTGGCAAACAGGGATTCCAAGCTCACCAACAGGGGAACAGGCAAACAGCTTTGGGAAACGAGGCAGATTCAGTAAAGGAAGCTGGATTTTATGCATCCTTATTCGGAGCGCCAGAGCGGCTGCACGTTGAGGACCCGTCTTGGGAGCTCTTATTTATGTAACGGTGAAATAATGCCCGCTTGGTCTAGTTCATTGGGGCACAGTCATTCAGTGCCAGAGCCCGGTCGACACCACCTTGCTATCGCGCGGGTAGACCCCCCAAGTTCGTGGAACCGATCGGAGCTGATTGGACCGGATATACATGTACGTTGATAAACCTTCTGATAGGCGGCCAGTAGCGAGAAAATCTTTTCATGGGGAACTATTTCAAGGCTACCCCTCCGCCCCCGCGCCAATCACCATCACTGCACCAACCAGAACCAGTTCGGATGACTCGTACGTTGGCATTCATCCGAACGATGTGGGGCCTCCTCCTGGCAACAGTATTGAATTCAGCTACAGACACCTGATCTCACTCATAATTTCCCTTAAGCACCGTACGTACATCTGTAGGTACGTCCTGTCAATTGCATCATGTCCTACCGCAAACTTTTCCGCAAGCGACAAACCGAAGCATCTATGTCATCTATGTCCGCCAGCAAGACCTAACTCCGCTAGGTCGTGCGGTAGGACTTCTCCTCCGGCGCCCCTCCTCCACAGCCGGTGCGCTGCTACCAATGCTGGTAACCCCCCAGCAGGTTGACCAGCTTGCAACTAGTAAGCGTTTGTAAAGCCAGCATCAACAAGCAGGTGAAAGTATTGTTAAGTGTCGCAACCAGCTTGCATGTTGCAGTGCCGGTACGGTACGTTGCAACCCTTCGCCCTTCGCTGCAAGGCCGCAAACAAAGAACCCCAAGGTTGCAACCCCGACTGGAGTCCCACGGTTGCACGACACCACCCGTATCGCGTATTGCCGTACGAATCACCAAGGAACGGCATAGCTCCGCATCCTCAGGGCCTACAAATACAGCATACAAGCATAGCCGCCCCTGCCGCCCCACCACATTCCCTCTTCCCACAGCAAATGCAAATACGCTCCAAACTCCCACCGAAAAGCTGGAGACGGACAGCCCCTTTACCCCTAATTCATGAAGACTAGTCCACCTAGAGAACGCGGCCCTTGGTGCTGGCCTCGTAAGTCGCGCAACCCGTTGCCAGGTCCCAGTTGGAAATACTGCGCCGGGAAAGCAGGGTCACCGGAGGTTGGTCACACAACGGGCAAAAGCCGGGCTTGCAAAAAGTAGGAGGTACGCCGTTCTTGTAGCTTCTGCTTCAAAACAGCCGCTTAGTTCCACAAACGGGAATTGCAGCAGCCATGGCTATAATGTTCGTAGCGAATGGTGTACCGCATCTTCCCCCTCGCCGTCGTATGCATGAACACCCCCACATGATAGTGGGGTGTGCCGTCCGTATGCTATTCCAAGGCTTGTGCCCATATGCCCACCTGCCGCAGCCGATGCGCACCCAAGCTGCTGCACACCCCATTATCAAAAGCCCCTTCACCTTCTGAGTTTGCACCCGCTCCCCATCTCGAGCCGCAAAGCCGGTGCCGCCGGTCTTAAGCTCAATGACGTCCTTCTCCCGAACCTTCTTCCCCGCGAAGCTCCCCTCGGGTTTGATGCACTTCTCGTACGTCTCCTTCAGTACGACATCTCTGCCCAACAGGGGCCAGGGCAGGACAGGCGTGTGGCGAAATTTTGTGCGGAGGGCGTGTGGCAAAGCGGACGGCTAACCCGAGGCGGCATAGCGGTCAGGCCGACTTAAACCTGCACAGCGGAGCTACCGCATTGTGTTGTGCGGTGCAAGGGCTTTACATGCCAGCTACTACGGTACATAAAAACTACGCATGCAGGGGGGATGCGCCCTCTTCTCGGAGCGCATACGGGCAACTGCCGCCCTCGCGTGCCGCACAGCACGGGCTCAGTATAGGTGGGGATGGGTGCCCGCAGCAACTTCGAAGCAGCTGCCAGCATCTTAGTAGCCACAGCTAGGCAAAGAACTGCTCCGTCCAATCAATCAAGGTGCAGAAAGAACATCGTCATAGAAATACATTTGGTCCCGAGAGCTTCGCGGTCGCATGTGTGCCCATTTAACGAAGAAGAGACTTTTTGCTCCTTTCAGTCACACCACCATCATCGTTAATCATCTTTGCCAACGGCACATCATTATGTCGCCATGTGGGTTGGAAGGAGAACGGTGCCCTCCCCACCCACACACGCAGTTCATTCCTGAGTTCCTGAGTTGCATATGATCCCCCCCACACACACACACAGCGTACCCTCCCCCCGCCCCTCACCCCGTGGTTGCCAGCACCACCAACTTGGAGGAGTTGGTGAAGGTCTCCTTGGTGACGGGGTCCATGTGCTTCCCGGGCTCCCCCTCAGGCACAGGCGTCCAGCGCACCGCCACGAGGTCCTACGCCGAGGGGGGGAACGGGAGCATGAGCACGGGGACCGCATGCAGGCCCGGGCGCAGGACACACGGAAACGTCAAGGAGGGGCCGCGGCGACTTCGGCGCAGACCAGCGGCGGGATTGGCGGGGGGAAAAGGCGACAGCAGCCCGGGGGGTATATCCGGGGAAGAAATATATCGAGCGGGTGAGGGCAAGTCGCTTGAGGGATGCGGGAGTGTCTGTGGCAGACGATTGCCACCGTGGCGGCTAAGGCCATGCGGATTGCGAAAGGCTCTCTTGTTTCCTGCTAGCAAAACACGCACGCCCTTGTTTTGGAGGTGTTGAGATGTAGTTGTTGGGTGTTGGATTGGCTGAGACAGATCGGCTCCGTGTGGCCAGGAGTCCTGATCAGGCCAGCAGAGGTCGCCACGCCTCCCTGGACCCGTGAGTACCGATATTCACCAGAGCGCGGACATCGCATCACGCAGCTGCAGCAGTACGTGGCAAGTTACTACCTTGCAAGCACTGCTGACCACTGGCCACTGACCACTGCTGCTGCTGCTGCTGCTGCTGCTGCTGCTACTCCTGATGCATTTCTGGGACTGAAGAATGTCGGTCAGCCCCAGCCCCCCAATACCTTCATTCGCAGCTTCTTGCCGCTGGCGGGGCACCGTGTATCCGTGTCCGGCTTCTCCACCTTGGCATCCGCCTCGGGAGTCAGGGAAGGCATCCAGAATGCCTGCAGGGTCCGGGGGCGGATGCGCGTGCGTGAGTGTACGTCTGTGTGTATGTGTGTATGTGTAAGTATGTGTGTGAACGGAGAGGCGCTGGGGAAACCGTGACTGACACACCGCCCCCAACACCCTTAACCCAACCTTTGACACGTCCGCCTCACCCGGCCCCAAAGCAGCCCCAACCCCACCTTCAGCTCCTTTGCCCGGTCTTCGTTGTCTTTTATGGCCATGACTGATTTGGCGCCGCCAGCTTGTTTGGGGTTTCGGAGCGCCTCCGCCTCTTTGACGATCGCCGCCTCGAGCCTGACAGACAAAGCCGCGGCAAGGTTTGGTAGCAGGTGCCCAGCAGCGTGTGTTGGGGGGGGGAGGAAGGGGTGAAAAAGCATCAGGAGTGAAATTAACTAGAAAAATAAACCTCTCTGCGCCGGGGAGGAAGTGCGTGGGGATATGTAAGGTACGTCTGGGCCCCCAGCGGGTGAACCTGGTCGGCCAAGACGCCATCACACTCTCACTCGCCGCGCCGGAGCTTTCACCGGACCGAAACCTCTCCCCGTGGCAGGGGGGCGAAGATGTGTCCCGGCGGGTGGCGCGGTGCCGACGGGCCCCGGGAATCCCATAAACCAGCACACTTGAACAAACACACACGCACGCACATACACACGTGCACACAGAGAAAAAGGAAATGTTGTACGGCCGCACAGCCCCGTAAGAATCCGTAGCTTCACCAAGCACGTGACATAACCAGGTGGGTCCGCCCCCGCGTGAGCAGTGAGAACTGGGCTCCCACTGCACTCAAACTACGCCAGCAGCTGTACTACTCGGTACGCTGTACTCCGCTCCTTTGCCGCTATTAGGAATGAAAACGAGCGCCCTGCTTCGTTGCGGCCAGAGGTTGTACTGTACGGCTTATATGGCTTCCTGTTTGGGTGCAAATTGAGAGGTGTGGTTGCGGGTGTTGGCTGCCGGGCGCCTCCCCCTCGGCCCCCCACCGCGGGCACCTCCCCCTAGGCTGTACGCACTTCGCCGCCACGCCCTCGCTGACGCCCAGATGGTTTCGCCGATCGAACGCAATCAAGGCCGCCTCCCGCTCGATCGCCTGCTTCTCCATCTCCTGAAAGGGGGAAGAGCGGCGGCAGTAAGGGAGGTGGCGTGCGGGTATACGGGGGGACGCAGAACCGCTCGGGAGCTGTGTGAATGGCGATCGGCATTTTGATAGGTTAAGTGGGCTGGGCGCAGGCTGGGACCGTCCTCGTACAGAGGCGTACACCGCAGCGCCGGTGTCGCAGACGATGCAACGTAGCGTACCTTTTGCTGCTCCTGCTGCTGCGCCGCCTCGTACGCCTGCAGGTTGCGCTTGATGGCCTTCTTTTGGGCCAGGAGGTTTTCTAAGATAGCCTCCTTGCTGTACAAGTAGCCATCGGGTGTTATCACGGGGTCCTGCGGTTTGGAGGCGGAATAGCAGCATCAACGTTTCGGAACTGAACACTGTAGTGTGCAGGTATAGTCTGATTGTGGCAGGTGTAGTCTGATTGCGAGTGCCAATATCTTTTGCAAGCCAAGGGCGAACTAAGGGTGTTGAGGCGGAGGGCGTAAAGGGTTTCGCGCCTGAAGTATCATCGCGCATGTTAAGCTAGTGACAAAACGTACCTTCGACTCCATTAGAGTTAAGCAGCAGTCGTCATAATTGCCAAGCGAATCCTGCGCCGCAGCATCTACACACTGGTCCGTGGGCCTGCCCCGCAAAAGTGCGTGCATCAGTTGGAGGTGCTCTTATCTCTACGCACCTTTCCAAGACGCTCTTTCACTGTGCCAAAGCCTAATGCCTTACGTTCGGCATATGTCAAGCACTCGGAGCCCATGACACCAGCATTTTTGCTGTGGCGCTGGCCTCCCATTTCTTATCGCGACGGACACCGTAAACTCAATAAAGAATATCAAATGGTAATGTGTCCAACTATTTAGGTGTTTCCCAGGCTTAACAGAAATAGGGACTGTGTAAGGAAGAACTATGATAATGTCAGAAACAGGTACCAAAGCAACGGATATGTGTCAATACCTCAAGTGCAAGAAACAGAAGCAGAAAGCATTGTGTTGCCGTACCCGACCTGTGCCATGACTCGGAAATGCTTACCCTGCTTTGTTGGTAATTGCATGCTTGCTAAGTTCGACTCCTCTTAGCTTCAGCTCTATTATATATGTACCCGTCATTGCGTCTTACTCTGTGCTTGACGCGTCTGAGTTATCGAGACTTTTCTTAATAATTAACTCTTACACTAGTGGTATATAAAACATGTTTAGTGAATCAAATGAACACAATCCGCGTCGTATCTAAGTACCGTTGGCTTTCCAGGGCAGCGTTTTCCATTTCTATATACATTACACAGCCTATATGCGATAACGTAGCTGATGGTGCATAAAGGCTTCAACTGGGGCATCTTGGTTTGCGCTATGGCTTAGCAATACCGCCGGTGCATCGCTGCGTGGAGGAGGGAGGCGAGATGATGGAAGCCGCTACGACAGCAAATGGGCAACATGTTTCAGAAACTGGGGACAACGGAGATTTTACCAGGACGTTGTTGCCCCCGATAGGCGTGCGGGGAAGCCGTCGCTTCGAAGCCCCCCAACCTCCACCGGAAGTTGACAAATTTTCACGGGCCATGGACAAGTGAGTCAGGCCGCGCCGGAGCTGATGGAGAACTCACCTTTGCTTGTTAAACCCAGGGGGAGATTGATCGGATGTCGACGCAAATTTTATGGGAACCCCAAACACTGCAACAAACTAAACCGAACCAAGCCTAGGCGTCCATTAGATAGTACAGTTACACTCCACCGATTCTTTGCTGTCAACTGAAATAACCGTTTCTAACGCGTGGATGTACGGCACGCTTTGACGTGCTGTTATGGATTCTACGGTACTTAAAGAGTCCACTGCCTAGCACCCCCTCCACATGTGTCTTTATTATACCTTTAAAGCGTAGTTTCTTCACTTCAAGTTCAGCTTCAATGCCGTCCCGTAGGACAGACCGTACAGAGCGTGTACACGGAGCGTTCACGACGTGTCCTTGGCAATAATAAAAACGGGCCCTACGGAGCGCAAGAAAGAAGGGTCATCAAGGAAGGCAGGGAACTGCCGCACAGCACCCCCGCACCCGACTGCAGGATAAGGCTTTTACGGAAACCCCCAACCCAGGCACGCTTAATGTCGCAACCTAGGTCTCTTGGTCATCGTTTCCCAAACTGTCGCCACAACCGCGCTCTCGCCCACACACCCCCGCACTCCCCCTCCAGGGTGATGGCTGAGAGGGCTCTCACGGTAGAAGCCCCGGGGGAGGAGAACGCGGCGGGACACATCATAGCCAGGAGGGAGACCCAGATGGCATCTAAGCACGGGATAGCCAAGGTGGGAGTGAGATGGAGGCCAAGGAGAAGCGGGATGTGGAGTGTGAGGGGGGCGAGGCGGGGAGCAGCGGGGTTTGCCGGGGCGGGAAAGCGGGTCGTAATTTGGGGGAATTTGAGGACTGCGCAGGGACGAAACACCGCACCGGGGGATTAGGGGAGCCGGCTAATGGTGCTGGAGGGTTGGGGGTTGGGGTGGGGCTGTGCGTGGTAGTGCAGGGTGTGACATAAGCTTGTGTATCATTTTGGCACCGCCCCGGTCCGCTATCCATGCCGCTTGACTTCGGTTCGCTAGGTTGGCAAGGGCGTGGTGGAGAAGTTCCATGCCGCGCGCCACAACACTGCCATTATGTCAGCTATGGGTCATCCAGGGCTGGAGAAGTTGGTGGCCAAGGAGGAAGAGGAGAAGCGCAAACGGAGAGCCCGAATTAAGGTGGGTGCGTGATGAACTGAAAAGGATGCAAAGCAGCTTTTACTTACTCAGCAAAGAAACATTGCCCAGGTGCGAGAAGGAAAACGGAAAGAAAAGGGAGAGAGAAAATCAACGGGAAAAGGAAGATGTCAGCACGCGCATGCAAAATACTTTCCTTCTATTTCTCTGTAAGGATGCTAAAGAAATTTTTAAGTTGCAGGCTGAACACATGGGACTACTGGGAGTGCGAAGAGGAGCCAAGGTGAGTTTTAATCTTTCGGAAGACAGATGGCGCGGAAGCTGGCGGTGGAAAAACTTTTCCTGGTCGGTGGCCGGATCAACAACAGCAGCAACAGCAACAAACAGCACCACCAGCAAAAGCAGCAACAGCACAGGAAGCATATCGTTGAGACAAATCCGAAGAAGCAACTGGAAGACCGCTCCCACGGCATATACTAAATGCCTTTGAGAATCCAGCAAACCCGACTTTTCTGCGCAAGTGGCAACAGACCATCTCTAAACAACGGCCTATTCTACATGGCTACCTAACGACCTAGAGCCGCCATATTGCCTATCAATCTACCTTTGTCAACCACTTACCAGTCTACCTACCTATGGATGATGGTCTAAATGTGTTTCTAACCATCTGCCTACCTATCTACCCGCCTACCGTCTATCCATCTTCCTGCCTAACAAACTTCTTTTCTTGTTTCGCTTCCCTCTCCCCTTACCCCCCACCGTTCTGCTCCCCAAGCGCAACGCCCTTCCTTCCCCAACCCTTCCCCGCGCACTCCTTCACCTTCTTTCTCCATCCTCTCCACCTCACACCACCACGACAACCTCCACAACCATCACAACCACGGCAACCACCACAACCACTACAAACTGCTTGTCCCTCTCCGTCTCCTCGCACTCGCCTTCTCCCCACCCTCCTCCCCTCTTCCTCCCCAACTCCCCCGCTCTCCTGCGCATTTGGCACCTCCACCTCCCACACCCTCCACGCACCTCCCCCCTCCCCGTTCTCCTGGAGAGACTCCTTTGCTCGTCCATGTGTACGGATGAGTTGGCCTTCACGGGGTAACAGTGTCGTGTTGCTCGCTGAGGGCCCTGTGCCCCCCGCCCCCTTCACGCCTTCAGAGAATTTCTGTAGAAGTTTACATACAGCCCGTCTGTACATGTGTCTTTTAGTCCAGGTTGACGTACATGTCACCCCAGCCACATTCACCCGTCTGCGGTTTCATAGGTGTCATTAATTAAAAGCCGCCAGTATGTATGCATGTATGCATGCACGCACGTGCTACATGTATGTGTATGTGCGCGCTTCTGCGTTTCGTTTGTCTGTCTGCATGTCCGCCTGTTGATGGTGGTGGCGGTGTTGGTGGTGGCGGTTGCGATTTTCCAGGAACTGACGGCGCAGCGGAACAGCGCCAACGGCCGGAACTCCCACTATCGCGGAGGCCACGAGGGGTGAGTATCGAGTGCTAGGTCCCAACACACAAGCACGCACACATACATACATACATACATACATACATACATACATACATACATACGCGCGCACGCGGCGTGTGTGCGTGTGCGTGTATTTGCGCGCATGTGTTTTACCCTACCTACGCCGCGCACGTATGTAAGCGCACACACGCCATCCGGGGGTTTCTGCTGGTCCGGGTCGTTGGAGGTCCCGTGTACCATTCGCACCTGCGGGCCGGGCCTCTCTGACGCTTGCATGTGCATATGGGCCCTGTGGGTTGGTTGGGGGTGTGCGGGCTCACGGCCTTTTCCTTTGCATCTCATCCGAACGGAAGAGGGGTCGTTGCGCGGGGGGGTTCGGAGACCGGGGCCGCGGGAGGAGCTTGTTGCGGCTTGCTGGCCTGGTTGACTGGTACCGCATTCCCGGGTTGGTGGCGGGTGGAGGGGGGAGGGTGGAAGGGGAGGGCGGAACAGGGTGCAGGCCATTCGCATTTCCCCCCCTAATCCCCTCCCTGCCGTCATTCGGGCCACGTCTGAGCTCCCCCCGCCGGACACCCCTCCCCCTGGCGCTCCTCAATGCCGGCCCCCCCTCAGCGAGCACCAGCACCAGCACCAGCTGCATCCCCAGGCCCAGGTCCAGCCCCAGAGCAGTGTCCCCCTCAGCCAACACGGCTCCGAGCTCCCCAACGTCTACGTGGCGCTAGGCCAGTCCGCGCCCTCCTCCAGGAACCCATCCACAACCTTGCTGGGCAGCCTACCGCCAGCGCAGCCGCAGTCGCAGTCACACGCACAGCAGGCAGCAGCGCAAGCAGCGGCGGTGCAAGCACAGGCAGCGGCGCAGCAAACGCAGGTGTCGGCGCAGCAGCCGCAGGCAGCGGCGCGGTCTGGTGGCGCCAGTGCGCGGAGCAACCCAGGTAGGTCGCGGGTCTGTGGGTTTGGGCCCTGGGTGCTGGAGTCCTCAGGAGAGGGGGCGGGTCGTCACCATGGGGCTCATTGGTGGTGGTGGGGGGGGAGACGGCGTTTTGACCGTTGGCGGCCACCACGTGTGGGGTGGTCGACCCTTCGGACAGATAGAACGTGGTGGCAGTGGCGATGGAGATGGAGGGGCAAGGGGGGCCCCGCCAGGTTACCTGCGCGTCGGAGGTCCTGGGTCCACCACCTCCCGGTGGGGCTATGCTGCCGGGGCAGCGAGTGAAGTGTGAGGGTGTGGGGGGGGGGGGTTGCCTCCCGCCTCCTTCAATTTCGGCTCATTCACCTGCCCCGCCCTGCCCTGCCTTTACCTCATCCCCTACCAGCTGGAGGGGGCGGGGGCGGGGGAAAGGAGACGGGGTCGTCACCCAGGGCGGCGCCCCCCCGCACCGGGGTCCCCAGCGGACTTCGACCTCTGGCCGTCAGTACAGGTGGGGTGTGTGTGTGGGGGGGAGATCTCGTCCGCCTCGTCTCGTCCGTCTCGGACTTGGACCAGCATGTGGACCCCCGGGTGGCTCTTGTCCCTCTGCTCTTGCCAACTGCTGATGGAGGTGGTGGAGGTGGTGCTACTGGACAGTGCGGTGCTCACGACTGGCTGCCTGTGTATGGTGGGGATAGACAACCGGTTGATTGGTTGGGCGCGTCGGTTTTATTGGTTATGTTGGTTGCAGGTGGTGCGAGCAGTGAGTGGGAGGGGCAGTCTCACTCCAACAAGGGCTCCAGCACCTCACGGAGGGGGGGTCCCGGTGGGAGGTGGCGGAGGAGGTGAGCTGGGGGAAGGGGAGGAGAGGGGGCTGATGCTGCGTGGGTGCCGGCGTGTAATCGTGGGGGGGGGGTATAACCCACGTGATGATAATGGTTCCCAGAAGGGGGATGAGGGGGGCGTCAGATGGGATTTGTCGCGGCGATTTGTCGCGGAGCGGGACAGACAGAACAGACAGACAGACAGACATGCAAATAGCCAGGTCCGCGGGGAACCATCAGCAGCACCTCCTCTTCTCTCCCGCTCCCCTCATTCCTCCTTTTTATTCTAGTCTTGGCGGTTAGGTAGATAGTTTTTCCGTTATCTTCATGACCACATCCTTGCGAGGACTCCTCCTTCACACGTCGCGACTGGTTGGTTATTTATTGCTTCCTTACTTCAGTGGCGTATCAGTCTATCCTTGCCATAAGCTTCACTCGTTCACGTGGTTCGTCGTCCCTCCTCCGAGCACAACATGATCATCCCCACCCTCGCCGCTTCCTCCCGTCTGTTTTCACTGCACCCGCTTCCCCCGCCTCCCCCTCTCTCTTCCTTCCCGCCACATGCGCAACTTCCTCTATTTGTTAGGTCGGGTTCATTTCCCCCTTTTTGGCCACCTCAGATTTTCACGTTTCTCCCGCCTTCTCTTCCCTCGTCCTCCTCCTCCTCGCCTTCCCCCCTCTGCTCGCCACCCTTCCAGGGCCCAGGCCAACACCGCCAAGTCAGGTCACAGCAGCGAGTCCGTGATCCGAGCCACAAGTCGGGTGGGCCGCGTACTGGCGGAGTTCGGCGGCCACGACGACTGGTGCTCCGTGACCGTACTGCGGCACAGCCTGGCAACCATACTGCAGGTGCTGTCCTGGGAGCTGTGTGTGGGTACGGAGAGGGCTTTTCACAAGGGGGCGCAACGAACGGGGCGGGGGGGGGCCTTGCGGCAAGCGGGGCGAGGCGGTGTGGGTTTGTGTTTCCCAGCGGCGGGTCGTGGGTGTGGGAACCGAACAATAGATGCAGGTCCCGTGATATACCCAGGATACGACAAGTGGGCGGGTTAGTTGAAGAGAAAAGGCCGGCTACGGGTAGCATCCCCAAAAGCCCGTAAAGCGTTTCACTTCCCCGCGTACTTCAGTTGTGCTGTGTCCGTAACGTGGACGACAGATTGGCTAGCTGGCTATTCGGCTCGCGGCTTAAATCGCCGCAATAGACACGTGTATACATTCTATGTGTATCTATGTATGCAAGTATGTATGTATATATGTATGTATGTATGTATGTATATATGCGTGAGCGCAGGCCAACATTCGGGGCTGGTTGGTTCGCCGCAAGTGGCTAGCCAACCCGAATGCGCTGGTGAATGCCACCAAGGCGGTGCTTGAGGTACGGCGGCGGCCGGCCCCATGGGGGAGAGGGCCGACAACTGCCGGCACTGCTGCTACCGGTGTTGCTAGTACTAGGGGAGGGCGGGAAGGGGAGAAGCTCCGAAACCTGAGCTATAGAGCAAGAGGAACGGCCCTCTCCAGTTGTATTCTGAAGGCCCACAACTCCCTGTGCTGGATCAGTGACGACCCCTTCGGGCCTGTTGCAGCTGGACATGTTGATTTGACCTGATATTTCAAAACTTCCGGATGTGGAGCGCGCACCCAGTACTGACACAACAATCCAAATACGAGTTAAACAATACACGGGGCGCACACAGAGGGTGCTGCTGACAGAAGGTATTACTAGACGTAGCCCAGCCACCCCGCCAACCAGCCATCCAACCAGCCAACCACGTGCACCCGCATGCGTATATGCCCCGCAGGCAGAGCGAGCGCAGAAGGAGCGGCGAGCGGCGCTGAAACTCGAGCTGGAGCGGCGGGCGCTGACTCGGAAGCAGAAGGAGAAGGCTGCGAATGTACTGCAGATGCTCTTCCCGCAGGTACGTGTGGGCGTGTGGGTGGGCGGGCTGGGAGGTGTCGGTGTGCGTTCGGGATGGGGTGCGGAGGTGTGTTGGGGGGGACGAGCTAGGGTAGGCAGGCACTCCCTTACCGTACCACGTAACAGGGTGTCGGCCTAAGCGTATCAGTCTGAGACCAAGCGGCGTCGGAGCCCCCGAGGGGGCGACTCTCGAGTGCTGCGCCGCCTGCAACAAGTGCCGGTGAACTCTCCCCTCTCTTCTCTTCTCGCTCTCTCTCTCTCCTTTTTTTCTCCTTCCCTTTTCCTTCTTTCCCTCTCTTTCCTCTCCCGCTTTCTCTCTCTCTTCTTTCTTTTTCTCTCTCCCCCTCTCTCTGTCTCTCTGTCTGTGCGTCAATCTCTCGATCCCAATCTCTCTCATCCTAAGGACGTCCCGTGGCTGCCGCCGACCCCCTTTGAGGATAGAGGGAGGGGACCCCGGTGGGGGGCGCGTGTTGGGCAGCAGTAAGCCCGATGATCAGCCGTGCCTACGGGGTGCTCACTTCATTCGCGCCGCTCGGCGGGGAACAAAACCCGACCCGACCCGACCCGACCCGCAGAAGAGCATGGTGGGCGTCCCCCCTTCGGCAGTACGGCGCGGCAGTAGCGGCGACAATGTGCCACATGGCGGCAACTCCTCCTCAGCTCGAGCCAAGTGGACTCGCCTCAATAAGAACCTTGACCTCGCAACGGAGTGAGTTCCGAGTGTGTTCCTGCTTGCCTGCCTGCGTGTGTGTGTGTGTGTGATGCTATTGAACTGCGGCGCGAGGCAAATGGTGAGGGTGGTACATGATAATATAGTAATATGTTGTGTGCAATGCTGTGCTGTGAGTTGTGTGTAGTGTGTAGTGTGTAGTGTGTAGTGTGTAGTGTGTAGTGTGTAGTGTGTAGTGTGTAGTGTGTAGTGTGTAGTGTGTAGTGTGTAGTGTGTAGTGTGTAGTGTGTAGTGTGTAGTGTGTAGTGTGTTCTGTTCTGTTTTGTTCTGCCGGCCGGAAAGCTGGCGGCAGCGTCGGGCATGTGTTCCCTTCCCAACAAGTGCATTACCTCGTGGAAGCGCGCCCTGTCAGGTTTGAACTCTCGATTGGCCAGCTTGCTGTGCGCATTACAAATGAAGCAAAAAGGGAGTTGTGCGGGTGAACGTTCGCCAGCTGGATGAATTCCAGATCCTTCCGTGCACTTGGCCCCTAACGGTCTCGCCCTCCCCAGCGATCCCCCTTTTCTCCATCCCGAGGTGCCCCCTGTGCGGGAAGACGGGCACAGCTCTCCCACCTCTTCCTCTATGGTTCCGAATCCATCTCCATCTCCAACAAGATTCTGTCTCCCCGAGCCCTTGTTCGTATCTTCTCCCGGGGCCCCCTGTCTCTCTCATTACACGCCCTGTTCTCAGCTTTGTACATGAAATGTGGTATCGTCTCCGGATGTGCTCCAGATCCTGTCCATGTCCATTTCTGCTTTTACTCCTGTCCTTGCTGCTGTCCGGCCAACTCCGCAGGCAGGAGGCCTTCGACCTGGCTGACTCACTGGACGGCAGCGACAGCGAGACGTCGGACCTGGGGCTGGAGGAGATGGCCTTGGTCAAGATGCGCGCGAGGACACCGCCGTGGCAGAAGGTGGGATGAGCCGGGCGGGGGGGGTTTAGCCCCCCGGGCGAGCGGAGCGAGATCCGGCCCCGTGGGTACCCGGGGTTGAAGGAGGAGAAAGAGGAAAAAGAAAAAAGGGGGATGAGAGGACGACCGCTGGATTGTGCGGCCGCTGCGACAGCAGGCTGCTGCAACAGCAGGCCTTCGATGCGGTCTGAGTGGTTGCCACACCTGTGGCATTTTTCGTCTTTCCTTTCCTTTCCTTTCTTTTCCTTTCCGAGCCCTCAGCCTTCACTTGAGCTGTATCTCCTCATGATCTGTATCCCAAGGGTAGCTTCTCCTGCCTTTGAGACTGCGAGAACAAATGTGTTGTTGGGTGCCTAGACAACAACAACATGCGTCTTGCATTGACTGCGGCCGCACGTAAGGTAACCGCACATCTTTTCCCCCTCCCTCCCTTCACACGTCGCGACTGGTTAGTACATGCTTCTTACATGCTTATGGCGTATCTTGGCATCAGCTTCACTCGTTCGTGGTTCGTTTTCCCCCTCCCTCCCCTCTACCACCACCATGAGGAACGCCGCTGCTGTTACCGCGGCTGCGGCTGTTGCTGTTACCGCGGCTGTTGCTGTTGCTGTTGCTGTGTTGGCCATACCGGTGCTGTGCCTTACCCTCCGCCTCTGATTCTGCTCTCAGGCGGAGCAGAGCCAGTGGGAAGGTCAGTGGGCCAAGCTCAACACCAAGACGGGGAGAGGCAATTTGGACGTCGTATGGGACCTTTCCGACACGGCGGCGAGAGTTCAGGTGTGTGGTGGCGGCGTGGGGGAGGGTTACTAAGAGGGGATGCGCCTCGACGGCTGCTTCCAAACGGTTTGTCCCATCGTTCCCGGCGTGAAAAGATTGTGCCGCGTACGACACCTTATACACACGTACTCCGCGTACGACACCTCACACACATGCATATGCGCGCACGCAGGCGGTGCAGCAGCGGCGTGCGGAGCGGACTGCTTCTTCAGCGGACGGCAAGACGTCACGCGCCGGCGATGGCGCCGCAGCTGCCGACTCGCAGCAGTACGACCCGGCCACGCAGCCGCTGCCGGCGGCCGTTGTGAACGAGTTGCTCGTCCACCGATACATTGACAAGTACACGAGATTAGGCCTTATAGATCATTTGCCGTTGCGTACCATGGCCGAGGCTGTAATACAGCAGCAACAACAGCAGCAGCAGCAACAACAACTGCTGCAGCAGCAGCAGCAGCAGCAGCAGCAACAACAACAGCAACAACAGCACTATCTATACCAAAGCCAGCAGGCGACGGTGTTGCCGGGTTTAGCAGGAACCTGATGTGCCAGGGTAGGAAGAAACGGATGAAAATTCGGGTTCGGTTCGCCGTAACCTCAGCATTGCCCTGCTGGGCCTTTCAATGTCAAAGTCCGAATGAAGTTGCTTACTTGGCTGGGCTTTGGTTTAAAACACAATCCTGTATTTTTGGCATATTTGGCTGTGTGCACGGAGCTGTGCTGCTGTACATAGAACATTGTCCTGGTAGCTGCCAGGGTTGTGAGTGCCTGACGCATTTCCATGCGGGGAAACTGTTACTTGACTATCAACGGGGCCGCAAACGGCTTTCCTCCGTCAAGTTGGGGGATATTGCGGCATCTGTACACGTTGTAAGAGCGCTTTTGGCGGCTTTTGTGCGCGTAATGTGCCGCAACATTAATCTTGCGGTGATAATGGACACATCGCATTGCTGGCGGTGTCAAGGTGGTAGTTGGACATAACTGTTGCAGGGCCGTAGTTTGGGGGGATGCAGAAATGTGAGACCAAGAAACTTCCGAGCCGCACGTGAGTCGCACTTTGCTGTGACGCCGCGGTAGCACACAGGTGGCAGGTGTTTAGTCCCGCGTGCTTCTTCAAGTGCGAAGCACCCAAACGTCCAAATGGTGCATTGAAATGCAGCGCGTACAGTGCAGGAAAAGGAACGAAAGCTGATAATGTTTTCCTTTGACGTCAGAACCCCGTAACATCCCGTAACGTGCTAGACGGAGCGTAAGTGGCGTAAAAATGCGAGGTGCCGTGGACGGTATACGATACGTCGCATATTGGGTACGTACGCACGCTTTGCAGCTGGGTGAAGGTCGCCAGTAAGCGCGCAATGCGTAACATCAAGTACGCCACCTGCGATGAGGGGTATTTGCGTCCCTTGGGCTGCTAGCCAATGACAAGCCGAGTCGTGCCGGCGCAAGTGTACCGCAACCCAGCCAGGTACCGCAAACCAATGCCCATAAATTGGACGCGCGCTCTCCCTTTCTCTCTCACCCTCTCTACACAGTTTCTCCCCTCCGATGTCACAGAAATCGTCTGGAGGTCGAGGCACACCGCAAGGACAGACATGGCACATGGCCACGCGACCCGCGCGCGCATCATTGCAACGTACATCATTGCACCGTACACAATCTCACGTGCGGCCTATTAAGCTTGCTGTATTGGTTGTCCCCTCGCTGTAACCGGCCTTGCAGAATCCGCTTGCCTGGTCAGGCAAGCCCCTGAGCAACTTGTTGCGTCAGTTCTGGGGAAGTTCGAAGCAACGCCGGAAACTTCTTCAAGAACTCTTCATACACTCGCACGCACGCTTCGTCCCTATCCCAAGAGTTAGCTTTCCTGCAATCAAAGAGCTGCCATATCACCATTATATTTGTGCTCGCGAGGACTGAACCCGGCTTGGACCACACAGACGGGGCGACAGACAGACGCTGTGGTGCCAGGTCCCCCTCTCCCACACCGTCTAGTCCACGTGCACGCAGGGCACCATAAACAATGTGGCAGCGTCTTGAGGAGAGGGGTGTTCATGGACCCATGTTGGCGGCCCTTAAAGCCAGCTACGAACGTGTTCTCCAACGGGTCAAGGTTAACGGTCGCCTGGGGTCCATCTTTGCCTCTCTGCAGGGCGTGAAGCAGGGGTGTCCCATGAGTCCCAATTTGTTCGGGTTCTTCATTGAGGTTATTGCCGACTACCTTGAAGCGAGGGATGGTATGGACGAATGGTTCAACACACGTGCACACGAATGTCCTGTCATTAATGATCGTCGGTTGCCTCTGTTGTTCTATGCAGACGACCTTACTTTGTTCGCGACCTCGTTGGCACGCCTCCAGTTCTCGCTTAAGCTGCTTATTGAGTTCTGTGCTGCTTTTGGTATGCGCTGCAACGTTCGGAAATGTGAGGCCCTTGTTGTGGCTGCTTCCGATGATGTCGTTAAGAGGGCGTTTGAGGGGGTGAGGCTCATGCTTCCTCTCCGTACTGATGGGTCGCTTTGGCACCCACCCATGGCTGGTAGTTTACTTGTCCCTAGTCCTATTAACTGGTGTGGTCGCGTTAGGTACTTGGGTCTCTATTGGGGCCCTGCGTCCCCGTTTGCGAGTTGTGTTAACGAACTTTTGGAAGCAGGGCGACGGGCTATGTTCGGTCTTAGTAATCGGTTGGATGAGAACAGGGTGTGGGCTCCTGCCGTTCGGCTTCAAGCGTTCGACACCCAGGTCCGTTCAGTTCTCTGTTATGGTGCTGAGGTCTGGGGTCCTGATAGGATTGTCTCCGTCCTGCGGTTAGGTAAAGGTGTTTTACCCGCTGGTAAGTCATATTTTGATTTGGCTTTGGAAGATGGTATGGTTCAGGTCCAGCGCGACTTCTGTTTACGTTGTGCTGGGCTCAAGCAGGTACCTTACAAGCTGTTGTACAGGGAGCTGTCTCAGTTGCCTTTGCAGTACTTTTGGTTACGCCTTGCGTTGTGTTTCTGGAATAAGATAGTCAAGTCCCGTGGGTCGGTCTATCATGACGTGTTAGTATATGATCTCCGTCTGGCTCTTCTGTCTGATCTCAAAGTGGATTGCTGGTCGTCTAAAGTGCTCATCATTTTGCGTTGGTTGGGTCATGAGTGGCCGGCGTGTGACTCCGTTTCTCAGAAGGTAGATGTATACTCGTCTCAGTTGATTCGAGTGGGTGAGGTTCTGGAGAGGTTATCTGCGTTCCTTTTAAGTGACTGGGATCAGTTCAACCAAGGGGGTGATCCGCGTGTGTTCCAAGGTAAAGGGGTTTCGCTTTGCAGGTATCATAACTGGATGGGCTCCCCTTCACCAGCAAGAGAGGGCTCCGATCCCACAGGCTATTTGCGTGTTTATTTGCCGGTCAACCAGTTGCGTATGGTTGCCAAATTCCGTCTTTGTTGTTGGCCTTTGGAGGTCAACAAAGGGCACCATAGGCCGAGAGAGTGCCGTACGTGTCAGGTCTGTACGTCGGGTAAGGTTGAGGATGAATATCATGTGCTTATGGAGTGTGAGGCGTATACTGAGTTGCGTAATAGGTTTCTGATTAACGTTGAAGATACTGATATGCGCAAGGTATTTCTTAATACCAATCCGAGGAAAATCGCTACTTTCCTTACTGAGGTTTTTGATGAGCGTGCTCTGGAGCCTCACGGCTCGTGAGGGCACCCGCCGCGTCGGCGGCGGAAATACTGTAAACACAATAACAATAACAATGGCTTCCAACCTCCCAACGCAACTCCAGTACGAAACCAGTACGGAATCCCGCATCCTGCCGGCCCCAAACGTTGCGCTACATTCACCTCTATTTCACGTGGCCTTAGCACCTCCGGTGCCTGCCTTGACGCCTCCGCGTCTACCCTTCCCCGCGCCAGGCTTAACCGCACGGCCACCACCTCCCCCAGCCCCGTCCAAGCCCCCAATTGCCTGTTGGAAGATCTTCTTCACACCCGAACTCAACGCCAGACCTGGGCCCTCGATTTGCTGCCTCGACGCCCACATAATCGAAGCACCCCCGCCGGGCCCCGGTTCGAGCCCCGCTGCCGCTTTCTGCTTGTCCCGCGGTGCCATCCCCGTCGCTGCCTTGTTGCCGCGGCTCTGGTTCCGGCTCGTGCCCTTTCCATTGCCCTGCCCTGCTTTAGTCGTACTGCCGCTGCCTCCAGGTGTTTTTTCAACATCCCCTTCTGATTCTGCGGCTTTCGGATCCCTTCTGGACTCGCCGCCCCTCGACGGATCGACAGGACATTTCACCTCCACAACCTCCATGTCCTCGGAATCGAGGTCGCCGTCAGGACGCCCCGGCTCGCTGTCAGCACCCGCCCGCACCGCCGGCCCAGTAAGCCGCTGCAGCGTCGCCTGGTCGCCGTGAAATACCGCCGTCACGCGCTTGATGTAATTCGTCTGCCTAATGTGGCTGAACACGTGCACGTACTGGGCCATATCGTGGCGCGCAAGCACCCGGAGTGTGTGCAACGGCGGAGGCGCGCCATCGCCGTCGCCTGCTCCGTTCCGGTCTGATGGTGCCGCTGCGTCCGCGTCCGCGCCAGGACCCGCGGCAGGCCCGACCAAGCTCACGTTCGCGCCTAGGAGCCGGCGAAGCAGCACATCGGAAGCTCTCTGCCGCTCCGCAGAGGTGGCGCCAGCAGGGGTCCTCCTCCTGCCGGCCGCCGCGTGGCCTTTCTGTTTCCTCCCCCTTGCGTCCTCATCCTCATCATCCTCATCATCACCATCGTCGTCGTCGGCCTCGTCATCGCCATCACCACCGCCGCCATCTTCACCATTGCCACCTCGACCAGCCGCATTCGCTTGGACAATGACACCTGGCCGCGGCGCCAGATCAAGTGACACGCCATGCAGGGTTTGGTTAACACACACGCAAACACAAACACACACAGAAACACATGGTAAGCATAAAGCCATGCAGCGCAGGACCGAGTACTACTATGCGATGAATCATCCCTCCATGCTGCGAGACCTGTGGCGAGCCTTGCTCCGTGAAAGGGGGCCGCAAACGGCCCCCACCAACATGCATGTCATATACACGGCCCTCGCACGCTTTGCGACCTCTTCAACACCTCACCCAACACGTGGCACAGCACCGTCACCCCCTCTGGTCCACGCCCACATCCAACTCACCAGGGAACTCCCACAGCCCCGCCAGTAGCCCACCCTGACAGTTGGGGAACGAACATGGGAAGGCACCAAGGACGGGAAGGGACCAAGAGCGTGTTATCATAACAGTCTTAGATATCTTCGTGTTAGGCAGGCAGGCAGGTAGGCTTCCATGCAAAGAACTCGCCCATTACGTATGTGCTCACAGTGGTGCACTACGCGCACTTGCAGCCCTCAAACTCTCCCTCCCCAACACACGCACGTCACAGGCGCAGGTGCACGTCACAGTCCATAATTGAGAATTCCTCGGGCTTATGCTGCATAAGGCGTGTGGGCACTCGTTACACCTCCCGGGGTAACACAACCGAGATGTAACACACACACACACATACACACACACATAAGAGGTCCGATTCAGCAACAGCAACAAGGTAGCAAAGGGTGGAGAGATGACGGCAGAGGAAAGGCGGCCGGCCCCCTGCCAAGTAAGGAATGCTTTCAGTCGGCAACGCAACCTGCAACGCCCCGAAGCATGACGCGCTTCTGCTCTTCTCTGTTCTGCTCTGCATAGCCGAAGCATGTGTTTGTGTTGTTAGGGGATGGGGCCGGGGTATCCTCTGCACTGATGCACCTAGATGTGGACCCCAAGGCCACCTGCGGTCGCACCTGTGGCCGCATCGTCAGCAGGTAGTGCCGGGAACCCCGAGCGACCAGCGCCTCCAAATCACATGGACCTGCCGCGGCTCCTTCTCCCCCTCCCCCTCCTCTGGCTGCCGCCACCTGATGCCCCGTCTCGGACTGCCGCTCCTGATCCGCCGCCGCACTGACGGGAGTCTGCTGGACCGCTCCTGATCGGTCCTTAGTGCCCTCCACCGCATCTCCATCCCGCTGTTGCTGTTGCTTCCGCGCTGCGGCGGCGAGCGCAAAGTCCTGCATCGTCCGTTGACGCTTACGCGGCGGCTGTGTAGGTGCCTTCCCTGCTGTTCCTGCTTCTGTTGCTACTGCTGTTGCGGCTGGCGGAGCTTTGCCGCAGCCGCCAGCCGCGGCCACACCCGCTAGCGGCTGTACCGTGCAGATTACCTCGAGCACCGTCACCGCTACCGCCTCCTCTCGCTTCTCCTTCACCGCCTTGCGCCCCGGGTACTGCCGATGCGTGCCGATGGTGTGATGTGATGTGATGTGATGTGATGAGAGAGGGGCAGCAGCGGACAGACTAATAAGGAAGGGAGATATTTGTCGACCAACAGCGGCAGTGTCAAGCCCCCTGGACGAACCGTCTTTCCCTCTTTCCCTGCCGCCCCCTCCTCCTCCTCCTCAATACCTCAAACAGCCCGTTCTCTGGCGTCCCAAACGCCGTCCCAAACGCACGACACTCGAGGGAAGGGGGAGGATGGAAGGTACTCGCGGCGAGCTTGCGACCATCACAATCGACAGCACCACGATGGCAGGACCCACTCCCCAGTTTCCTTGGCGCAGAACCCCCTTGGGACTGTGGCCACACGGAACGGCACACCCCCCACCCACTCACTCACACGCCTTCCTGCCCCTATACCTGGGTCACGCACGGCGCGCCTTCCTTGTCGGGGTCTCCGCCGGCCGCCAAGTACGCGTCCCAGTCCGCCACCGCCCGGCACACGCCCCGCACGGGGCAGGCAGCGCAGCTGGGGTTGACCGGTCTGCAGACGGTGGCGCCGAGCTCCATAAGTGCCTGCAGCAGCCCGGGGAGGCCGGGAGGCGGACGGACGCATCGACACACCTGGCCCCGTCAACACCCCGTCACCTATACAGTCTCACGCACAGGGAAGACAGGGTAGGCGGAGACGCAGACTACGAGGACGTGGTCCCTTCTTCCGCTTCTGGTTCAACATATCGTGTATGACAACCATGCAGCCCGGAGCCTATCCACGTTTTAAGCTCAGCCTGGCAGCAGCAACAACACCAACACCAAGTACCGCAGGACACAGGAGGAGATGTTCCATGTGTGCGGCAGTCGATCCCGCCAGGCATGTTCGACGAAAAGAAAATCCCCCCAGCTCCGGACTGGACGCTGCAGGATTTATCCGACAACATGTTGAACCATCTCGCGTACGGCACTGCGGCATCCGTGTCTGCAACAAAGGTAAAATCCCGATACGGCCCATGCTCCCCGCCCTGCCCGGTCCACAGATCCGGGTGTTTTTGGCACGGCGTTGGTCCCTCCGGCCCGCGCACTCCGGGCCCACCTGGTTGTAGCACCCCGGTCGTTGGGGGTCCAGGAGCTCCGAAGCCATGGCCGCGTGTGTGGCCGCTAGCTTGGTGGGGTCGCCCGGCAGCGCACGTAGGCGGCTGACCACTCGGATGACGTTGCCGTCCACGGCTGCGGCAGGAGAGCCGAAGGCGATGGACGCCACCGCAGCGCTTGTGTAGGGGCCAACACCTTGACAGGAACGGAGATTGATTGGCATGAACAGATGGAGGGAGGGTGAACGGGCGGAGGAGGGAGCGGGAAGGAGAGAGGAGCGGGAGATGAGATGCGCGAGGAGTTGGACTGTGTGGAGGAAGGAAGAGGGGGATGGTATTGAGGGGAGCGTGGAGATGTGTTCCCATACGCGCGCGCGTGTTTGTGTTTGCGCGTGATTTGTGTATGTGTATGGCGGTGATGTTGATGGCCGCTTCCCTGGGAACAACAGATGTCGCAGGCAGATGTCGCTGACAGCGCAACCCTTGGTATTTAGCGGCAATAACTCGCAGGCGGAAAACAAGTGATAATGGCTCAAGGGTTCCGTCCAGCATGACGATCTATCTCCCCTATCGCGCCGCGGCATTGCACTTCCGAAAGTGTCCGTACAGGAACCCCGGTCGGCAAGCGCCCATGCATCCAGACAGTGCACTCACACGGCAAGGTGAGCTGCGGATTAGGTACGGCCGGGAGGAATCTTCACTCCCTTACCAGGAATCTTTAACAACTCCGCCGCTGTGGTGGGGAACTTGCCATCTAGCTTCTCGACTACATAGCGCGCGCCATCAAGAAGATAGCGTGCTCTGTGCGGGAGAGGGACACGCAAATAGCAGGCACGTATGTACGTACGTATGTATGCACATGTGATAAAACCGCTGGCTAGCGCAATATCAGCCATGGCGGACCTCTAGGTAAAGCTCTCTGAGCACAAGCACGTAGGCGCGCATGCACCTGTACAACATCCGCTTGGTGAAACTAGGGTTCTCGTCGCAGGTTGTGCAGCTCATAGACTGGTTTGTCGTTACGAAATAGGCGATGACAAGGCGATTTTTTCGCGGATTCTTTTACACAGCAGCTTATTTTGCGTCAGTCCTTCCTGGTTCCCCGACCAAGCGAACCGCCGCTGAAGGGGCCCCACTGTGTGCCCTTTCCGCCAGGAAGGCTGCCCGCTGCTCCAGCTCCACCACACGCCGAGCTCTAATCCCGAAATAGACTCTGCAACGTGCCGCAGCTGCGGCAGCAGCACGGGCACACGAGTCACCCTTGCCTCCAAGGGCCCCTTAGCAGGTCCCAGATCTTCCCAGTCTCCCCCCACCCCGCCATACATACATACATACATACATACATACATACATACATACATACACACACACCTTCGATAGTAGCCCAGTCCCGCCCAGAGCGCGTTGACGGCGTCAATGTCCGCAGCAGCTAGGTCCGCCACCGTGGGCCACTTGGTCACCCAACGATTGAAGTAGGGGATGACGGTGGCGACCTGGGAAGCCAAGTACACGCGGCACGTGAGGTGGGTGATAGGCCCGGGTTGTGGGGCGGCGGAGCAGGGCAGGGCAGTGCAGGGCAGGTGGCGCAGCCTTGGAGACCTTGCAAGTTGTGGGTTGCATTTACATGTGGCTATGCTCTTCAAAAGCGAGGCAATTCTTTTCACATTTTGTTTGTTTGTTTGCGTGTGTGTGCGTGTGTGTGTGAGTGTGTGTGATGTTAATCCCCAGCCGTGCGGAAAGCCTGCCCAGCCCTGTCCAACGCTGTTGCGATGCTCTGCGCCACTTGCGGTTTCGAAATGCATGCATGGCGATATGGACAAAGCACGGAAGGCACGTTCGCCACTCGTTCGAATTTTTGTTGCTGTTTCGCCCTCCTCGTCACAGCTTTTTTCCGTGTTCCGGCCTTGCGAGAACGTTACGGGCAGCGAGCCGTAGCGAGCATGAGCTCCCACCTGTGTCTGCTGAAGCATAACCTCGCTCACCCACACCCAGTAGGCGAATTGCTGCTGCGGGAGATCGGCGGGGGCGGCCTCGGCGGCCTGGCTGCCGCGTTCGCCTTCGGGGGCAACCACCTCAGCAGCACCGGCATTCGCCTTCTTGGAGTGAGGCGTACGGCGCCACGGCAGGACGCGGTGATTATGATCATACCAAGCAAGCAGCTCCCGGCGGTACTGTGGTTGAGGAGCGCCGGCATGAAAAATGGTTTGTGTCTATGTGCACGTGTGGCAAGGACGTGAGGTTACGTTGGCGCAACTGATCAAAATAGAATACGGCCTCTGCGGGTAGTTTTACTCGAGGTACACGTAACGTACGCCCAGTAAGGAACCTATCACGCTGCGGTTGGATAGCTGCAGCGCTGTGAGATTAGGCCAAATAATGACTTTGCATGACATGTGGCCCGCTTGGCGACAGCCCAAGCCGACCTTGCTCAGTGCCCTTAAGCTACGTTTCCGGGCTCACCTCTTTCACTTCTTGCTCAGTGAACCATGGTTTTCCGGAAGGATGAGCTACACCTGTTTTCGGCCCGACGCGGCTCTTTGGCAGCTCCTTGTCGTTCCCGCTGTCCTGTAGTGCTGTTTTAACCTGAGGTTTGCAGCCTGTAAGCACGAATGCAGAGAAAGATAGCTAGGCTAGCCACAAAATTCAAACATGATTCGAAATACAGTTATCATGATCGCATGCATACGCTTAACTTTGCCCTTCTTTGGTTGTCGATCTGAAGCATGGCTTGTCCGCATTTTCATTGCCTATGGCCGACACCCTTACGCCTGGCCTGGAGCAACTGTCAGGTCGCGATTTCGCTTGCTAGGATGTTGCACATCGTTCCTGTGCCATACACTAGCAACTGAAAAAAGGACTTAAGCACCTTGACCATTGACATTGCGCCACGAAAGTTTGGCGTCTGTCCTCTGTCGAACCGTCTGTCGTGCAAAGCCTGGACTCCATGTCGCGGGAGATCCACAATTCCGCATGTTTTACCTAACTACACAAAATCCATACCTTTGAAACCCTGTCTTTAAACCCAGAAATTTGAGTATGTTACAGCACGATAGCAATGACCATGTTATCTCCCCATTCTTTGAAGCCGGCACAAAAATACAAGAATTACACGCGACACTGACACTGCAGGGGCGACGTTAGGAACTGGAAGCTTAGGGCTTGTACCTGCAACACCCGCTCTGCCGCTGATGGCGCGGGATGGCAAGGCTCGCCCCGCAAAAACGGCAGAAAGACAAGTACAAGACGTTATACCTCTAGCTACATCGAGAATTTAGATAGCCAGTTATGTTTTAGCTTGCCATGCAATACTCGTCGTCAAAAGCAACGAATTTTTGCATTTTGTCCAGCCAAAGCGCCTTACGGACCCGGGACAGGCCGAGTTGTGAGATTAGTGTTCGTGGGCGCTGGCTTCACAGGTGCCTCTTGGTAGTGCGCCAAGGTGCACGCTAGGCTAATGACCTCACCATGATGAGATTGCATTGCAGTCGCGAATACCTGGAAATTTCGTTTCGTGTCATGCAGTAGACTTGGTGGGAAGCAGAAATCCCTCGACGCCGCAGCATCAGCCCTCGCAAAGATAGAGAAGTTCCACCTGCAAGTAGGTCGAACGTAGCGCTGGTCTTGACGCCTCAATCTGCTGGTGTGGCATCTGTTCCCGGGTGCGCGATAGGTTCTTTCGCTCCGCTACCGTACTGTACAACGCTCCACACGAAGCATACGGTATACCCAACCTGGTTACAACTTCCAATTCGCGCAGGACACCCTGGCCGTACTCATAGTGATGTCAGAGCGGTCGCCAACAATGGTGGAAACGCAGGTGGGACTTTGGCTGCACCTGACCAGCTTACGAGGTGTAAGTGTCGCAGATTGCGACCGCCGCATCTCAGCAAGATTGGCAGGAGCAGCAGCAACAACAATGTCGGCAGCAGCGGCGAGAAAAAACTATACTGCCCGTGACCCATATGGCCGCAGTGCTAACTGCTAACGGCCTCTAGGCAGACGCCGATTCGGGTGGTGCCAGCAGTGCCATGGTGTGCCGTGTTTGGCTGTCACCTGACGAGGTTTTCTGCAACCTGGTGCTAGAGCATGTCTGTGAGCGGCGGCTTTTCAACGATTACGGAAGTGCCCCGAACGCACGAACGCGTTGTCGGGGCGGCTTGTTCTATTTCCTATGGATGAGCTGCACGGGTTTCAGGGTTCGTAGAATGAGAGCAATCTGAACTCTACAAACAGCCGTGTAAGCATCGCCACGTTCCTAGCCGCGAGGACAGATTTTCCATTAGTCGCGTCAAAGTATCGTACAGCTGCTCCAAATGTTTCAAATCCTCTGTGGCTAACTGCGTGCCAACTGCGTCTGTGGCCAACAGACTTACTGCTACTTCTGTGTTCCTGTCTCCCGAAAACTGTAATTTTGTGGCTGTGCCGAAGCTGACTGTGACCGACCATTCTGTGAACGAGCGAAATTGGGGCGCGGGGACCGGCTGCCAAGGCCCCGTATACTGCAGAATCGCTTCGCTCCGCCGCGTCTAAGTCAACTAATCGACGTACATGTACTTCCTCATTCCAACAGTACGACATGGGGCCAGTCCTTGGTTCCGCCACAGATTCATCATCACTCTCCACGCGGAAACTTAGACCCAACACCGTGCATACCGCACCTCTGTGCCTCACCTCTCCATGGATATCCTTCAGCTCCCACTGCAGTTGGGACCCATCAGCTTGCGAAGTATTCTTGCACGGTAACTTACTGCTCTGATCTTCTTCAGCGATTATAGGGCTTAGGGATGGAAGATTTTAAGTGTTGGGTCGACGGGTGACGGCCAAACACCGGCACACCATGGCACTGCTGGCACCACCCGAATCGGCGTCTGCCTAGAGGCCGTTAGCAGTTAGCACTGCGGCCATATGGGTCACGGGCAGTATAGTTTTTTCCCGCCGCTGCTGCCGACATTGTTGTTGCTGCTGCTCCTGCCAATCTTGCTGAGATGCGGCGGTCGCAATCTGCGACACCTCGTAAGCTGGTCAGGTGCAGCCAAAGTCCCACCTGCGTTTCCACCATTGTTGGCGACCGCTCTGACACCACTATGAGTACGGCCAGGGTGTCCTGCGCGAATTGGAAGTTGTAACCAGGTTGGGTATACCGTATGCTTCGTGTGGAGCGTTGTACAGTACGGGTAGCGGAGCGAAAGAACCTATCGCGCACCCGGGAACAGATGCCACACCAGCAGATTGAGGCGTCAAGACCAGCGCTACCACTGAAAGGACGGTTTCGTACTGTACGGGAAGTATGGCTCAGACGTCATGGAAGGCTATTAGTCATTTTATTATAACATTGTATTGAGATTAAGGGTTTTCACGTTACTGGAAACAGGCAGCAAAGTCCTAGGACCAATCTTTACACATCATTAATGCATGTTTTTGCCTTTGTATGTAATTCCGCTCTCTTTGTTTTGAAAGGTGTCTGGTAAAGTTTCCTAGTTATTGCTGTGTCCGTTCGTTGACTCTCTATCGTCCAAGATGTCATCTCTTGCTGCCGCGAAGGCAGACAATTTTTATTACCCACCCGACTTCGATCCTAAGAAGCACCAAACACTCAACAAGGTCAGCAACGTTGGATACGACCAGCCTGTTTGTCGAACTGAGTGTGGAGTCATCTTACGGTTGCGCTATCAATTTGCAGTACAATGGGCAACACCCTCTGCGTGAACGGGCGGCTAAGTTGGATCAGGGCATACTTGTCATCAGGTGTGTCAGCCATGGGTTTGGGGTTCTGGAGTAGGGCTAAAACCTCCACATGGCGGTAGGGCCCGCAGCGTCCAGGACCCCGTGGGCCCCGCTTCGAAGCGACGGCCAGGTCCTGTCAGACTGCCGGCTCCACCTAACCTCCAACCCTTAACCCTTCTTGTCCCGGATACCGGGAACACCAGCAACTAGGAAGCAGGTCATGCGTAGAACCCTGCTTAGCTGATAACCAAACACCTCCAGGCCAGCTGGCTGCACTTCTTTTCATCCGCCCCGCGTGCTCCCAACGACGAACAGATTCGAGATCCCTTTCAATATATGGTGCGACAAATGCGGCGAGCATATCGCCAAAGGCGAGAGGTTCAATGCGGAGAAAAAGGCGATCGGGCAATACTACTCGACCAAGATTTTGCAGTTCACCATGACCCATCACTGCGGCTGCAAGATCACCATCCAGACAGATCCCAAGCGAGCGGAGTACCTGGTCGTTGAGGGAGCCCGCAAGAAGGTACGGTCGTGCTGGTCGTGGTTAGTGGGGAAGGGATGCTGTACGAGTGTGCTGTACGAGTGTGCGGATATGTACTGCAACGCGATACAAGGCGGCGTGATGGTGTTGGAACGTAGCATGATTCGGAATTTGTATGGGTTGTTGATGCTATGGGGGGAATGAGGAGTTGGGTCACCTGCCATGTGCACTTCAGGAGTGCGCTCTACACCCCCGGAGTGTGCCGTCGCTTACATACATACATACATACATACATACATACATACATACATACATACATACATACATACCTGCATACACTCGTCAGGTCGCTGTGTTGTGTTGTGGGCCACTGCGGTGGTGCCACACCACTTGTGAGCAGCAGTGGCGTCATCCGCGCTTCCATTCTCGACATGCTGCTGCTCATGTTACAGTTGCTGGTTACAGTTGGTTGCTCTGGTTACAGTTGACGCGTGCATGAAAGGCCCTGGTGGATGTGGGAGACAGGGTTGGCCTCCTTCCCCAGCTTCCCTTCACACTGCTGATCCTGTTGTTCCTACCCTTGCTGTTGCTACTGCAACTGCTGCTGCCACTGGTGCTGGTGGAGAAGGAGGAGAGCTACAGCGCCGCGGACGCCGAGGTCATCGAGCTGCCGGACGAGGGCGAGCGAGAGCGACGTGAGCGGGATCCCCTCTACCGCCTGGAGTACCAGCAGGTGCGGCCAGATGGAGCGGGAGGCGGGGGGGGGGAGGCGGGGGCTTGTAAGGGAGGGGCTATACGGAGACTGTACAGCCGGCCACTGTCTCATGTGGTGCACTGCACTGGCTTGCACGTGAGGATCGCACGGACACATACGTGGCTGAGCAGCTTATTGGCAAACCCATGGCCTCCGAAGGTCCTGATAAGACCCTCTGGTTTTACGGAGTACAGGCCGTAAGACACCTGTATCATCCGCCGGCGTGGTAACAGAGTGGCAGATCACAAGGTTCAGGAGCCTCCCCACACATGTAACGCTTCCCTAGTACGGCAACGTTGCAAGGACAGGATTGGGAATGTCGGCCCAGAACTAAGGCCTCCAGGGCGGCTGGTGGCTAGCGCGATTCGCCGAAAAACAATTTGCTTGCACTGATGGTCCGCCTTGCTTTTGCTTTGCATTATACCCGCGACCTAATGCCCAACCAACATCGCACAACGTGACGCAGGGGGCCAAGGTGAAGGCTCTGACAGGGGCAGAGCGCCTGGCTGCCATACACGACGTCGTGGATGCCCGAACCGCTGATCCATATAGCCTGAACCGCACTCTGCGAGCAGCGCTGCGAGGTGAAAAACGTGCTGCAGCAGCACTGGACACGCGGCGCGCGGAGCTGGGTCTGCCGGATTCGGTGCCCCTGCTGGCGCCCTCGGATGGCGACACGCTCGCGGCGCAGGTGGCCTTCCTGACGAGTTCAGCGCGCGCAGTAGCGAGCGCGGAGGCCCGTCGCAAGCGGATCCTGGAGCAGGACATCTTCACATCGTCATCCTCATTCCGCGCGGCGGCACCTGGCGCGGCGGGCTCGGCTGTGGTTGTCGATGCGGCGTCCGAAAAGCGGCACCCGGCTCCCGCGCATCCACCACCATCCAAGCGCCCGGCACTGAGCACGGCGCCGGCGCCGGCGGCCCCTAAAGTTCGTGTGGCGGTAACGCAGCTGGCTGCGGCGTCCGGCGACCGGCAAGCTACTCGAGCGGAATTGGGAGCCGAAGTCCCGGCCACGCGATATCAGCAAGACCGTGAAGCAGCAGCGCAGGAAGGACAGCCGGAACCGTTAGAGGAGGATCAAGTCGCTGCACAGAAGACCCGAGGGGCCCTGACCGGATCTTCTTGCATGGCCAGGGCTGTGGACGGTGCTGCGCCCCCGGGATGTAGGGACGAGGAACAGCAAAGAAGAGACAGCAATCGTGCTGACGTGGCGGCTGGTGCCCACCACCACACAGCTCCTGGCACCGATATCAGCAGCAATCATACCGGTAGCGACATTGGCATGAGCAGCAACGCCGGTACCGTCAGTGCTCCTGTAGCTGCACCTGTAAGCGGTCGACCTCCTCCGGGAGCCGCAGCGCGGGCGGTAGCGGCCGCGCGGGCCTCTGCCACGTCACAAGTTCATGCACCGCGTTGTGCGGTGGGGAAGCCGCCAGGGCTGGGTGGCAGCGGTAACGCAGCGGCAGTACCGCGGTCTGGGGCTGCACACGGGCTTGGGAGACCCCTCGGGGCATTCCCTGCCGCTGGTTCTGCTTTATCTGGCTCGGCAGGGTTACCCAAGCGGTCTCTGAAGGACCGGGCGGCGGAGCTGCAGAAGAGGCGCCAGTGCCTAGGGGGCGTGGGCCTGACCCTCAATAGGCAGGAGCTATAGGGTGATTTGGGAAATGCTCACACCCCGTGCGGTCGCATCCGTTATCGCGGCGGTGATTGTCCTTATAAATGTTGCCTGCTGGGTGGCCGGGGTGTGTCCTCTATGGGGGGTTCATTTCCCGGAAATAGGTAGTTAGCGCGTGTCAGTGGGGTCCCTCGGGGGGAAGGTGTTGGCTCATTGGCTCATGCAGTGTAGATTGGCTCTGTCTTGCCATTAGGGTCGTTGGGGTTTACAGCGATGCAAGGGATTCGATTTTTTAACTGCTCGGTCCTTTTCTGTGGGTTGTTTTCTGGTATTAGCTCGCACACGGCGAGGGCTTTTGTGGTGTTTGGAGCCGTAGTCCCGCCTGTGGGTTCTGTGAGGGGGTCCGGAGAGTGCAGCAAAGCGGTCGGGGAGATTGTCGACAGGTGTGGGGTCCGAACCGGCTCATGCGCCGTTTTGAGCGATCTTAAAAAATGTATGGATTTTATGCAAGGTATCTGTGTATTGAGGATTATATGTAGAAGTAGGGGTGTCTGTGTCTGTGGTGGAGATTCAAATCACTGATGTATGAATGAGGGACGATGGACAGCTGTGCAAGCGGAAGGTACCTTGCTGGAGTGGGTGGGTAATTGCCCGTGCGCGGTTATGCCTGCTGGGCGGATTGGCAGCGTGCCTTCGTACATGTTTCGAAAATGTTGAGCTGCCGCGGGATGTGCTGTATATAACTTGCAACTGACTGTTCGGTTCATGAATGAAGTTTCGCTGACTTCGTTTTCGTGCCGATAATAGCACTTCTCCAGGGCATTGATGCATTTGAGACTCGTACGATTTCCGCTTCCCGCTTTTGTGATAATTCGTCCAAGACTTCTGTACATGACCATGCCCCAGCGTCTGCATTAAGTGCTCATGCGTTTCCGGTTAGGCTGTTGGGAGTTAGGGGTTAATAGGCCTAATGGGGGGAGCGCACCGCGCGTACCTGCAGGCTTTGTGACTGTGGAGCGGTTGAAGATGAACTGCATGTTTTCGAGGAATGTCCCGCTTACAAGAGCATACGGGCTAAGTATGATGGTGACCTAGTCTTTGAGGGGCGCAGCATGCGCACCATTATGACTGAGGCGCCACCCCTGGCATTGGCCAGGTACCTCTAGGAAATCTGGGAGGCCAGGCACGTCGCGCTGAGGCGCTTCGCCCTGAAGCGAAGGAGGGAGGATGATGATGGCCTCCCGCGTACCCGCATCAATACTAATATAACGTCCATGGCCGCCCAGCTTTTACGGACACACCCGCACTTGCGTGCGGAGCCTGTAACTTGTACATATCCAGTCCAGTGGACAGTCGGCATGCGTGTGTTACACCTTTCGTTAGCGTATGAAAAGGCGACTTGCTGTGGATTTAGGTGCCTGCCATTTGGTGCCCGGCGTGTGGATGGGGGAATCTGTTTATTTCGCTTCCTGCACCAGTCAGTCGTTCTTGCACGACATGTGTACATGAGTACAGTACGCTTGAGGTCCATCAGATGCATTCTCCTACCGTTCCTGCCCTGCTGCTGCTGCTGCTGCTACTGCTGGGCTTATTCACATGTGAGGATTACAACTTAAGGTAAGGTCAAGGTACTCACGCAGATTATTACTTGCGGTACGGCCAAATCCAGGATCTAAAAAAAGTGTCAGAGCATTCGCTGCGACACCCCCCCCCACCGCACTGCAGCAGGGTATATGCGCTGCAGCAGCGCTCGCCAGTCAAGCTGCGCCAAGCTTTCTAAGCGAATCCTCGTCCACGTCACAGTCGTGTGTTGCGTGTCAGCCTTGTTTGCGGTGGCCAGCCAGCAAGGTACGTGTTCTTAAAATGTTAGCGTCGAAAATAGATTATGTGTACATCATGCCAACATTACCACGCGGCTTGCTCTCGTGTCACTTGCTGGCGCAACTGAGGCAACTGACGGATGGGACAATTCGAGGGCTGCTCAATCTCGTCCGTGGCAACGGTGCATGTTTTTTTATTTTTAAAATGCACATTTGCCCTGCGTGCTGCTCAACACGGGGCATCTAGCAGCCAAGCGCAGCAAAAGATAAGCTGGGGGCGGTGGGGGACGACAGTACGCATGCTGCTTGTGCACTAGCTGCGCATCTCACCATGCGCATGCGTTGTTTCGTGCAATACCAGTACTGGCCCCGTACAACTCCTCGATTCCGTTGTAACTTCATGAAGAGCCACCTGGCCCCTCCCCCAATGCATATGACGCTGGATTTTAAAGAAGGCAAGTACGTCCTTGCGCTCTTCCTTAATTATCCAACGGGCTGCTGCATCTTGCAAGGATGGTGTGTGAGTGACGCGCAAGTACAGCATTGCCGCAAGAGGGCAAAACCTGGTTTTACCCTAAGGCAACTTCACTTAAGCTGTGTGACCAACTCATTTCGTCTTAAGTAACCTTACGCAACAAAATCCTCTGGGGCACCCATTGTTCAAATTTTACTTCGCCATCATCAATTACCGAGCAAACAAAGACAGGTATAGCTGTTTATCATACAGCGTAACAGTTGCATAAAAACATACATCTACGTATTACCAGCAGATAGACATACCAGCGTATAAATTTTTTAACATAAAGACACTTTAACCTGATGCAAAGCTCGCGCAACATTCCTTTTCTTTATGAAACCGCGGGAGCCACGGCACAGAAAACGTATTCTCACCAAACGAGTTGTTAACAAGCCATAAGAGCCGCCACAGCAGAGTTCAGCTGCTGGAGAGTTTATGACGCTTACACCACCCCACCTTATGAGGGTATATGCTCTATAGCACCACATCCTGGTGGTGTTCACTAGCACCAACAACAAATATAAGAATAATACAGAAAACATGCAGTGTCGGCACGTGGTAAGTGTGCATCGTCCGTTCCCTCATACCCCGGTAATCTGCGTGCGCGCCGTGCATGGAACATACACGCGTCATCATTCGACGCCGTACGGGATGCCGTACGGGACGCCGCCAGGCAAAAACAAATTACCACGCCAGTAGTGACATTCGGTGGCTGCACCATCCAATACCTGCGGCTACGAAGGCTTGCGCCATCCCAGCTCTCAAACCACGAACAAATAGATCCCGAACATGAATATAGTGAAACACCGCACCTCGCCTTTCGCTGTCCCGCCTTCGTTATCATCCTACGGATTGGGCCCCCCACCAAGAGCTCTCTCCAACTTTCATTGGAGCCCAACATTCGTGGCACAACTGCCGCCAAGCTTCATCTCGCAGGTCTGCAGTAGCAAACGACAAAACTACACCAGAAAATCCGGAGTAACCGCCAGTTTCCAGGCCGCGAGGGCCCCTTGCCTGAAGCTTCAAAAATTCTTAAATTCCTACACATGACACTGTGAGCTTGTACCACCTCAAAACAAACTAAGTTGAGGACATACCATGTCCTAGCATACGCGCGCGAGCACCCGCGATGGCGCGCGGCCATCAAAGTGCCCGATAAGGCGCTCATAGGGAGGGATGATGAGAAATGACATGTGCCCAATTTCCTGCCACGCGCTTGACACCATCCCGACCGCACCTCCACAACCCCCAACCCAAAACACGCCATCCCAACCTGTTCAGCAATACTCACGAGCTTAAATTGCGTGAGCTCGTGTCTGTAACCCTCTACCAGCAGCCTGTGCGTCTATTGGCATTCCATTCCAACCCGCCACACATGCTTCCCGTCCTAAGTTGTCCCGCCTCCCCCCATCCATTATAGCCGTACATTCAAACGCTCCATTGTGGAGTGTGTGTGTAGCACATACTGTTCGAACCCCCCCGACAGGCGGCCACCAGCGCCACCACCGCCGCCCCACCCATAAGCTGCCCCCGCTACGCCAATACGCACCAATATGTGGGTGAACGTTACGGCATCCCTTTTTGGACGGTCACTAGCTAGACGCAGCTAACCCCGTGTACACATCCTCACCCATACATAACCCGCATGCGCCAAAGACAAATAGAATAGCAAATATTCGAAAAGTACACCGGTTCATATTTAATGACTTTCCTAATGATAGGTAGGGTGCAATAATTTCTGGAAGTAAGGCCAGTCACAGCTGTACAGCGGAGATGCGATTAATGCATGGAACACAACTGCTGGCCCGTAATTACGGGTTTGCTGTTTTCAGGTGCGCAAAAATGGGCAGCTATGAACGGCGAAAAACTTCTGTGACAACCTAGCGTTACCAGCGTCACCACCGGCATCACCAGCAATGCTAGTCGCAGCCTTTCTTTCAGCTGAGCGACTAGGAAAGCTAAAGCATCCTTTCATCCATATCGCAAACAAAAAACGTATCCATAACGCCACAAACCAAAGCAAACAACCCTGGCAGCAGCCTCCACGCCTTGTGTCATCCCGACAATCGAAGGCAACTCGAAACGAAGGCAAAAGCAAATCGAACAATGCATGCACAACATGGAGTCGGCATGAACGAATGGGCGCGGCATGCACCCGCGCCATATATTCTTAAGAAGATCCATGTATCGCCCTTTCCATGGTTTTGCTTCTCGCGAGCCATCGTAAAACCAACCTGCATAAAAGTTGTTACCAAATATGATAATACTGACCGGGCCATTTAAATTTCGCACATACGGCAAATGCGTTGACCCGAGCGCTTGTCGTGGACCATGCACAACCGCCCCGGCGACCGGCTTCCCAAACACAGGTAATGACCTCGGCCCGATAGCAGTCATTTCGTGGGCAAGGAGTGAGAGCGAGTTTCTTGCTGGTGGGGTGTTGCAACACCTCACCAGCTATCCCTCATAAGCGGCATATAGTAGGGAGTTTATTTCGAGCGTACGCCATGTGTCGTACGACAAGCACGCCGCCCTACAAATCCAATTGTTCGTACTTTGCATTCCGCAACCCCAACTAGTCTACCGTCGAGTTCTTGCGTTCCATGCAATTTCGTACTTGCTTCCGTTAACAAATTCATGCGTTCCTATGGAGTAGCTATCGTACAGTACTTCACGCATATCATCTACACATAAACGCTAAGGCGCTCTGCCACCATCTTAAGCGGCTTTTTCAGCGGCCAACCACTACAGCCCACCAGTGGCCTGCAGCCGCGTTAGGGCTATATACAACACCCACGGCCTTGACCCTTGGGCATCACAAATCATTGATGGTAGGAAACCCACAGTACGCAACTTAACAATTAACCTTCTGACTTACGCAGAGATATGATAGATATTCGCATCCTGCACATGCCTACCACCCGGCCTAGCTCGCCCCACAGGGCCCCCACGGGTCACCCAGCGGCTCAGTGACCAACCCGCCCTGCCTGCCAACCCGCGCTCATGGCGCACCGCCAGCATCACCTGCACCAGCGTAGCACTGGCGTGCACTCGCTCGGCTGGGGGCCGCGCGACTGGCCCGCCGCTCCTTCACATCTTGCTGAGCATCTGGCTAATGGAGGTCACCAGCTCCGAAGTCCGGGGCCTGCTAGCGGGCTCTGTGGTCCAACAGCGCTGAGCCAGAAACCTGCAGCCAGCCCAGGGAAACGAAACGCAACGGGTGCCAAGTGAGGCGCAAGTGCGTAACCCAGGTCGCCAGCAGCTGGGACGTGCAGGGTCTCTTTGAAAACGGGGAATGGCACGACTGCTGCTCAGTTTGGGCTGGGGCGGCGGCACCCGTGCGTGGCTGGCCAAACCAGCTGCCTCCCCGCCGTCCTTACAAATCAACGCCTGTCCCAGCTTCATACGGCTCAGAGCGCATTAAGCTCCGCCTTCCCTCGCTCAAGACGCAAGAACCCTATCATCATTTCACGTCCTTGTCGCGGCAGTGTGATCACTCGAGCAAAAGACGTCGCAGGACAGGCGCTCTCATTCGATATGGCGTGGTCCGTGGGTCCGTTCTACACTACTCGCGCACCTGTACGACACGGGTACACCCTCGTCGAACACGGGTCGTGCCCCTCGCTTGACCACTTGGGCGATGTTGCTGGGTTGAACCTGCTTGAGGCGATGGAGACCACACCACCATTACCAACACCAGCAGCAGTTTTGACATAGCAACAGCAGCATGCCCATTGAGTGCAATGCAGGGAAGCATGTGTTGTTGTATCGGAATGTCCCAGGGGTAGCGCAAGCAACTCCAGCCAGCCTGACAGAAGTGTTGAGCTCCCCTCTGCCCTTACAGCCCTGTCTGCCAGGACAGGGATGCTTGATTTGACGAGAGATACGACGCGGTGTAAATAGTTAACATCCCACCCCACTCAACATCCATACAAAGGACCAGGTGCCCGCAGCCGTGGCCGTGGGTGGTGTGGATGAGAGCTCCCGAAGTGCGCGTACCTCCGGATAGGGTCGAGATCCTCCAGACGTCATTTCCCTGCGAGGCACAGAAACGCGATCAGTCCCGAAAAGTTAATCATTACGAGCAGTCCCCAGCGCACGGTACATGCAGTGGACAACACGCGCACACGAGCACATGTGGATGAGACTGGAGGCACTGAGCACCTGGTACACTGCTCACAAGACCTGACCGCATCCCCCCAAAAAAGGTGGTCATTTAGAAAAGCACAATCGGAGAACCATCCCTTCGCCATACAGTTTGCTGACGTGAAAAAGGGCATGGGGGAGGACATCAGCGGTGGTGGCGCGCATGGGTTGTGTGCGTGCACCTGGCACACAAGGCACCATCCGCCAGGGGCGGCCCCCACCCGCACCAGGACAGGCACTTCCCTTTTTCACCAACCAACCAAACTGCTACAAGGTCTCTTTCCACATCACTATCTTTGGGTGCTGATATTGTTGTCACTCACCACATGAGTATCCCGAAGCTTTAATTGGCGGAGAAGGTGCCGGAGCGCCAAAATGTAAAGCGTCGGGGCCATGAACGGGGAGGGGTGGGGGGCGCACGTCGGGGCCATGAACGGGGAGGGGTGGGGGGCGCACGTCGGGGCCATGAACGGGGAGGGGTGGGGGGCGCACGTCGGGGCCATGAACGGGGAGGGGTGGGGGGCGCACGTGTGCGTGTCTCAGCAGGGATTGTTTGGGTGAAGCATGAGGCACCAGCCGCCCCTCAAGGACCTCATGGCGACCTCCTATCCCTGCTCCCCGTTCGCGGGGCGTATCTAGGGTTTCCCCTTCAGGAGGGCTTTCAGGAAGCGAGTGCTAGGGAGGGCAGGAAAGGGTCTCCGGTTGTTTTAAGTGCTTGTCCTGGTGTTGGTACCTCTTCGGGGCTTTCCTGGGCTATACAGTGTTGGTACAGAGCTGGTATGCGGGTGGCAGCACTCCTAATCCTAAGTACTACTACTACTACTACTGCTACACTACCACTACTACTACTACTACTACTACTACTGCTACACTACCACTACTGCTGCTGCTACTACGACTACTATTACTACTAATACTACCGTTGATCTGGTCTGATCACACTGCAACGTCTTTTGTTGAGATGCATGCAGGCTGGGCTGGGATGTGTGATGCAGACGATGACATTAAATGTTCAGGCAATATAATGGTTTCGCATGTCTGCACCGGCCTGCCCAGTATCAGTGTGCCAGTACCAGTTCCCCCCTTTGGTGTGTGTGTGGGTGTGGTGGTGGTCTGATGACAACGAGCCCGCTCTTACCTGTACACGTCACAGCTTGCATCGAGGCGGTGCGCTGCTTGCGATGCAACCACGGCGTTGATGGGGTTGGTGGCGAGTGAGGAGTTAGGGCGGGTGGGCGGGGTAAGGCGCGGTATCTCAAGTGGGGTATTAGGCGGATAGGCCATCGCTTCACGGCTGGCTCAGCCCGGTCCCGGTCCCGGAAACTGGGGTCGCCGCCCGGCCCTCATCTCCATAAACAACAACCACCAATCAGTCCAAATCACAATAAGCAGGGACCCAGCGTGCCTCCTTACACAAAGCCAACGCACATTCCAATTTTCCTCTCCGGGCTGCTTTTTGCATACACGCCACACACCGCAGCATATCGCATCGTAGCACAGCACGGCACGACGCAGGCATCAGGGGAAAGGTGAAAGGGGGCCTTGAGGTTTGTGTGTGTCTCACGGGTGGTCAAAGGTTCAACAACACGGGACGGCTGTGACTCCCCACTCAGCCCTGCACGCGCGCCTTTCCAGCAGCGGACGGAACTCACGTTTCTGCCAGCACTCGGGAGCCATGTGGGTCACCCTGTGGAAGGAGGGGATGGATAAGGTAAGACATCTAGGAGACGAGGAGCGCGCACCACATTTTTAAGTCCACAACAGGAGGGGACACACATTCAGAACAGGAAATGCCTGGGAGCTGGACGAGTAAACGAGGCAGGGTAAGGACCGTATATAAGCGCTAGAGTTCAGGGGAGGGGCCCTCAAGCCGCAAAGCCAGGACTCACGTGCCGCAGGTCTCGTCCACCCAGGCAAACGGCTCGCCGCCGCTCTTTTCGTCCCCGGGCTGTGAGTGACCCATGGGTCGTGGTGGGGAAAGGAAGGAGACACGGGGTATGAGTGGGAATAAGCGGAACAAAGGTGAAACAGGGTCAGTACGGCCTCGGGCGATGGAGGAAAGGAAAGATGGAAAGATGGCTGCCTGGATTAACTGAGCGGGCGTGAAAAAGCCGTTGCGTGTTCGTACGCCTTGGCTACTCATAAACACCCAAATGCCATTTCGGAAGCTCAAGCATACGCGCACGCAGCTGCGCTAGCCCACCTGGTTCAACAGTGTGACGAATCCAAAGTCTGCACATGCGGAAGAGTTGAAGTAGGGGGGAAGGGAGGAAAGGGGGAAGGGGAGGGGAGGAAGAAGGGGGCATGCCATTTCTTGTCATTGCAAGCCAGGCTAAGCCAAAAGCGTGGATGAGTTCATGGATCACTTTCCTCCCTTACCTACCCCACCACGTACAGAACGAGGCGGGTGGCTGGATTCAGCAGAGTGAACCCTAACTTAGTTGACGTGATTCCAGAAAGGAGACGTTGGACCCCGCCAAGACCCAGACACAGATAGCATTTGGAAGCTTGAGATGGGTCAGCATCCAACCTGCCTCTGAACAAAGCCAAAGCCAAAACCAATGTTTCTTGTGGCCCCATGTCGAGACTTTTTCCGCTCCTTTAGGCGCTTACCGCCAACCTTTCTATGATGTGTGAAACAGGGGGGTGTATCTTCGCCCGTGGCAGCTACCCTGCGAAACCCTGCCTTCCCCGGTATTTCGGGGCACCCTCATCCAGTCACCCTAGTCAACTTCTCAGTGGATCGCTCAGGTTCCGCACCCACCACCAGCATCCAACGGAATCTGCCGGGTCGACAGCGGCCCAACTCCGTTCCTGGTCGGCTCGCAGGTTAGCTTTATCCCAGGTCACCACCGTCCATCACCTAGGGGCGCAATACCTTCCACCATCGGAAGGATTTTTGACCCTAGCGGGTATCGATCCCAGGATCTCCCGGGGGCAATGGTCGCGCGTTACCAGTAGTGCCAAACCCTAATATTTCTGCAGCCCAGTAGACAGCAAAAACAACTGTAAGCTCCGTGAATCGGCTTCTAAAGGTTCCTAGGGAGCGGCCTGTGGACGCCCGTTCCTTGGCGAGCGTCTGGGAGTTCAGCCTCTCCGTAAATTCCCAGGGGAAGTCTTATCCCCCTGGGAGGGATACAGCCTCTCCCGGGCTTGGGAGCTCCCACGCTCATGTCCCAGGGCAGGACAGGTGAGGACAAGTGAGGAGGAGGAGGAGGAGGAAGAAGAAAGGGCCTTTGCAAGACGCACCTGCGAGCTTGGCCGTGAAGCCTCGAGGGTCCATTACGTTGCTCTTCAGCAGGACATTGGCTGGCTTGACGTCTGGATGGCACCGATCCGGGCGCCGTGGGGGAGGAAGGGGCGATCGGCATTGCGGAAGCGGATGTACCCGAAACAAGGGGAAAAGAGAGAGTTTTGACATCGTTACTCCAGCTTTGGAGTCCGAAAACCGGGCAAGCCAGAGATGCTAGCAGTGGCAGCACCGCGGTGAGTGCGGCACTGGCGAGATGGCATGACGCGTTTGTGGTGTGGTGGCGATGCGACCATTACGGTTAGCAGATGATAGCTAAACGGCCGTACAGGTAAGCAGGGAAGGGAGCGTTCGCTGGGAAGAGAGAACCCCCTCCGGCTGCGGCCCCGCGTGTGGGCAAACGATTTATGTTTACAACGGATCCGAAAGAACTGTTGGGCCACAACTCCGCACCCAGGCGTCTGTGCGCTATCATGCGGGCCTGCTTTACTCAATGGCGAGGAATGGCGAGGAAATGGCGGGGGCCAGTAGGACAGGGAGGTTGCAAGGGAGGGGTCAACGCTCCCCCTGATGGGTGACCGCCCGGGGGAGGTTGCACGGTCATGAGTGCGTAAGTCCCGTATCTGCAAGCTTGCCCATGCAGTCATGAGGGGGCTCACGGGTTACTGACCAACTGTCATTCGAAGGACACTTTTCAATGCGGTAACCGCGCAATGCAGAAGTTGAGGGTACGTTTCAGCGATTGCGTCAGTGGCAGCAGCAGCAACGGCAGTAGCAGCAGCAACGGCAGTAGTAGCAGCAACGGCAGGCCGTTATTAAGGCAGACGCACAGGAAGGAGCAGTACATGTCTACTGCCATGCGGCAATGCCCTAATGATGCCCACATGCACACGCACACACCTCGGTGAATGATGTTATGTGCGTGCAGGTGCCGCAGCGCCATCGCCACGTCTAGGAGGGTCATGAGTATTCCCTGCGGAGATGTGCAGAGGCCCGACAGCCCGGTAAAGGAGGGGATATGCAATTTTATACTTACAAGAAATCCTGTCTGTGTATCTCCACCGCCAGGAAAGCGGGCAGCAGATCCCGAAGGTGACATGGACTGCGCAAAGGTAGCTGACGCAGTCAATGTCGGCGCTTGGTCCTTTTTTCCCTTTTCTTTCCCTTGCCTTTTCATCCAGGACACGGATATAAACTATCCACGTACACCCAAACCGTACAACTTATACATCCTACCAGAAACCGCCGCGCACCACGATTCCCCGTTCACCTTGAAATCATACCGGGCCGCTTTGCTGCCCCCGATGACGTTGCTGCTCGCGCTGTTGCCCGAGGCCTGCTGGCTGCCCAGTTTCTTGCTGTTCTGGGGCAGCAGTGTCGGGAAGGAGCGCTTCTGCAGGGCGCTTCCCAGGCAACCCTTGTCGCACCACTCACACACGATTGCCACGCATATGGGCGGCGCATCTGCGCCGTGGTAGGGGTGGGGCCATCGACACCGGTTAGGAAAGGAGTTGGAGTGCCTGGTTGATGGAAGGGAGGTTCAGAAATTTGGGGGATGGCCTCGTCGGGAGAATGACCGAACTATGAAGATGAAATCTGGACCTGGGGGCCTGGAGGAAAAACTGAGAACACTGGCGAGGAGCCCTCTAGAGGTGTTGCGAGGCAAGGGAGGGAAAGGGTGTTGAGATGATCCATGGGGGTGGTCCATGCGGCGCGGAAAGGGGCCCTGGGAGACGAGCGCTAGGGCTGCTTGGCTGGTAACGAAAGAGCAGGAGCGGACGCGGCCGCCACTTACCGGGGAGCGTGCTCATGGTGCCATCCACCGGCTTGAGGTAAAAGCGGTCCGAGCCGTCCGGTGCCAGGCGGCGGCCAAGCGTCACGTTGCTGAACGTGCTGTATACCTGTGTAGGTGTGATGGTGGGTGCAGATGGCAACATCAGTCAGGCCGGATCCCCACAAGGACCGGCGGGGCATGGACCCACAACGTTGAAAGGGCAAGCACAAGTTGCCGCAGTGGTGGCCATCTCTTAGGAGTGTTGTCAGCTGACGTCTTCAGGAGTGCGACATGTCATGGGTCATGCACATATCATCGGTGTGTCTACGGGTGCTCCGCGTGTTCAACAAAGTGAACGCCGGGCTTCCCATGCGGACCATGTGCTCTGTAGGGCGCGTTAGTCACCTGCATGACGTTTGGGTGGCTGATGCTGGTCATGGCCGCCAGCTCCATGGCATTGCGCAGCAGAGCACGACGGGCTGCCAGGCTAGTGCTGCCGTCGTCCGCCTCCCCCCGGCTTCCGACCTTCCCATCGCCATTACCGCCGTCCCCACCCGACCACTTGAGCGTCATGACATCCCGTCCAGAGGCGGTGTCCGTACCATCCACCTGGGGCCCCAGTGGCATTTTTAATGTATGCAAGAGGCGGGAGGCAAGTGTGACAGAGTCGTGGGTTCAGCAGGCAGCAAGCGGAAGGGAGGGAAATTGAAGCTTAGACAACTGTTAGGCCCTATGTCACACTCTGACATCATCCGGCGCATGGGCGATCGAAAAGAAAGGAAGCGAGCGTATCCACGAGCGTGGGCAGCAAGAGGTAATCCGGATTGGGAGGACGGAAATCCCGGGCTGTGCTAACGAGCCCACACAGGCTCACATCTCTGGGTGAAGCCCCTTCCCTTTTTCAGGATCAGCGATAGCGCAGCAGCTGGCCGGGAGCTGGGGCTTGAAGGTGGATTTGAATGGAATTGACAACTAAGAAGGCGGGGGAGGGAAAGAAAACCAGCACTCCACTGGGCAGGACAGGACAGGACAGGACAGGACTACACTTGGCAAGCCAACCAACTGAATTGATTGTTCTGCAGCCTCGTACATCCTCGTTTTTTTACGCTTCCTCTCCCTTCACCGACTCCCTCGCAAGGCCCACCCAGAAGTCCGGGAGAAGAACGAAAACCCCGAACACCACCTTCCCCTCCCCCACACCCACACCCATGCAAGCACCCACGTCCGGCATCTCCATGAGCTGCCGGTGCGCAGGTGGATGAGGAACAAGTCCAGGAAGGCCCCAAGCACCCACGGATAAGGACGATGACGTCGGTCCAAAGAGGAGAAGTCGAGGTAGGGAAGCCGTATGGACGCAGCGAAATCCGGGGAAGATGGCGGGGGGAAAGGGGCAGGAGGGGGGAAAAACAAAGGGCGTCCACAAATTCGGGTGTCTACAAAAGTGGTGTTTCGGAGCAATTGGGTTGGTCCGTTCATTGTCAATGTAACGATTTGACGCGGCCAGGAAATTCACTTAAGTCTGGCCACAGTTGTTCGATTTACATACGTGTGTGTGACCCTGCAGGCTGGCAAGGATGGAAAGCCTCGGTCAAGAGCAAACAGAGCTTCCAGGCCCCTATTTTTCCAGGCGCCCACTGTACAGCAAACCTACAAGTAGCGGAACAAATCAACATGCACCTTCCAGGTTGAACCATGTGCTCTACCTCGATAGCAGGCAGGTAGAATTACACACCCGCAGAGTTTTCTCCGAGGTGCCTGCGAACCATCATTCCTGCCCCTCCAATCCGAAGCAAGAAGCCTTCATCCGCTTTTGCGTGTTCCTTAGCTTTAGACCGTTCCCAAACCACCACCACCTGTACCCCTCACGTGCAACTGCGCGGCCTCCTGTTGAACGCCATACCTGTGGCCCAACCCACGCCCCTACGCTGTCCTATATCCCCATGTTTCCCAGCTGATGCACTCACCTTGATGGCACAGTCCAAGGTGCCCAGCGTGCCCTTGAACACCACCGCACAGCCCCCGTGCCCGAGTTGGGAGTGCAACTCCAGCTGCGACAGGTCCGACTGATCAGCGTTGAAGTGGTGGGATGCGGATGCCATGAAGCTGCCTCCGGGTCTGCTGGCAATATCCGTTGGCGGGTTTGAGCAAGGTTGTGGATTTTAAAGATCACAGGCGCTAAGGCGCTCTGCCAGCATTAAGAGGCCTTTTTAGCCGCCAGCGACTACATTACCAGGCAGCCGGGGGGCCCTAAAAGCCTAAAACCCTATAAGCAGGCCCCCCTAGCAGGACAGCCAGCCAGCCCCTAAGCTACCTGCTGCTAATGCTAGCTGCAGCCGCCGCCATTGCCGCCTCCACTCGAGCATTACTGATGCTGTTTTGCATGCTAGCGACCAGTAGAGGCATCTGGGCCCGAAGCGTGCTTTGTACTGTGATAACGGTGCGGGTGGGGGGGGAAGGAAGAAAGGGGAGGCAAGGAGACTTCTAGAGCTTGGCGGAGAGAGGCGCAATGAGTAAATGCTAGCTGTGAAAGCACCAACGTTGTCCATACACTGCTCTCGCTGCAGTGCGCATACAAGAGCAACAAAGATTAAATACATCCACACGTGTCTGTATGTGTGCGTACGTGTGTGCGTATGTGTGTGTGTTTTACACCTTGAGTTGCCGTACTCTCCAAAGGTGTAAAACGGGGGGGGACCGCAGGGCCAGGGGGCCAAAGGCGGTTTTAAATTAGGAGTCATCATGAAAACGCATAAAAGGATTATCATCCTGTCGCTCGAAAAAAAATTATTTCCCGAACTAACCGAACTATCCAGACTGCTATGCCGTAGCAGTACGCCTGCTATGTGAGACCCCCCTTAGCCGGATACTGTGGATAAGGACACCCACACACACATCGCACCCCTGCACAAGTTGCTCGACTGCTTAGCATGCAACCCGCAGTGCACTGTGTGAGGAAGACCGCACACAGCACGCATCACACAGCACACAGCACGCATCACACATACCCAAGTCCAACTCCTCCAAATGGATGACCGTGCTGCGTGTGAAGCCCTCGCAACCCGTGGTCGTGATGGGATGTTGTGACACCGCCAGCGCGCTCTCACGCGCAGATAGTAATGACGTCGTGTGATCTCCAGCTAGAGTGGGACTCACGTGCGTGTCCATGAGGTTCAGGCTGCGTGTGGCGGCCAGTGCGCCGCCGCCGCCACCGCCGCCGCCAGGGAGGGTGCTGCTGCCGGGCCCGCCGATGCCGCCGCCGCCACGGCTGTCATACAGAAACGATTGCACAAGCTGGCTATATATAGGCACCACGCGTTCGGGCTGCGGTTCGGCGTCGCCAGACTGCTGTAGGATGAGCTTGCTACCGGAGGCGCGCAGCGTGTTGCAGCCGGTGCTGCATTCGATGACATTGGCAGCAACGGTGGCGGAGGTGGGGGTGCAGGCATCTGCCTCCGGGGCTTCCAGGACGGCGTAAGAGCCAGGTGCCGCGGTGACGAGCGTCTCCAGCTCCACCGCCAAGTCAGTGGAGAGCTTCCGTTCCAAGATGGGATAGCACACCTGTGCGAAGGCCCGGCAGCGGTTGCAGGCAGGAGATATGCATGTAAACCCTAAGTTCTATACGGAATTGCGGGACGTGAAGTTTGTGCATTGGTGAACATCAACATCGGGTGTCATGATATGTAGCCAAGGGTAATGAAAGGGATAAATACGTGTTCCGGAAAGAGTTAAGAGTTGTATGCAGTAGTGTTGTCCGGATACGGCGGGCAGTTTGGCCGTACCTCCAAGACCTCCAGAAGTGTGCTCCGTGCCTGCCGCAGCAATTGCTGCGGCAGCGTTTGCGGGAAGGTGACGTACAGCCCGAGCATCGCCTTGCCGTCGCTGAAGGGCAGCACCAGCAGCAGTAGAGAACTCACGGTTCGGCGGCCTGACGTGGAACCGCCGCTGGCATTAACGCAAAGGCTCGTGATCCCGGCGGCGCCATTGGGGGTTATCGAGCTGGGTGCCGCGATGGCGCCGCCGTTTGCAATAAGCAACAAGACATCACGGGAAGGTTTTTTCGGATCCTGCACATGAAGCGCGCAGTCCGCCACCTCTGCCCCATAAGCACGGAAGCGGCGTTCGCGCCCGCCGCTGCCAGCTGCTGAGTCGGAGCTGCTGTATCCAGAAGCCGCCTGCGCTGCGGCAGCGGTGGCATTGACGACTTTCCGTACCGCGTGGCGTAGCAGTGTCTGCGCCAGAGGAAAGGGCTTGACACACAGCGCCATGAAGCTGCCAGAGGCGACAGGGACGCTTGGGGCGCTGTTGGCGCCGACACCGCTTAGCGTGGCATCAACTAGTGCCAAATCAGCTTGTGTCAGAGGCATCACGCGAAGCACACCCTGGGTGCGCAACGCGCGGAGCGGCGTGCCACCATCGCGTTCGGGCGAGCTACCGTTACCGCCGCCGCCACCGTTTTGCGGCAGATTACTTGGAATGTTATCTGATGCGGGCCGGCCGCTGAGCGAGAAGGAGTCCTTGCCGTTTATCATCGCAACCCGTGGTGACAGCGGCCGCATGGTATCTCTCCGGCCGTCTGTGGAGTTCACCACGTCCATACCGCCGCTGCTGGCCAGGCGGGAAATCTTGGCAGTGGATCGCGATATTGCGGGCGTGGCGGCGGACGGCCGGGTACCAAACATAAGGCCCACAGTAGAGGTCGCTTCCGGCACCAGCGCCGCAAAGACACGGGGCTCCAGCAGGAAGTGCTCTCGCATGCGGCAGCCGAGGGCGTCACACAGGGCGCTTACCAGCTGCTGCATGCTGGAGGCGGATGAAAGCTGGCGCAGGCTTTCGCACAGACTGGCTGTGAAGTCCCTTTCAGGGCCTAACAGGCACAAGGATGCGCTGAGCCCTAATTGTTGAAGCGCCTGAGGGCTGGTAAGAAGGTGGGGACAAGGCGCCGGTTGAGCAACAATGTTGCCACGGACGGCGGCGGCTGCAGCATTAACAAGGATACCACTGTCGCCGCGATGAAGTGCCGCTGAGTCGGCGACTAGTCCGGTAGCTGCTGGTGTTGCGGCTGTTGTTGGGTTGGATTGCAGCAGTGCCGTCGGTTTGTCCACTGCCGTTGTGGAGCCGTACCGGACAATCCACAGCGCACCGGCGATGCGGTCGCCGATAGTCAAAGGCAACAGAGCTACGACACCTTGTGCGTCCAGCGACGGCTTGGCAGATGGTACGGCAGCTCGTCCATCTATGTCCCGTGGGTCGTTCGCTCCCCGTGCAGGCCCGCTAGGGAAGTGAGGAAGGCTCTGAATGACAGGGGCCTGGGGTTGTGGGACAGATCCCCAACGGTGACAGCATCAAATCGCGATGAGCGAGGGACACAACGCGACATTTGGATTTTCATAGGGCTTTTCGTAGGGCAAAGGCGGGAGGTGGGCACTGGTTCATAGCTCATAGGGCTCACGCCCTCGGAGTACAGTTGTACGTACAGTTGGTAGCGGACCTGTGGGCTACTTGAGCATGCCTAGTCAACTGAATCTTAGAGCAGGTTTACCGCTTTCAATTGCGCGGCCTAAGCACACTGAGCCGTGAGTGCCACACGCAGCGAGAAAAAGTGCCTACCAGCCGCCTACCCATTCACCCACCTGATTGATGAGCATTTGATTGAGCATACCAGGCATGAGCCCTTGGTACGCTTCTCGCTTATCTCGCCTATGCGACTCAGGAACGCTTGCTGCTGCAGGATCCCTGTACGAGTCGCCCACGCGGCCCAGGACGTCGGGCTTTGCACGCTCGCCCAAGGGCCATACCTCCAGCCCCACCATCGGCGTGTTTTCTTCGGACTTGCATCCTGTGTACACGTCCCTGACTTCTCGCGCCAGCAGCAAGAAGCAGACCCTTGAGTTGCATTTACCAGAACCCGAAGCACCGTAGAAGCTGCAGAAGGAAAGAAAATGTAATTCAAGACGAAGTACAATTTATCACAAACTTGGCTAATCAGATGTGAAACGCCATGACCAAAACCCGACAGCTAACTGCTATGTATGCAAGCTCTTCAGCAAGTCAAGGCAGTCTTAACCTAAACACGCTTAAATAACGTGTACCTTATTTCTGAAGCATCGAAGAAAACGGCTATGTTCGATAGTACTGAATGCGTCCTCGGCAACCAGGGTCCACGCAAGCCGCCCAAGACGCGTTGAAGCTGAATTAATGCATTGAGCTCATAATCCTGTGAATTCTGTTAGCGTGTGTAAGGACGAGCCGAACCCGGATGCGTATTGACATTTGTCGGGAGCGTACCGCGCGATAGTTTTCGTGCGCTGAACCCGTTTGGTTAACCTGAATTGACGTGGCCTGTTGTCCTTTGTCTTTTTCCGGCCCTGACAATTCGTGTGGCGAGCATTCCTTAGCTTGCTTACTACGACCCGAGCAGATGCAAGCAAGCAGGGATATTGCGCCAACCGGCATATTACAACATTGACCTTTATGTAAAGGGTGTGATCACTGCAACCTAAATATATCGTAGGCTGTGAAAGAATTGCCAGTGCTTGTCACTCTTGTTGTTGACGCTCCTTCAGGATAAGTAATCGCCAACATTGCAAGGCAGCGGGGCGTGACTAACATACGCGCCTATGGGAATTCAGTCACACATTCTTGGAATGCGGCGCCTTACGACACTGGAAGTACAACAGCCGTGGATTTGATTTTCGGTTGCAGCTCTCCTTCTGGTGATTGCAGAGTCGCAGTGTGTGCTGATTTCACTCAAATTCATCCTGCAATGTAATTCTTGTTCAAATTAAGCAGCACAGGCATGGATGCGTACGGTTGCGCTGGTGTCCAGCGCGCAGTTAATGGCAGTACAAGTTACATTTTAAAATATTTATTTATATCGATAAAGTCGCGTTTTGTGAGGATTTCGGGCATACATAAGGAACAGAACGAACATTACGAAGCTTTACGTCCACCGTGCTACGGTACGCAGTTACGTCACTTTCATCGATTACGGGGTAACCGGTCTTGGCTTTTTGCATGATCTTATCATTCCGTCCCCCATGCTGTCCTTTGCTGTCTGTCGTCAAGTTCCCACCAGGGTAGAGTTACTAACGCGTCATGATATGAAATTCATTGCGCTTCAAGTTTTGCGCTGTGCGGATGGGGATTGGGGGGAAACTGGCAAAGGGCTTAAGTTCTAAAAGCCATCGAAAAAGATTAGCCTTAGAGCTGCCATCGCTCTTTCCAGGCCGGAAATTGTCCTAAGGGTTGTAACAAACTACCGTTGCAGCAGGAATCATACTTCACAGTTATGCATGTGTGACAGCGGTGCTTGCCACGACCCATGCAGCGACATAAGCTAAGGCGGACTGCACCCAGGCCTCAGTGTGGGGCACAGTGATCATGCATATCTGAGCCTGGGTTTATCCCTAACATGTCGGTTTCTGGGAACCTGCAACGTATGCGTGCTGCCCAGGGTAGTTAAACTCGCAAGGGCAGCGCATTCGGTTGTGTTGTGTTTATTGAAGCGTCACCGCACTTTATCCTTGTATGCTTGACCCTTTAGGGCCGCTGAAAGGCACGTCTCCCCTGTCTCCAAAAGTGAAGTCAGCTTACGCTTCCCAATTGTTAGGAGCTGTCTGGTCCCTTTTCATCTCGTGCCTTATATACGTAACTTGATAGCTACTTCCGTCGTTAGCGCCCGATGGCCGTTGCAATCGACCCGAGGGGATGCGGAGGTCGCGCCCTCCTATTAGATGCAAGCCTGGTTAAATGACGCACTTACATCCATAGAATGCGTGTAGAACAAACGGTGCTCCTAGGGTTTGGGATTTTTGCGCTCCCTATCTGCGACGTGGGCTGTCATAGCGAGGGCCAATTTTTTTAAGGATGGATGTGGATTCACAGGTGCGCTCGGGAATGTAAACGCAGGAGTATGACCTCAACCATCCTCGTGGTAGATTGTATGTGCTCATACGTGCATTATATAAGCCATATGGAGCTTTATCGTGTGGGATTGCTGGAGTAGATGACCTGGGGTAGCTTTACAGGATTACAGCAGTTTTAATACAATGTATAAACCGCAACAGCGTCTTTTGGCACCGTTTCAGCACACGATGCGTGGAGCTGCAGAATCGTAAGAGCGCAGTCTTACAGCCCGCTCCAGCGCTTGGAGCAGCTTGCTATGGTTATCACATAATGTTGCGGACAGATCACCGCCTGCTATCCATCCGGGCTCACGCCGTCCATAAATGCGCCCATTAGCCCCGTCTGCCCGTATCCGTATCTGCGTGCACAAGCTGGGCATCACAGTAACAAATGCAGTATAAATACAAATCTGTGAAATGCAGTGTTATTACAAAATTGCTCCTGGTACTATAGGCCATTCATTACAGGATTCGCAGTGCTTCGCGCTTGCGACCCTTCGACAAACTTCGGTCTCAGGGGTCGGCAAACGCCGCTGGTACAGCGGTTCCTTCCGTTGTACCCGTTGCAGAAATTCAACTCTATTCTTCATCGCTGGTACGGCAGCCGTACGGCAGGGTGCAGAAATTTCCCCCAAAAGGCAGGTTTGCGCAGTAATTGGGCGCAACAAGACAACTGTGGCTTTAACAGCGATGGTGTAACATAGTAAGTTTGGTACATCGGCCCGCAGACACTCTTTCCTCGGCTTTTACCCAAAATAATTTCCATACAGTTACTCGACCCTGGCACCAGTACCCGTGACAGTTATTCAGGGTTTGCCGACCTCTGTTCGGTATCAAAACGTACACCAAATGTCACAGTTCCGCGAGGTAATAATCCTAAGATCTATATACAAATAGATTTGAAATTTAGTAATGGGAACATCTAGTTTTCAACCGCTAACAGTCGTTTCTACGATTTTACGACGTTTGTGTTCATGAGAAGGAAAGGTCCAGAATGCCACTGGATTACACAAGGGTGCAGTTACATACCAATGCTATTCAATGTCTTGGAGGTGTACCTGTCGGGAACCTTCCGTACTTTCGCGTTATAGGTCAGGATGGCCGCACGGAGTCTGTACAGGTCTGCCCGCTGCTTGCCTGGACTTGTTGTCCTGGAGGCTCTCTTGTCACCAGAGTTATATTGATATAGCGGCAGATCTGCTCTCGTTCCTCTCGGTCCCCGCGACCTACAAGAAGGTTCCACACCAGACATCTAATCCCTTCTTCTCCAGCCAGGCCGGACGAGGCATATGCTGCGGCTTCATGTCATTGCAGCCCCCCATTCGTGCAGCCGAGGCGCTATATGGCCTGGGCCTCTAGGCGCGCGGACGCGACCTAACCGCTCCCCAGGGCCCATTACACAGGAGAGCGGTTGCGCCCCGTTATTCCTCATTGTCCGGACGAAGCTGTATGGCAAAAGGGCAAGTCGCCATTGCACGACGGCATTTCTCCTTTACAGAGTTAATGGACATCCTAGAGGGCAGAACGAGGAGGACAGGTCGCGGACCGAGACAGGGCACGCAACCATTGACTCTGGCTCCCTCAACGCAACCCACACACATTGCAACGAGATCTTGCCATCATACAAACAACTGCATAGGCATAACTCCTAAAGCAACCGTTGTACGGCCGGAAAGCACACGCGGGTCAAACGACTTAGCAGCAAAACTTAGTTTTCTGTACAAGCCGGCCAACTCCCTTGCAGTATTACAACACCTTAGAAGGGTAACGCAACTCAACACGAAACACGCGATACCACCATGGCTATTTGAGGCAGCGTGTCTACCTGGCTGCTATGCACCTCATGTGCACCGCTTTCCTGGCCTTAGCTGATATGGAGTTCTTCCCATTCCGTCCCGGGGATGCTGTTCAAGCTTTTGTTGATGGCCCTTAACTCAAAACAGTTATCGCTAGTGTTTAAGTCACGGTTGAATGACCCATATGGGTCGCCGGTACTGCCGGTCTTACATCGGCGGCGTACCAACTGGACGCTAGCATTTGCATTCGCGGCCTCTTAACTAACCTCTGCCCTGGCGGGAAGTACCCACAACTTGGCGTGATGGTCGCTGCATACGGAGTGCACCTACACTGCTATGACTGAGACAACAGGGACCAGACGTCCCTCTCCGGCTGCTGGTTGGAGCCGTAATCCACTTGCACTGTCGAGCCACTGGTTGGGCCGACAAGGTTACGGCAGCCCTTCAGGCGAACGATCATATGCACGTGCACTGGCGTAATCAAACGTCTCTCTGGCGTAACGAGCCCAAACAAGCCAGAAGCCCAAGAGCCTAAGAGACACAAGTTCGATTAGGAACATTTAAGCTGTGTCTTATTGATGCCGCTCATGCGTCAATATTATAGGCACATGATAACACCCCACGCGGATGATCTCGACTCCCCAGGCGTTCCCGCTGGTACGAGCTTCAAAGATAATATATTACTGCTCCTTAAACGTACATAAGTTCCCTCTGTGTCATGATTAGCATGCGTTTACACGCACTCCTGAAACTGCGCTCCGAATGCAGACAGCGTCACCTGCCATCTAACCAATCCTACCCTCCCTTATTGCTAACAGTGCATGCTCCCAAGCCCAAGCTCAAGGGATTGGGAGCAAGTCCTACCCGACACATCTAGCAGCGAGCTCCTTAAGCTCTCCGTTTCCTCCGAAACCCGAACTTCCCAAGCATCCCGCCTCCCTCAGGTCCAGGAAAAACGATGGTAGGGACATGGCTCTGACAGGACTCGAACTTCAGACCATCTCCCGGAAAGGTGCAAGCTCGGATGCGTTGTAGATGAGGAAGCCCACATTAATGCGGTTCTGGTTATAACACGCGATATCGCCTTGCTCGCACACCTTGCAGGCCCCACAGGCCTTGCGGCACACGCCCGGCGACACCGCGTTGACAATCATGTAGTCACGGTTCTGAGGAGGGCACGAGTATCAGAGACAGGGAGAGGTAGGGAAAGAGGGAGGCAGGGCCCGTGCAAGGGCGTAAGAGCAGGAGATACGACGCCATCAACGGGGCGGGCGAGGAGAAAAGTTTAGATATCTCAAACTTGATGCACCCCACGAACACGCGCTTATCTGCAGCAGGAGAGCTAGTCTTGGAACCAGAGTCCAGCAAGCAGTCCGGAGCAACGCCAGGCACAGAATCTTAACACCCCATTTTTAACCCAGGAAGACCCCTTATCCCCTAGCCACATAGCGCACTGCACTAATCATGGCGTCACCACAAACCTTCGGTGTGCTGCATTGTCCCAACGCGTTCACAGCACTCAACTGCAGCAAACGAAGCCCCGACAGCTTTCCATCCGCGCTGCATAACACCGCACCCGACTGAAGGAAAAAGGCTGCAAAAAAACAAAAGAAGCTGCATTGGGTACAGCTCCCGCACCGCACCGCGCCAGCACCACACTGCAAACGGTGTAACGCACACTTCGCCAGACAAAGAGCACTTGCGAAAGCCACGCCCTCCACACCTTCTCGCAGTCGCCGCGCGCCGCCCATTCCGCACATCTGGGGCTTTCATCGTAGCAGACCCCTGGGTCACGCACGTATGGCTGGTGCGGCCGCCCGGCCGCCATCTCCTGTGGCCGGAAGGGCTTTGCGTGGATCCACTTGGTTGCCGTCCACTTGACGCCCGACAGCACGGGGCAGCCCGTGTGGGAGGCATGGTAATCCTCCGTTGTGCCGTCAGGACCGATACTCCAGAACAGCAACGCGTCACCACGCTTGGGCGCAAAGGCCACGTGGTTCTTTGCGCAGGCTGAAAAATTGGCGCCGATGCTGGTCAGAGGTATGCAGCAGCGGAACGGCGCCGGTGGCGTGGGTGAGGTGTAGTGGGGCGGGAATGAGGTCGAGGAGGAGACTGAGGAGGGGACTGGTAGAATGGGAAAGGGGATTGAGCAGAGCGGCGCTGTACAGCGGGGACGGCAGGAGCAGGATGGGGAGCAGGGGCGAGGTAGTTCTTGGACGCGCAACACCACCCACCCGGCCACCCACATACTCGACCAGTCATACCCAAGCCAATGCTAGCATGTGTGTCAGGCAGTGCATGACCCTACCCAGCACCACCACCATCATCATCACTCACGTCTCTGCAAGCTTTGGGTTCACCCATTGGCTGTCTGGGAAGGCAGTCTCCCCGCCAGCCTCTGGTTCGTTGAGGTAAATCAGCACCTGCAGGTCATTAGAAGCGCCGGTAGAAGTGCCGGCAGATGGGTGTTCACGCCTAAAGCTACCTTAAGCTCACGCAGCAGGAGTTGACGACGACAACGCCTAGTCACGCAGCCATCACAAGCCGAGACGGTGGCGGCCGAGGCGGGGTCAAGCCGAAGACAAAGTCGGTCTGGGCTCCGGACAAACCGTTCCCTGTACCTCCATCATGCAGCAGAGGAACCCACGGCACATCCCGGTCAACCCCTTGGATGACTTGGACCTGCCCACGAGCTTCTTCTGGCATTACCCTACGCTATCCACTGCCAGTACGGCAATCCCATTGCAAAGCCCATACCCGCGATCCATGCGCGACCAGGTGCTCACCGTGGCCACCCGCACACCCGCCTCATCGTCCCGCAATGTGTCCGCATGGACCTTGTACTGCTGGCCGATGCCGTACCGAAGGATCTACATCCCGCAGAGTGGGCGTCATCAAACCACACAAGGAACGATTTCAGGTCAGGCGGTGCAGCGCAGGGCGTGAGCAGCATGCTTGGGTACCGGGCATATGATAGCACTGCAGGCGCGGTAGTAGATGGTCGTTGCAGGAGGTGTGGCTCACCAGCCGGGGTGAAAAAGCCGGCAGACGTGATGCAGCAAGCGTGATACTGAGCAGGCATGGCATCCGGCATGGCGATCTGCACAGACGTGGTGCAACAAATGCGCCGTAGCGCGTGTGGCCCTTCCCACCCGTACATGCCCATCTACCCGCGCTGTCTGAGGAGCCATCATTCTGTCTGAGGAGCGCGAACATGCTGTTTGCTTGTCCAAGCTGGATGTGAGTGAAGACGATACAGATGAAGGTGCGGGTTCCCCTTTGCATAGGGGGGGTGCTCACCGACCATTAAGTGACTAGCTTGCGACCCCACCCCACAGGGGTAAGAGCGGGTCTGCAATTGCCATCTTTCCCAACCCCATCCACATTTCGGAAGGAGCGCAGACAGACACCACCGACATAAGTTCGATTCCCGGTACCTGCATGTCTTCCTGATGTAGGACCGAAATCTGCGTCCATGCCGCCACCCGGTTCTCTATCCGCTCCACGACGTCGTCCTGGTACCTGCGAACGCCGGCCGTGTACAGCTCCGTATCAGACGGGTTTACGCGCGGGGAGCAAGGCAACGGAGCACTGCAGCCAGCCTGTTCGTCTTCATTCCCATGTCATCTTCATTCCCACCTCCGTCCCAGACCGTGGACCCGATTTGTTAGTCGCGCACCGTTTGAGGAAGGTGCCGTAGCTCTATGACGGCAGAGACAGCAGCAAAGTCGACAACCCGTGGCGCCAGAAGGACGCACGCGGATCCCGTCCGCGAGGAGAAGTCCGACGGAGGGGGCGCATCGTCCAATGGCCCGTCGATGGGGTGTGTATGAACACATGGGAAAGGCGGGAAACAGGCAAGGAAGGGCAATGACCACGCGACGATAATGTTTAGCCTCTTCCGCGGCCGGGGATCAAGCTCTGGCCGTCGAAAATCAAGAGATAGAGATGCCGCAGACGGGCCATGGCGCCATAACCCTCAAACGATACATGGAACTACGTGGCGTTGTCATGCGCTGTGGCATTGGCATGTTGGGCTGTGAGTTATACAAAAATCTGTATACCACCCATCCGACCAACAAAGAGAGCATTGGCCCCATTTCTATATGTCACTAGTAAGCGTTGCCTGACCCTTAGTATTGACATCGGTCTGACATCCTGTGCTTCAAGCCTGTTTTGCAACCGTCGGACCAGCGGTCGAACGAAGAATTCCAGACACAGGTACATGCCCTGTACACGCACACGCAGAGCTGATGCTGCGATGTGTCCGGAGCTGCGGCTTCGACAGCAGCAGTGGTACGAGCGCACGCGGCACAGACCTACACCACTCCTGTCGCTGGCGCCCAACAGACAGATCAACGTCCTGCGCGTCCCACTCGCTTTCCAGCACAGCTACGGGGCACCCTCTTGGGAAACCTTATTGCTTTTTCTTCTCAAGATCCCCTGTCGCCTAAGCAGTTCGTCCATCAAGCCGCCGACGGTGGACAGCAAATGAAGGAAAGGCGACTCACGCCGTCAGCGCAATGCGGCCATAGCAAGGTCTTCCCCCACCTCGGACACCTACCGTTCGGTAGCTATCCTCGACGCTTTGGCCTCCAGCTCCGACGACTGTCGAGCGCTTCATCTGCAAAAGGGGCCAGGCGACGACACGGACGCAGGGACCGGAGTTGTGGAGTCCGGATAATAGGCTCTCAGCTGGCGCAGTCTTTGACACAGAACATGATTTCCTTGAGTCCCGCATTCAATGTTTTGGATATGAGGTATACCATGAGCATGGAATCCAGGTTGACCACACGCATTTCAGCATGTCGCCGGTGGGTGACATGTACGATTTTTTGGATAATCGTGAGACATGCAACGGCCTGTCGATGTTCGTCCATCCTGCGGTTTTTGCGGCGTGTCAATTCTAGGTTGGTACGTGTTATTAGGTCACGTAATACAGACAGAAAAAAGCGATGTTTGCGTACGTATATGTGCCGTTCCCACGTGTGCAACGCTGTGTACGAGTGTTTTGCTCCGAGGGATGTTTTGTTTCGAGAAGGGACGCGTGACTGGCAAAGTCGTCAGCAATAACTCTGCTCGCCATCCCGCCCATCTCCAGCTTGTACCATGCACGAATTGGAGGCAGCCAGGCCTGGAAATTTCGCCCTCATACCTGCGGCGCTGCCAGCTCTATCATGTGCTTGGCCTCCATGTCGGTGATAAAGTTGTGGTAGATAAATACCCTAGGCTTCCAGGCCACGTGCTCAATCCAAGACTTGGATGCTGTGCAGCAGCATCGTACACAACGCACAAAGGGGGGGTGACATAGTAACCAGTGCTGCGGTCGGTAAGGCACCGCGGGGAGTCGTATGGGTTGTGCAAGCGTGCGAAACAAGGTGAGCGCCGAAGGGAATGAAAAAAGCGGTTGTAGGGTCTCACCATGTATGATGGTGACTGCTACACCGTGGGTTTAGGTTTGGGGCCGAGACAGGGGCCTTGGAGTGGCGTGCCGCGTGTAGTGTTGGCCGCAGTGCCGGCACTAGCGTCCTTACGGTGTAACATAGCGGGTCATGCTCATGGTTGTGCCTTACCTGGAAGCGGCAGGCCGTCCGTTAAGTTAAAATGCAAGGGGTCCCAATGAGCCTCAACGTTGTAAGTTTCGCCTTTCCATCCAATAAGCTTCTCTTCCCCAAAGGCTTGGCAACAAAACACAAGCCAAACGTAAACTACAGCAAGGAAACCACACCGTCTTGGCCCCATGGCGAGCAAAAGTCCCGGAAGGCAACTTGAGATGTAAATATGGTATAAAAACTACTTAGCACAACGTGATGTCAGCACGACTGCCTCGCCATTAAACTTATATAGGTGACTTGCAGCAACAAAGCTTTACAAGCTTTCCATTTCGAGATGAGAATCAAGGCTTTAGTAACGGCTTGTTCTAAAAACTAGTACATGCAGCATACAAGGTTACTGTAACGTGTTTGAAAGACGGCAGATGTTGCACGGCAGTCGACGCAAGGGGCGACGCGGCGACCAACTTTTTGCATGGGGGTTTTACCCGAGGTGACTATTACTTCTACATACTACGTGAGGTTGCAAATTATTTGCTGACGATAGGAAACCCGTAACTTCCGCTTATGGGCTCTTGATCATCTTGTCGTTTGCGTTCCTATTCCGCTGCTTCCCTTCAAATAATACTGGCATCACCATGATTTAGATCTCTCCTTGGATTATAGGTGATTAGGCAGGATGAGCTGCAGCGGATTTTTTATGCTCGTTTTGGCACTGGCGTCGCTTTTGCAAGCGCTTATTCCAATTTGCCATGGAAATAACTCCGCCAGGCTTATGCTTATTGAGGCAAGTTATTATGCACTGAGCCTCCGTCCAGCGTGGAACCCACTTTTGACTAGGCGCTGAACTATGATATCCGCAAACTGTGATGATATTGGTGTGAATCCCCTCCACTTCAGGAATTGCGGACAGCACCTGCAGATAGGGATGTACTAGCGCACGTGCCGAAGGTGCAGCGGCACCTATGGGAGTACCACGATGGTCGCAGCATTAATGAAGCCCTGCAATCCTTCGCGGATATCACGGTGGACATAACGGTTGCTATTAAGCTCATCGGCTTTGAAGGCGAAGGGTGTGTTGCGCTGGGTTGCTGTTTGCGGGGTGGTCCCAACTGGCGGGGAAAAGGGCCCCGGGCACGCAGCACGTCAAATGCAAATACCCAAGAACGGAGAGGGGTTGAAGCCAGACCCCAACCTTGCCTTGCAACCTTGCAACCTTGCCTTGGGGGGACGCTTATCTTCCGAAACCGCTACATCGTCTGGTTATGGCCGCCTATATCCTGTCGGCTGCTAGCAGCACACTGCGGTAGCCCTGAACCAGCTACACACCTTGTTCAGTATCCTCTTCCTCTTGCACGGCTGCTTGCTACGCGTCATATACTCCGGCTGCACATTCCATCTCGCGTGTTTTTGCATCCGCCACACGCCACATACTCAGGCTTTGTTTGTTGTCCGCCAGCCGTGTGGCCGGCATTCGATGTGTTTGCTGTGTTTTACACGGTGTAAAGGAAGAGCTGCTTACACCAGGGTGTGCCGTGGCACCCCCGCAGGATCAACCACATCAAAATCCACGACGCGGACTTCCAGCGCTACCTGCGCGGCCTGCATCTAGACGTTCAGACGACCGCACTGGAGCCGGAGCTGCACAATTTGGTGGGTGCGCGTGTCTGGGGTGACCCCGGGGTATGGGGGCGTGCGTGCGTGCGCGGCAAGTGGGATCTTGGTGGATGCGTAGGTGTGTGTATGGTGTGTGCGTCGTGGGTACGTGCATTGGTGTTTACTCCATGTAAGAAAGGAAACCTCCTGGATACTTTCCTCCCGACACACGGCCCTTGTTGGGATTTTGGCTTTTGGAAGTGCTGTTTTGGCACATGTGGTCCGTGAGGTAGTTAGACGTTAAGTGACGTGTCACCCGCTAGCACTCCTCTACTGCGGGAGCTCTCCTCCCAGTCAGTGTACGGCCCGGGACGAGATGACTTAAGCTTCTATAACGCGTATTAGGATGTCTATGCAAGCCGGAGGAAGAGGGGAAGGCGAGGAGGGGTAGAAAGGGGGAGAATGGGACTCGGGTGGCGTGCGTGCGGGCGCAAGCAAACCCCAGGCAGTTGGACCAGCGTCCGAACCCCAGCCCAAACGTGCACTATATAGTGCATACATATGTATGCATGCATGTATGTAAGTATGTATGTATGTATGTATGTATGTATGTATGTATGTATGTATGTATGTATGTATGTATGTATGTATGTATGTATGTATGTAAGTACGTGGGTGGATGGGTGGGTGCGCGTGTGCGTGACTATGGTTTTGGTCGCCGGTGGGGTGCGTCCCGGGTTTTTCCGCGATGATGCCCATCCACAGCTGAGCTGGGCCGGGCGATCTGCAACCTTTCCTGTCGCATGCATGTCACACATGCCGCGTGCATGTCCGGTTTGCTCACACAGCATTGCGTCCCCCTCTTCCTGGAGCACCCTTCCATCTCTGGTATCTGCTTCACTCGTCCGTGGCTCGCCTTACCCCTCCCCCGACCCGCATTCTCAGCCCCACTTCTAACCCTACTCCCAAACCCCAACCCACCCGCGACCCGGCTCTCAACTATGCCCCACCCCCCAGGCCGTGCGACCCCGCCTGCACTTCCAGGTCAGCAAGGCGTCGACAGCACTGACGCAAAAGCTGGCGGGCGTGCTGACGTCAGCAATCTTTGCCGCACGACAAGGTACGGCTAAAGCAGCACGTGGAGCGGAACGGCGAGGCAGCAGCAGGGCCACCAGGGACGGGGTTCGCCGAGGGACAGGGGGAGATGCGTGCACCTCTCACTTTCCTATTCTTGGTCATGCTGCTACTGCTACTACTACGCCTGCTACTGTTCATGCCGCTACGGTTGCCTATGCCGGTGCTGATGCTGCAGGCGGCAGTAGGGCCCATTTGGTGACCTATGTGGCCCACACGGTTGTGGATGACGTGTTGGCGGCGGAGGAGCGCGCGCAGGCCGCCGCCGCCAGCCCGGGTCATGGCTCCACGCCCTCCTTCACCCTTTACCTGATAAACCTGGAGCCGCCCAGCGGTACTGACTACCTGTACACGTTCAAGGAGGACCCCCAACTGGTGGCTGGTGGCAACTGGTGGGGTAGAGGGGGCCAAGGGGGAAAGTGGGGGGAAGGCTAGCGGGCCGCTGGGGGTGGGTGGTGGTGCTGGTGCTGGTGGTGCTGGTGCTGGTGGGTGGGTCGGATGTAGTGCGGGTGCACAGAGGCAGAACTGCAACCCGCAGTCCTCTACCTAGATCCTTGGTCTAGCCTTGATCTTCCTTGTATATTCTGACCTGTCCATTTCTAGAAGTGCCCTAAGAAGGTCGCCCTAAGAATCCGGAGCGGATGCATTCGGAGCTGAGCTTGTTGCGATAGTTGCTTTCATGGGGGAGGGGGAAGATGGGTTGGCTTGGAGGAGTTGGGTGGAGAGTGCAGGGGGCGTTCACGTGCCACCAGGGAAAAGGGAAGGGGAAGTGTCTTGAACAACAAACCCTAAGTTGCCAAAAAGTAGGAGTGACCGCAATAACAGGCGCAGTATTGCTCTGCAGAGGCAATGGTACCATTTGGTGTCAGCTAGTAGTGACAGGACCCCAGCCGAGGTTTTTTCCAGCGGGGTGGGGAGAGAGGGAAGCCGCGCTAGGGCCCCTCTGTTAGCCCTCGCTCGGCTCCCAGCCAGCCTGCTCCTCTCCGAAGTCCGTTCCACCTTTCCCCCGGATCGGCATGGGCCCCTGGCAAGGTGCTACCATCATCGCCAGGGTACAACCACCGTCCTTGCAATGTGCAATGCAACTACCATGCAAATCTGCTTTGGCTCTGTGTGTGCCCCCTGTATCTGTGTTACCTGCACGGTGCCATACGGTGTGCCTGTTTGCAGGTCGGAATTCCGCAGCTGCCCGGGTATGTTGTACGCCTCGGAACAGATCACTGGCGGCGCCGGGTTTGCATGGGTGGATCTGGGGGCGGCTCCACACGCGTATGGACCGCTGCGGGGCGGGCAGGGCCAGGTGTGCGGCTGGGCAAGGGGGGAATGCAGGGGGCTGTGATGGTGTGTGTGTGTGTGTGTGGCTGGGTCGCGGCGGAGGGGACCACGGGGGACACAGGAGGAGAGGGGGCTGGGGAAAACTGGGTGTGCCGTTACATCGGGTCTTTGTGCTTCCAGGGCCTTCCAAAGAGGTGTGCTTCCAGGCACGTGTCTAACGCGCATCTGCGCCATTGCTAGATGCGATAATACAGACCGTCCCACACTGCCGCCTCTCCTTATCGTCCGCAGATCTTCCCGCACAGCCTGCCCCATGCCTCAAACTACCAGCCAAACGTCGCCAACCTCGCCATTCTGCCCGATCTGGCGGCCCTGGCGGCGTCTGCGGTACAGCACCTGGCCTGGCCGCCACTGCAGCACGACAAGCTGGCGCTGCCGCGTCCATCAGGAGGCAATGCGCTGCGGGTGCAGGTACGGATGTAGGTGGATTTGCTGTACAGCTGCCTGCCGTGCCGCTTGGTACAGGCCAGCTGCCCGGCTGTGACTTTGCCTGGTGCCCTAGCTTTGCACGTCTTCTCAATCTACTGGACAGCCGGGGGACGGACTTGCCTTCCTTGTGGCGTGACGGCCTGCCGGCAGGGTAAAAGAGATGTGACGAAAGAGGGCCTTCCTTTCTGGTGTGTTTTTTGTTTGAGAGCCGTGCGAGCAGAAACCCTGGTGGTGTATTTCTATGCGTACGTGCATGTTTTCATTTTTTTTACGTTGATGCTTATGTTCATGCTTCCTCCAAGCATTCCCCAACCCACCCAACACCATCATGCCTGCCCTACTGCTGGGGCCGGCGGCTGCAGGTCGTTCATATACACGACACGCTGGCCATCCCGCCCCGCAGTCTTCGGAAGGACGTGATTGAGGTGGGTGGGTGGGTGGGTGGGTGGGCGAGAGCCGGGATTTTTCATACATGCATGCAATCGTTTGTCCGTTCGTCCATAGATTACTTCGTTTGTCCGCTTGAGCGTTGGTCACGATGCACACTGTTCACACACCCGGGGCCACGTACCTCCCCTTGGCCGTCACTGTTTCTGAATTGCATACACACTCAGACCTGTCAACTGCATCCGCAGCTGCGAACACAACCGCAACCACAACCACAATCCTAACCACTACCCAGCACGCACAAAGCCTTATCATCACCGCCACCACGCCGGGCTGCGCCATCACGGCCCGACCAACGTGCAGAAAGAGCTAGAGCGGGCACTTCAGGGCAGCTCATTCACGGTGGAGGTGCAGGAGTCCTTCTTGAGCTTCGCCATGTGTGACCTTTGCGTCAACGCCTACACCAGGTTCGTGCGAATCACAGGGGAATGGGGGCCGCGAAGAGCGAAGGAGAAGGGAAGGGAGGGAGAGGGCATTAGGAGGTGAAACAGCAGGGGAAGCGTTGCGCGCACGCTCGGACGGCTGCTTCATTAACCGCACCACCAAGAGAGCACTGAGAGCAGAAATGGCTCACAGTAGGTTAGGTTCGGCGGTTAATGAAGGCAGGGAGGCGCATTGCGACGACGAAGACACAACGCGACGTAGGAGGTGGGCAAGACGAACCACGAAGGATTGAAGCAGATACGAGAGATAGATGAATATTCCAGGATTAGACAGACATTGCAGGTTATATATTTGTAAGGTACTGTGACCAGTACTGACTTGAGTAGTAGTCATGGCGGCGAGGTGGCCAGCTAGATTGCGAAACGAGTAGGAGGGCGGCCTGGCACAACGGTGTAAATAGCCTAAAGCCCGAACACCCAGCAATGAGCCGGTTTGATTCGGGCTCTCACCTACGCACCCCTTCAGAATCTCCCTCCCTGCCTTCAGCGCGGCGCGGGGCCCCGCTACACCACGTTAAGGACCTCCCTCACTGCCATGTTGAGGACACCGCCGCGGGTATCCTCTTGCGTTCGCTTATGACTTCCCTGGCTGTCCGCGTAGAGTGATGTCTCGAATCGGTTTACGTTCCCCCTTACTGTACCCTTACCATCCACCTTCCACCCTCCTCTCTGGAATCCAGCAATTGGCGTTTTTGACGTCGGCAGTTGACCTTTTGGCCAGTGCTACTTGCATTACATAATTCCAACCCACTTCCCAACCAACTCATGGCCCTTGCAGTGCGCTCCGTATACGGACTCAGCGGAAGGAGGGCAGCACCGTCCTCGCGACCACCGGGCAGATATTGGACCGATTGGTGCTGCACCAGACTCTGACCCAGTACGCGGATGTGAGCGGGGAAGGGGATGTTGTGTTTGATATGAATAGCGATCCTCTGAGCCGCGGTGTGTTCTGTGCGTGTGTTTGGGGGATCGGGGGTCTTGGGGGTTTGGCACGGGAGGGCGCCAACAGTGCAGATGGGCGCGTCTCTGGCCAAGCGTGTCGACACCTGCCCTCAATGGACCCGTTGTTGTTGCGCTGTCATGTTCCGCCTCCCCGCCCCACCCCGGTCCGCGTTCGTGGTTCGCCTTCCCCCCCGGCTCACTATGGAAGTCAGCCTTTCCCTCTGTTGACTCCTTGCACACGATTCCTGTCGTCCTCCCCTCCTCGGCCCGCCCTCGGCAACAGATTATCCTGGCGTATGCGGGTGTGCACGAAACCCAGGACGTGCTGCCGGTGTTCCTGTTCGACTTGTCCATGCGGGACGAAGCGCTGCTCCTGGACGGGACGTTGCAGGTAGGCGGTAGGGGTTTGGGAGCAGGGAGGGTGATGTGGTTGTGGTGCCGCCATGACCCCCAGATAGTTAGAGTTTGTCGGCCTTCCCCGAGAGCTCAGCCACATCACTTTCTAGGGCTTTACCTAATTGGGCGGCACACACGCCTGTGGCATTGGATGGGGGCTTGTCTGCAAGTGGTCCGCTTGCGCGACGGGTGCTCCCTCCGCAGTGCCCTTAGCTGGGGCGCTGCATGATAGGCGACCTTCACCAGGAGGGCCGCGTCTTTTACCTTTTACCGCCTACCTACCAACTGCCAACCGACTACCCACCAACCTCGGACCTTACTCGGCCTATACAGTGTTCGGATTATGCGGTTAGCAGTACGACTACCGGTAGTGATTTATCTGTTAGGCCACATCGCCGCAACGTCATTCATTCAACTACGGTAGAGCTCGGCCTGGCCCCAAGCTCCCGTACTCCCTAATCTCCCCTCCCGCGCCTCCTGATCAACGGTCATACTGCCGTGGAGCCCTCCGATATCCGCCCGATTAACTTGGCTAAAACAGGACCACGGCAAATGCAAAGCATGGGACACGCGTGAACATGGCACCCTCTTGGTGCTGGTAGTTTTTGTTGGGGGTTCCCGGCAAGTGGATCCGACAATGTGCCGCACGCGCACACTGTATCAGATATAAACGTGATCGTGATCGCCATCATCTCCTCACACCGTCGTGTGGTTAAGTCCTTTCCTTCTCCCCGCACCGCGTTCCTCTTGTTCCGCAGGCCGCAGGGTTCCCCGACATGGTGGTTGCAGTCGCCACACGCGCTAACACCGTGCACACGCGCTTCAGCTGTGGCCACACAGTCCGTCACGTCAACCCGTCGGAGGTGACGCGGGAGGTGCTGGGCGGCATCCTGCAGTCAGGTACACAGCGCTGCCTGGTCGTATATGTACTCCTTTCGGGTGCACGCAGCGTGTAACAGCAGGGGGGGCTGCCTGAACCAAGGTCAGGGGCAGTCCACCGGCCTGTCCGGCGCTTCCTGCCCTCACGCGTGTAGGGAGCTTCATCGGCCGCACCTTGATCATGCAAGCCACAGCTGCAGTGTCTTGAAAGCGGCAGCAGTAGCAGTCGCAGTAGGGGCAGCAGTAACGCGCGTAGCATAGGTTTTCGGCAGCAGTAGGGGCCACGTGAGGCCGCACGGCATTGTCCCGCTTCGCCTGATTGCGAAACACACCGCCACTCTGCCAGCGCGAGGCGGCAGGCTCGCATGCGCCTCGCTAATTGTCCGGCACAAAGAGTTCGTTTGTGGCCTCCTCATTATCCGGGTGCCCGGGCTGGAGTGTTTGATGGCGAGGCGGCAGAGTTCCGTTCGTTTCCGTGCTTGTCCCAACGGCCTCCTGTCACTGGACAACGGCCTCCTGTCGTCTTCCCACCACACGTACACTACCATTACCACCATTACTGCCGCAGCTAGTACAGCCACCACATTCCAGACCAAGCAAACGCCGAAAGCGTCCGCACGGTCCCCTGCAATAGGCTCTGCTTTGCTCTCGACTGTGCATTGGCCCTTAACCCGACATTCGATACTTAACACACCGATCACACCCGGCCACCCGGCAGCCTTTGGCGTCCCGCACACCGCCCTGCGTTACCACCCCGCTTCGGGGACTGGTTGGAACTATCTGTGGGATCTTGGCGCCACGCCCTTCGGCCCGCTGTCGGACATGACCTCGCTGAGTGCCGCCATCGGCAGCACCATGCGCCGCAACCTGGCAGTCGTGGAGCTGGACGTTCAGGCGGGACGGATCGCGGCGTTGCTGCAGGTGTGTAATGGTGGAAGAGACACTACTGCTGAAGAGGGGATGACCCTCCCCGGAACAAGAGGATGGTTGGGCGGCTGCAGCGGGAGCAAAGGAAGCAAATGCGGGGTGGTTGGGCTGCTGGGAAATAATGTACCCACGCTGCCGCGCACACCTTGCGAGTGGAATATGGTTTCCATCTGGTTCATCCTGAGGTTGTCTTGCGTTATGTCTTTTCATTTATTGGACTGCGATGTTTTCTTAATCATCCCGGCGTTTTCCGCGGGCTCCTGTTGGGCTGCAGGGCCTGTCCCGCTTATCTCCCAAGGGCAACTGGAAGGCGGCGGTACCTGCCAAGGAGGCTCGCAACCGCATACACGCAAGGCTGAACGTGGCCGCCATCAAATTGGAACTGGCGGCTCTGGCGCTGTCGCAAGGTCGCAATGCGGGTGCGTCATCGTGCGCCTTGGCGGTGCACGCTCGTGCACACGCGTGGTGGCCTGTTTGCGTGGTTTGGCTTCAGGGGGCAAGCCATACCATCAGTGCTATTATTAAAATCCTTTTGACGTTTCTTTTTTCCTCCCCATGTTGGGCCCCTTGCCGCTTCACACGCTTATCCCCAAATGCACCTGTGCAACGGTTTCCATTTGGGTGACATGCGGGTCATGATGCCAAGGCTATGCTTTCCTAATCACTGTGCCTCGCAGACGCGTTACGACTGGCCCGTCTGCTGTCCCACGACGCATCCGCGCTGGAGCGTACAGCTCTTCGACTGGAGTCTGGTTTGCTGTCCAAGCTCCAGTGCCGCGGCACTACCGACTGGACGGTGCTGCTGTGGCCGCCCGCTGGCAGCCTCTTGGCTTTGATGCTTGCGGTATGGTGGCGCAGCCGGGGGGCGAGGCTCCGGGCGGAGGCTCGCTACGACAAGATCTACTAATTGAAAAGCTACCTGCCTGTTCACGAGCACCCCAAGACACGCGTGTGCGCAATTACGCACGCACACAGGTGTACAGGCACCATGCAGCCAGTGTTGGCGGCGGCGTGTTTGTCACGTGTGCATGGATACGTGCACGTGTCATGAATTTCCGCATGTATGGTGTGTCCTGCGTCCTTTGTCATGTCTGCGATGTCACTGCACGGTCGTGTGTAGCAGGTTGCAGTGAGCAGGGCCATACGTAGCATATGTATGGCTCTACGGTCGACGCTGTACGTACTTCTGACATACGCTGATTACGATTTTTAACCCGTGACCTTAACGGCGGCAACCTCCTTCGCAGTAAACGAAACATAACGATGAAGTGGACTATCGCAGAAGCAGCTGCGGAAATGTTAAATGGCCGCAGGCGAAGCTAGGATAAACTCCTGGTGCTGGAACAAAGCCAGGATGTTCACGATCTATAATGTTCCGGCCTGTGAGCAGCGAGTGATATCTAGGTGTTTGATTCATCCAATCGAATCAACCCCGAAGCCAGGTGCGAGGGTCGTGGGTGAGCGGCCAGGGGCTAATGTACCGGGCACTATATGTAAGTGGCTGTGTAAGCTCCATGCAGCGCATTGGTAAAGGAGTCAAGCGCGGCTTCAGAAGACTAATCAATGTCAAAGGTAAACGCGTTGGCATGCCCTGGGATCGTTCCGTCGGTACATGCATCACCTCGACACTGGAAAGGGCAGTGGCCATAGGTAGGACTACACATTTTGAGAGGACCGTGTGAAGAGCATCTAAATGTAAGCACGACGAATGAAGCAGTTTCTTCTAACCGAAGGACGCCTGCACCTATAACCATCGGTTAAAGCCAAAAACCAGCAACAACCTCTCCCGACAAGCATCTCACTCTCAAGGCGGAACCTGAGCAAGGAGCAATGTCGGAGTCAGCAGATTCAATATCCCTTAACCACCACTCATCACCACTTCTGCTGAAGCAAAAAAGGCCGCTAGGCAATACAATTCCACTGATACGCTTCGCTCCCATGCAACCTCCTGTCAAAGCGTGTAGACGAAAGCCCTGAATGAAGTGACAGCAAAGCTGCAACTTAGCAACTGCACCAGAGAGCAGTAGCACATAAACGGCAATGCTTTACGCGCTGAGCACGAGTTTGGTGGCGAAGGCGAAGGCGTTGTTGACGCCCGGGTTGGCCAGATGGTCGTTCAGGTTCTCAATAGGGTCGTTGCCGGTCACAATGGCCTGCATGAAGAAGCCGAACATGGAGAACATGGCCAGGCGGCCGTTCTTGGTCTCCTTGACCATAAGCTCGGTGAAGGTGTCCGGGTCGTCAGCCAGGCCCAGGGGGTCGAACGACTCGCCGTGGTACAGCGGGTCCAGGCCCTCGCCGGCCGGGCTGCCATTCACACGGTAACCCTCCACCAGGCCCATCAGGATCATCTGCGCGGCATGTGAGCAGCGAAAGCGGGGAAGAAGACTGCAGCCAAACGGATAAGCAAGATGCCACAGCTGAGTATGTCTCTTGCTCACTTTGCAAACTATGTAGTACCAAGCAACATGGGCAAGCAGCGAAACACACAGCTGCTGAAGGTCTCGCGTAAGCAGACAGGTCGGCAGTGTCCCAGCCGTAGTCACCGGGGAACTCGCCGGTCAGATCTGCAGGGATGGCACTCTCGCTGTTAATGTCCGATGTGGCCACAGTAAGGGAAAGCAGACAGAGCAGCAGCTCGCATAGAGAAGAAAGAGGTAAATTTTGACCTCGCCCGGGACATGTACTACACGATCTGAGCAAGGGATAGAATGGAGAGCCTGTGCATATGGAACCGACGCTATCGCAATTCGTGCCCAAGGGCGGACTATTATTCCGCCCCTCAACGGGCTTCCTGACGGATCTCTGCAAAGTGACCTACCGAGCCACTTCACGCAGTTCGGGCCATACCACTCGATGCAGTTATCACAGCTGCTGGCAACGCCTGGGTGTCATAGCGGCGCTGCGCGTCCTTGAGTCCTCATCATGTACACAAACCCCAAGTATGATATGAGCACCCGGCTTTCAATGTCAGGGCGTTTGGAACACGCCCTGTGCTTCGGGAAGTGAATGGCCCTGCTGCATACGTTCCGCAGTTGCAAACGACATACCAGACTTCCCATCGACATACTTAGGAAGCAGACGGAGATTGCTGCGGCGCCATTAGTTGTGGTTCTCTCTTTGCCAAGGCCGCTGCTGGGCTCCAAGCTGGTGTTGTCAACACGTTCCGCATCTTGAAGAAGGAGCCTTGGAAATGGCTATGGGACACCGGAGCTGAGGAGCATCTAACCTTAAGTGCTATGATGCGGATATGTTGACACTGGTGCATGATGGTTGTAGTGTGCAGTTCGAAGTAGCGGATGGGCGGGTTGCAAGCTCCATCAGGGCAGGCAAGGTCCATCAGGACATCAGGGCAAGGTTGGGGTTTCCTCAGAGGTCGGGAATACGCAAGTAACTTTGTCTGTGCACGTGATGCAGGAATGATGTACCTCCTATTTTTGATCAAGGCGTTCAAGAGTTCCTTTCCCCCACACGAACATGGAGCCGAAGCTTTCTAGCTACAGTCGCCATGCTGTGAAGCATGGCAGCAAGAAAGGTGAATAAACATGGGTGATGGCAATGCAGTTTTTGTGCATCTGGGTTACTCTTGTCTATGATGTGCATCGTGAGCCACTGTAGTAGCTGGCCGCTGAAAAGGCCTCTCGAGATGCTGGTGGACGCGCTTAGCGCGTATTTGTAGCTGTTATGTGTGCCGTACCGCGTACCAGCTACTACAGCCACGGCTGGGATGACGCTAACAAAGGAGGACCATCTGGAGGCAAAACAGCTATTTCAATCGGTACTTTCCTGAAGTCGTAATACGCAAGGTACCCCGTGCTGTCTGTGAGGTATTGCATGGGTGGGAGAAACACACGGAAATTGGGGGTGTGCCGTATGCGCAGCGACTGCAGAACGGAAATCGTGAATGGGAAATTGGCGAAATGTTTTCCAGATGATGAAATCCTACACGAGAGTTTTGCGCTGTACGTGCTGGAGGAGAATAGAGCAGCAGAGCGCTTAAATTGAACCCTGCTTGAATGTGATAACATCCTGCCTACAGAGCCCCATGGCAGCTTGCAGCATGGATAACATGCATGTGTGAAGCCGAGGTCGATTGACAGATATGGCTAAGGGACTAAGCTGGGGCACGTAGTGGCTGGCCGCTGAAAGGCCTCTTACGACGCTGTTGGCAGGGAACGCCTAAGCGCGTATTTATCGACGATGTGTGTACCGTACTATCTACAGCTACTGCATTCCTCCAGCTATCTAGCTATCTACAGCTACTGCATTCCTCCCCCTCTGGATGGGTCTTGTCTCAGGCTCTTAAGGCGACATACACCAGCCTGCGCCTACCAGTTCCTTCCCTTGGGTAGTGGGTGTAGTATCCTGGGCACAGCCTTGCACGCCTCGTAAAGAACAGACAAACAAAAACCTTACCCCATGTCGTCACCTTACCTACCTAAAATAGTGAAATACACCGCTAAAGGCCATTATTACACCGCTAAAGGCCATTTTCGTTACCTAGCACACGATGGACGAAAAACACAGGTAATAAAGCACAGGAAGAAACACAGAAAAACATAGGAAAACAAGTATTGAAGATTATCGTATCATACCAGTGCAGCAGTTTTGCACAACGTGGTTCGTTAGCGCCGTTTCGGCGTACATCTCTGCAGCCTCGGTGCCTCGGTGACAAAACATCAACTTAAATCCACACAAATAGAAATCGTGTGCCAGCGCGAGTTAAGAACTCACAGGTATCAGTTTCAAATGCATCTTTGTGCGCTGCGCATTCCGTGCACAGGCAGGCGACGGAACCTGTGCGTACGTACGTACGTGGCTGCACTGCTGCAGATAGATGACCGAGCAGGATGGCACTGGGAGATCGGGGCCCAGGCAGAAACTGAAACCCCCACATTCCCAGTAATAATCTCTGCTTCGTAGCAAATGCGCAACTAAATCAAAATCGTCATTATCAATTGGAAACCAAGAACATTTCTTGCTTGCTTGCTGCTGCTACTGCTGCTAGCCGGCGGCGGCCGACCATCCAAGTAACCCTCCTCACCATGGACACCGTCGCGTTATTATCCACGCACATACTGTTTCATTACCGTTATATTCGTCTGTAATTTTTTTATCGTCGACTGATCGTGCCTGAGTATGATAAATTGGGACGGTCCCTATCTATTACACCAGGGCACTATACATTTTTTTATAGACTATAATTTTTTTCAGTCGACGTCCATTTTGTATGTCCGTCAGCAGCAGGCATGAATGCCCAAGTTGTACATGTGATAGATACATGTCCCAGTCGCGTCCCTGACGGCATCTAGATGCCGTCAGCATTAGTCAGCAGATCTGCTGACTAATGCTGAGTTGAGGACGGCGAGCGAGTATTAGAAGCCTTCCGCCCACCACGAACACGCTTGACCGAGGGGAGCTCCCAGCCCCCAGCTGCTGCTGACAGAGGTCAGTCCACATTCAGCCGCTGCTGCTCTCCATTCCACCGCCGCTGCTGCCACTTTGGACTGCCACCGTGAACCGATTCCACCGCCGAATTCCATTTTGGCGCTCCGTTGCTTGGACCTCTGTGAAGGCTCGCTTAATAACAAGCTCCATCCCAGTTGCGCCAGCCCTGTAATGGTCGTTGTGTGTGGTGTGTGAGCGCTGCATTCTGCTGCAGGTCGAAATAATCATTGCCACCGGCCATGTTGTCTAGCTTCCTTGCGCTAGCTGCCTCGCTCTGTCCTGGCGGCCAGGTGCTCCATGGAGCCGTTGCCCTTCCGCTTTTGGAGGAGCCAAGCGTAAGCCGCCTTCAGCGCCTTTGCCATGCTAGTAATCGAACCCAACATGCCTGACCCGATAACAACTGCAGCTGAGAGACCGAAGCAACCTAAGGTTATCACACAAGAGCCGCACAAACGGACAGCAGGCATGCAGAGGCGCGAGTGTTACTTCCAAGTACTTGGCACGTGTGTAGGGATGGAGACGATTGCTTGCTGGGTAGCTAGCTCGTGCTGAGGAGGTCCTGCTGTTACGCCATGCCATGCGTGTAAGCTTAGCAACTCTTGCCTTTTGCGGTTAAGTGCCAGATGAGGCAGCAGATGTAAAAACAGCAGTAATAGCAGGCCGTAGACGTCAGGACCGACTTATGGTCTATGGATAGGCAGGGTCATCGTATTACAGATAAGACCGCGCAATAGAGCGTACATAAAATCATTGCAGGATAGGATGATCGCGCCACGGTATCATATAGACATGCCTGCAAATTGAAGATCTATCTTCGGACACTCCTCAACTTTACAGACGACTTAAGGCAACCTGCGTGCGACTAACCACCAGCGCTGGTCGTTAACGACGGTCAAGCGATCATAGCACATTACCTGCAAGAGCGAAGTACGCACGGGACCTCCCGCTAACAGATAGGAGTGTAATGCTGTGCATCATCATCTGTGATCTGCTACCTTCCCGCTGATTCTGTATTTCAATGGTCAACATGTGTGTAGAACCGTTATTGGCGGAGTCCACGCATGTGCTATGTATGCCACATGTCGCGCGGTCGCTGTAGACCCGTTTGGAAACCGGATGGGACCCAACGAAAACATGGCCATGTATTCGTGCACACGTACTGAGGCAGCGTGCACGCTAATATGTTACATTCAAGGCCCATAACATGTAGAGAAGTTGAAATACACAGCCCGCCACGCTTGTTTATCAATTCTATAACCGCGCATTGTTTCCTTGCTTGCTTTACTTACCAATCATAATCCAAGTGCTGGGTGCATGGTTGTCATCTGGGTTTTTGTCCAGCAATGAAACCGCGCAGACGATCAGCCCCAAAACAGCCATGTGGCATACCACCTCCACGAACTGCTGCTGGGAGCTCACATAAGGCCGCCAAATCGTCAGTTGCAGTATGATCGTGACCTGTAGGACGAACAACAATACCATTTGTAGCACACTCCGACTGTAGCGCCCAAGGAAGCCAAATGCCGCAGCGCAGGCAGCCTTGTGCGACACGTTCATGGCTGTGATGCTCAGGATGATCTTGTCCTCACGGGAAAGATGTGTATTACCGCTTTTCTGCGAGCGCGAGAAAGCGAGAGGGGGGTTTCCCGTATTCATCACGTTAGCTGCGGTTTCCTTATTCGCTTGTTTGACGGATATGTGGATTGGAACACAGTCAAAGAACCGGAAAAAAAGGAAACGTGAATTTACAAAAGAAGAAATGTTGTTGTGCAAACAGCCGTATTCAATACCGCACACCACATGCTTCGGTTGCAGATCATCCAGCAGCAGATAGATCGACCTATTCTGGTTGCTTGGGCCGTGGTAAGAGGCTCGCCTTGGTACCTCTTCTTAACCTCTACAACTCTCATGTTTGGGTGCGGGCAGCACCGGTGATGATCCGGTCGGACATCGCTGTGACGTCAATATTCATTCATTCTTTCATCCAAAATTTCATCTGCTCGCTCGCTGCCGAGTGCTACCCTGTCTCGTTCATCCGTTCCCGCAAGCGACCGTGTTATGACACCCAATCGCCAGCGTGTCTTCGTGTGGCGCGGGTGGGGTAGGGTGGATGGGAGCCATTCCTTCGTTGCTCCAAGCGAGGACGCGCATTATACAACCTAGACCTATATGTATTGAGAGTGTACGTCGTATGGTACGACATACAGCTACTACATATGCATACTGTCCAGATCTTTATGCTATCTTTCCTGCCACCTGCCATCCGGCAGGCGAGCATGTGCATGCACGTGCTTTCCCGCTATAGTTATGTACCACAATCGAAATCATTAATGGCAAATAAACCCCATCGATATAACCTGCCAACCCCTCTATCTCGAAAATGGAAACCTTATCCACCAGGCAGCACTCGCCATTATTGCCTCTTCAAACAAGAACTCGAACCGTGCCAGCAGATGTAGCGGCGGTGTAATTTTCAGGCGAAGTGGCAAGCAACCCGGCCGGTAGCGCATCGCATGCATAGGCACCGCCCGGCCTGCACACAGCAGTTAGACACATAGTCATAAACAACTACCAGACATCGGACTTAAAGAGTGGTTGGAGGCCAATGCACGGATGATGTACATGCATGTTGAGGTTCCATTGAAATTCCTGAATGGTGTCAGCTTAAACGCGTAGACGGATTGATTAGTTACTTAACATCTTAACAGCTGTTTCCCTACGCACGCCTTCCAGCCCTACAACCCACCGGGATACAGCGGCCGACCCTGAAGGTCTGCCGTATGTAGCTGCGTGGTGGCCACGAATGCTACCCCGGGATTCGCGCCATCAGCCGCAGGCCGTCGCCCCTGCCGCCGATGTCGTCTCCTTCGTGCTGTGCTGCGTTGAGCCTGAAGACAGGATATTTCCTCTGCAGGTTCATCTGCAACATGATTAGCCAACCTCCTGTCGTTGCTATCGCTCCTCATGCTGTTGTCACTATCGCCTGCACTGTACAGCCCCACCGCTGCCTCCGCCGCCTCAGCCAAGGGTCCAGCCCCACCACCGGCCCTGTCACTCCTACCGTTGCCCATTTCCAACGGTTTCTCTTCCTCGTCACACGGCTGCACCTTCGTGGCTCGCCTCGATGACCCAGCTGCGATTGTTATGGTGGTGTTGGCATGGGTTTCCCCTAGGCTGGCACAGCTCCGGAGCCGTGGTATCAGGTCCTGCTGGCCAGGTCCGACAACTGGTGATGACATGGCGACTGGTAACAGGATTGCAGGCGACGGCGGCCGTACAGCAGTACTGGACGCGTTGCTCGGGGCCACCGAGCATCCAAGCTTATGTGGATCTGGACCCTCGTGGGAACGGGGCTGCCCTCCGTTCAAGCTGTAAGCAGCCTCACTCCCTGGCCTGATATCACTGGTTCGGCCCGGCTTCGGAGTGGACAGGGAGCAGAAAGTGCCAAAGAACGGATTTGGTAAAACACCGGTTATGGCCGAGTCCAATTTTCGTGCATTGCTCTGCTGAGGGATGATGGGAATAGAACAATCATTACACACAATACGGGCGGGGCACCTTAAGCCACGCGCAGCCAGCCAGCCAGCCAGCCAACTAATGCCAGGCAGGCATTAGCTAGGTCCCCCTTCCGTAAGCCTCGCTCCGCTGGTATATGAGATGCATAATCCATATGGCTTAATCCATATGGATTTCTCAAAGGAATTGCAACAAATAACCCACAACCACTTTCGTGCATCGGTTTCATGCAAGCATGCATGGTTGCGTGCTGTGAACAATTAAACGGCTTGAAATCCTGCACTTGCACACACGAGCAGCAGAATGATGAGCATAGTGCTCTTGGTTGCAAGCCCTTGCTTACCACAAACGGCGCCCTATCCGTGTCTGGCTTAGCAACCAACAGCATCCCGCAGCTGCTAGGCGCCTTCAACTCTGCGCTCGCGTCGGTTTGCAAACGCGAGGACAATTGTCCTGATCGCCATTCGGAGTCATTAACGCGTGCCAGTGTTGGTGCATTGGCACAGCCGTGTAATGTGATGATGCTGCTGGGCCCGCGCAACACGGTGCCGGATGGCGTTCTGCTGGGCCTGGCGGCCTCTACTGGAGCCGACTTGGTGACGTAAAGCGACCTCCTGCCGGTGTGGCGCGCTAGATTCCAAGCCTGAGGGGCAGCTTCGACTGCCAGTTGTTCAGAGTTGTACCCACCGGTGGGTGGGGGGGGCACTAGTGGGGTACCAGCGGCGTCTGTAACTGCTGATATTTCTTCTTTTGATGCTGTATCGCAGGTGGGTCACGTGCAAAAAGGGCGGCAGGGTATGGCAGCAGATAGAGGGCTCTCGCGGTTAGCAGAACAAAAAGAACAGGAAAAGATGGATGTCTGATTGGCACTGACTGGTATCATCGGCTAATTCCACGACGCACTTTGCTTGACTTTATTAACCGTCCAAACGTATCCCGCAAAAACACGATATATATGGTTCATAGAAGCGCATCTGGTATGATGATGAGGCTGGCTCGGGGGCGATAGTACGGAAACATCACTTCGGTTTAATCGAGTCGAAGTACGGAAATGTCGTACTGCATCCGCCGTTTCAAGCATCAATAATTGGCAAGTTTTTTCTTCGTATTTGCTAGTTGTTTTGAACATCTTTGCAATGAGCGGCGCTGGTAAATGCCCGCCCGCCAACCCAAGTTATGTTTTTTGGACTCGTTCGGGGATTGCCGCTGGAACTGATCTGGGATGTTCTTAGTCGATGCATCTGAGGTCAATTGGCCACTGAGGTCAACTTTTAAACGTTGGTCCGATAACTGTCGTTTTGCTAATATTACCTGTCAGGTTGAAGGCAGGTACGTATCGGGGGGGGGGACGGAGTAGCTAGCATAGCATGGCGTGTTTTTCCTGAAGTGTAACGTGCGAGAGAACAAGAAACCTAATCAAACAGGGCAACACTTAATCCACGCATGCAGGCACTCCAGTACACTCTTGGAGACGGTGGTGGCGGTTGTAGTGGCTGCCCGCTGATGAAAAGGCCTCCCGAGATCCGGGTCAAGCGCTTCGCGCGTACTTGTAGTTGTTGTTATGTGTGCCGTACTGTGTACGGCAGCTACTGCAGTGGTGAAGATGACCTTGCTGCTGTCGTCACCGTTCGCACCGATCTCATAGCAGTATTATGACCATGATAACACTGAATGAACAACATGAACACTGCTCACAGCGATAACCGAGGTTTTAAATGGGACAACACTCTTACCTTGGAAATGCGCCGGAGTACTCTTCGACTCCGGGCAGTTTAACACTGACTCCCATGGCGCCTGTATCGGGTTCATCACCATATCTTCTGGGATATAGGCTTCTGCCACCAGCTGATTTCTTAAACCATTCTCAGTGCATGCCAATGCTGCTGCCTGGGCGGTGATTTCAGAGGATGATCTTCTGCCAGGCTGTGAAGCTCCGACTAGGCTGCTGTTACGCTGCCGCCAGAGCTGTAACGGTATAGGTGGGTTAGGTTGCACAAGGGGCCGACTGCATGTTGGCCGTGTCTTTGCTGCCCAGACTTTACGGCTCACAGCAGAAGCCCGCCGGCCAGGTGTGGGCGTCTGGGTGCAGCTGGAACGACCTTCATCGTCGGGACCCATCCACCACTTACGGCTGTTTGAGGTCTTGTTGGTGCTTTTTGCGCCCTGCTCGTCACCCAGTGCACCAACTGCATCCTGAATTTTCGTCGTGAGCTCCGCATGGGGATGAAGGTAGTTGGACCGGGTTGAACTTCCTCGGGGTCTTAGACGACGTGTAGACGACGGGACGCACTGTATCACCGGGGCCAACTCGGCCGAGCCCCAATGCTCTTTGGGTTGCTTGAGGGTGTGGTTGAGCCCGCCGAAGTTGCCGAGTGACAGGTCATCAGGGCACTTTAGCAGCAGCAGCATCTGCTGCTCCTGCTTCTGCTCTTCCTGTTTCTGTTTCTGTAGCTGCTGCTGTTGCAGTTGCAGTTGCTGCTCCTGTTGCTGCTCCTGTTGGTGTGGTGGTAGTTGTGCTGGCTGATCCAGCGCCTTGGAAGGCATGCTGCAGATGCCTTCGGTGAAGCAATTGCGTGGATTGCTCTGACCGATGAGTGGCTCTGGATCATTTCGTGCTGTGCATTTTTCTGGTAATGTTAGGTTGGCACCTTCACTGCTTTCTTCGTGGCCATGTAGCGGGTTTCCATCCACCGCAGCGTCACAGTCCAACTCCTGTGCAATGGCAACACCACCCTTCAACAGCTGAAGTACGTTGGAACGTTGCATTATTGGGGTCTGCCGGCGGACCACATGAACTCGGGGCGCACCCTCTTCAGCTGGGACTCGGCTTCCCTGGCTATCACCCGCCTTTGCTGTCCCAGTAGTAAAGGTGTCTTGTCTGGGGCAATTTAGGCATTCGGACATGAGGCTTCCGCTGTTTTTTTGAATCGGCTGCGGCAAAGGAGGTAGGCTTGTCCCAGTGTTAAGCAAGGCAGCTTTGTCGGGATCATGGCTTTCACAACTAACCGTGGCGCCTGGTACAGCTCCCTCCAAACCGGCGCCTTAAATTGTCACCATAGGCATGGTCAGGAAAGGGCAAGAGGGAGCGTCCTGATAATGTTAGCATGCATGCACTTCGGTCGTAAAATGATTAATGAGGTTACAGCAGTTGATCCGATCGGATCCAATCCTAACCGGATCCGATTGGATCAGAGCATGATAATCTGTGTTACATCGTCTTCTTGAGTTATGTCATGGGAGTCTATTAACCTTGTTAGCAGAAACGTCCTTATTACCGCCCTGGCACCTGCACGTCTCCTTACCCTGTATACCAAACAACTGGTCAAACAACTCAACTCGAGCCTATCCAAGCCCCGATCGCTGGCTGTGCCCACTTTAGGAATGCTTGGCAAGGGAGTTTTGTCACAGGCGACATTCCTAACGCATACAGGAAATTCGTGAGGACTTAGCTATGGACATACGCAAAACCACATGCACTCCCATGTACATGGAGCAGCAGCGCCGTGGGCATACAAATGAATCGACTCTCTATTTGTATCGGTTTGCCCTCTTCCCTGCATAAGAAGGAATCACTTGAAACCCTTACCGGCATCTTTCGTGGGTTGAGGTTGGCACCTGTGCGTGATTAAATCCTCGTGAACAACTGGCGGTTCTTCCCCCGGGAGACCCACTGGGGTACTTTCACACGGCCAAACCCTCTCTTGGGCCCATAGCGCTTCTCCATCGATAATCCGACATGACTCGTGGACATGATCTCCACCGTGTGGCTGTACAGGTGTGGGGATGGGTTCACGTCATTGATGCCCTGAATAAATGGGATCTGCAAATTGTCTACGAAGCTTGGCCAGCATACTGGAAGAAAACATTTACACACACTTTGCTGTTCGCGGTGTAGGTGGCAGTGAACCTACGTAAAAGATAATCCTCCGTTGAACGCATGAAGGGTGTCACGCGAGGTATATATATATACATGCTGTACATGTGCACATACATGCTTTGGTTTGTCCAAGCACTTGGCAAACGCATCGGACATATGCCAGCATCGGTATATACTTCAAGTACCCAGCCGGCAGTCCTTACCGTCTCCTCAAGGTACCAGCGACAACTCGTTATCCACCAGAGCAGGAGGAAGTATGGAAGCACGGCGATGGTCAGCACGAGCACAGCGACAATTTGGTTCCGCCCGAAACCCGGTTGTGCTAGTGCGTCGAACGAGAAGTAAGTCAGCGCAACAAGCAGAAGACCTGCGCTAGATTGAGTCGGAACAGGGTGCAACAATGGTTAAGTTAAAACCCCAACCAGCCGTGTGCACCCGGCCCCCGCGCTGTGTTCGGCCCTGGGCCCCCGGCTTTTCAGCCCACAGTGTAATCAACGTCATACCTGAGGCCGCCGGAAGTGAAACGCAATGCTACTACTCCCCTTACGCAATAAGAAGGTGCATCTACACAGGGGCAGTAAGATCTTCCTAAATTGCAAAACAACGCGGGTAGGCGGAACGCTCCGTGCAGCTTGCAGGTACTCGTCATTCATGAAGCCAGCCTCCAAAGCCTCCAGCATCTGCACGTACCTGCCATGTCGACTTCCACTCGCGGGAATTGCAAGATAGGGGGAAGCTCCTTGCGGCGCATAATCAGCTTGAACAGCACTATTGCGATGGCATGGGCCAACAGTAGGCCGCCGAAGATTATCAGCGCGACTGCCGTTGTGTACACCAGGTCCTGCTCATCCTCCTGAAAGGGGACGTTTTTGGCTGCGCTGCTGTCGGGGGTGATAGTCTCTGCCTCTAGTCCAGGACTGCCCCAGCTTCCATTCACGATGCGGCCGCTGGAGTCCACATTCACGTCATCACCATCGTCACCACCTCCAGCGATGGCATACATGGCGCTGGAATCCGTCGTACCAGCATCCGCGCTGCTGCTTTTGCTGCCATTTCCACCTGCGGAATCCGGTTCAGAGATCCTCCGCAAAAAAGATATTAGTATGTTAGGGCCCGATATAGATGCATTAGAGCGCGGGGGCAGAAGGGTTGGGTAGGGGGTTGGAACTGCTGGCCTTGGGGATGGCGAATTTTCCGTGAGCGGCTGCACTTTTGAAGGAGATGGCGGCATCATCAAAGGCGCTGGTGTAGCAGCTGCTGCCAGATCGCGACGGCGTGACAAGCCCGCCGGTGGTGGTGGCAGCACCGGCGAGGCGGAATCTTGAAGCGCATTTTTGACCGTCCTAGGACTCTGGTTGGCATTCTTGCTGCTGTCATTGACCGCCGGCTGGGAGCTGAACGCGTTGTCCAGGACGGGTATATTGCCCTTAATGCCCATAAGTGACCAGCGCAGGTACCGTGAGATCTTACGGTACGCAGAACTGATGCCGGGAGAGGCAAAGCTTGAGCTCATGGCTAGCATCTGTTCATTTGACAGCAGCAGCAGGAGACAGGGTTCGGGCAGCAGGGATCAGGTTTCAACGGGGATCGGCCGCGAGCCAGGAAGACGGTGGGTTGCTGACAGGGATAGCGAGGCTGGGACGATTTTTCCGATTGAGCTAGAGGGCCGCAGTTGTGGAGGGGACAGAAGTACATGCGAATGAAAATGTTGATATGACATGGGCGACAAGCAAGTCAGCCGTGCTGAGTACGGAAACGTCCGCGCTGGCTTGATAGCTTCACACGCATGTTGGTATGCTTACGGTCCCTTTGCTTTCGACACAATTACATTATGTGTGTTACACCTTGGGGGAGTAACACAAACCAAGGTGTAAAACACACACACACACGCATATACACACAGTTCAAGGGCCACTTCTTGGCCTGTTGCCGTTGCACGTAAAAGGCGTCCCTGGTAATAACGTCATGGAAGGAAATGTTTACTGACGGCCGCCCTGGGCTTGCACAGCTAAGTGAAGGAAATGGAACATGTATGGGGAAATGGAGGATGCAGCAAGGATAAACATCTAGCAGCTATCATCTGCACAAACCAATATCAGTAAAATCTACGATATCCTCCTTTCATCGCCAAGCAGCATGCGGCTACACGGCCGTCAGGGGAAACTTCTAGTCGCAAAAAAAAAACCAAAGAACGATCATCAGCAAAGGTGCATGCATGCGCGCGATCCACGAACCAATTACCCGTTAGCCGACCTGAATGTGATACGCGCTTTGCAGCATTGACGACTGTGAGGACACCGAGGACAGAGCCGAAACCGAGCCAGTTACGGCAGTCGCGGCTAGGACGCCTCCCAAAACTGTTTTCGTGGCATCACCAATGCGTTCCATAGCAGCCTCACGGGCATTCTTCTCGAGCTGGGTTTCAAAGACCAACGACCTGCCGAGTGTTCATAGAGCACATGTGTAATTTATAATTCGTATGCACACAGGTGTAATTTGTCTGTCATCACCTGCATGAGTAATACGCCTTCTTGTATGCGAATTCATTCACTATGTCACCTCGCGGCATGCATACTGTGTATACTGCGCACTAGACTGTGTAGTACACACGTCTGTGCGGGCAACTAGATGTAAGTTTCGCCGGCCCGAGGAACCTTCAACTCAGGCAGCAGGGCCCGCCGTAAATCCTGAAAATCCTGTTCGCTGCGGGGGCCTCTGTGGAGCGAGATGCTTAGGAGTGCTGTGGAAGTCCGCACGTGGAGCCAGTAAATAATGAGCTCCCACCCACGCATACATACATACATTCACACTGTACGCTAACTTGTCTCGGTCGTCACACCGCACATACATGTGTAGGATAGGCATTGGCAAACATGCTTGCATACGGAATAACGGATTAATTCATTTATCACGAACGAACGAACGTACGAACAACCGCGAGAGCTGACATGTACCAAACCACATGATAAGTCTCCAGTAAGAGGTAAACCAAATGAAGCAAAGGCAGCGGTGTACGAAAACCAGCACTTGACACTTGAGCCCAATAACTCACGTGGTGCTCGGATTACCCGTGGTGTCCTTCACAGCACCGGCCGGGAGGGTCACGGACGGCGAGCCGACCTCCGGAGCGTACATGACTGCTAAGCATGACCGCACATAAGATTTGCCAGCTGAGGCTGTAACGTTGACGACGTCCTCTGTAACTGTCTCCTGCCCGCTGGATGAGCCGACCACTTCCAGCGATCCCACGGTCTTCACCAGTGTCATTGGACTCGAAGCCACCATCATCAGCGAGCTTACAGCGGCGGTAGCGGATTCATAACAATCGGCACTGACGAGGTAGACATCTTTGTTGAGCTGCAAAGCGGAGGCCAAGTTGAATTTCTGTACGGGCTCGGACATGTTGAGCAGGACCATCAAGTGTCGTATTGATGGCAGAGCGGAGCTACCAGTAAGTGAGGCGAGCTCGCTAAGGACGACTGTGTTGCTCGATACGTAGAGGGCCCCTGTGATAGCAGGCGGGTCCATGTCCACTACAACCCAGCGATACCAGACGGCGTCTCCAACCTAGGAAGGGTGTAGATAGGGAGGAGCACGCACGCAATCACCGCGTGTTGAGTTACAACATGATGTGTTTTACGCGCGTGATGACGGTGCATGCATGTCAAACATTGGAAAATCTTTCGTTTGAAGTATAACCAAGGGGAGGAGAAAATGTACGTATACATACAATAAGCCTGAGATATAAAAATCTACAGACATGTAGTACTCAGTACTACAGGCTGCTGGACGTATGTAAGGTAGGCCTTCCAGCCCTGTTGGAAAGGACCACCGCGGAAGCTATGCATGTGTTTTATTGAATATTCAATTCAATGTGCCTGGCCTGGTATGGTGGCACCACGCACTGCACTTAAGCAGTTTAAGGTCCTAGTCGCAGTGGGTACGTACCTATAGCAGGACAGCCATTGTCACGTGGGCTTGCATGCGTGCATGCATGCATGCATGCGCGGAGCGAGAGCGAACCCTGCTCAGCTCACTCCCAAGCCATCAATACATACCTGGATCTTGAACAGGTAATCACCATTGGACCCGGGATCTAGCCTCCATGCCGCCCCAAGACCTGGCCCCTTGTCATACGATCCTTGCACGTCGCTTAAGGTTCCGTTATCGGTCACCAACGCAGGTGATGAGGGCAGCGCCGATGACATGACGGTTACCTCCTGTCCATGTGCCACAAACCAGGGATCAGCCGCCCAGCCGTGCATGTACAAACTTCAAACCCCTACCACTTACCTAACCACCTAGCCACCTAGCTAACCAGCCACCCAGCTACCCCGCTGCAATTACGAGCTTAATCCTTGGCGAGCGAGCAACTAACGCTTGCTGGTAAGGGATCAGCCTTCAGCTTGCCATTTTGGGGCCCAGGCTCATACACCTTTGGAGGGTGTAACGCAATTCAAAACACACACAATATGTGTAGGCCGGCCTACGCCCAACTTGTCTTAATAAGAAAGGGTATCTTGATACTGTTGGGCCCATCTACTCTTGTGTGCCCCGTACATACTCCCGCATGCATGCATGCACCAAGGCAGAACCCAACCAACAAAACGCCTGGATCGCGATGCCTTGCCGATGATGATACTGTCTCTCTATCTACCTTCAGACCTTCGCGCCCCAGCTTGATACCCTGAGGAAGACGCTCCTCCAGGGAATTGGCTGTTGGCGGTGGTGAGAGCGCCGCCATGCTAGCGCTATCACGGCTGCTGCGCGCGCTAGCTGTGGTGTTAATGGCATAATTAATAGTTGAACTGCCGTTGCTGGTATCGACAAACGATGTGGTCTGTGGCCCACGGTCAGCAGCTGTGTCGATGTCCACAGCCGTACCATTAGGACTCTGTGTAGTTGTGTTTGTCTCAGCGGGCTCTGGCGTCTCAGGGCGGCTGCTGCTGCTGCTAGCTTGCTGGGTTTCTGGGGCATCGCCGAAGACAGATGATGCACCTCGTGCAAGCGCAGTGTACTCAACAACACAACCGCAGACCTTACAATATAGAGCTGCAAGGTCCGGGACAGCTATTGCGATGTAAAAGGGTCCTCGCGAGATCACAGGTATTGCAAAACTGGCTTGCGTGCTGGTCAGGAAGCAATCTGCGGGCGGTGGAGGGGGCGGTTGAGGTGGACTGGGCAGTGGAGGCTGTGGCTCTTCGTTTATAGTGATAATCGATGGGTCCGTTGGTGTCCCTGGCATAGGTGGCGAAGGATAAGCAGATGGAATAGCGGGCGGTTTGGGTGGTAAGGGCAGCGACGGAGTTTCTGGTGGTGGCGGGCGCGGGGGAAGATGTGGTCTCCAAGCCCATGCACTGTCCCATTTTCCTGGAAGACTCGGGAACGATGGTGGCTGAGGTGGAGCATTGGGCAGCATTGGCGATATTCCAGGTAGCGGTGGAAAGACGGGTGGCCGTGGCGGGGCAAGGTCGGGAGCCTGCTGTAGGGCCTGAGGTGGAAATGGCGGGGCAGACGGGGCATCAGGTGGCTTTGGTGCCAAAGGTGGTAACGGTGGTGCTGCTGCCCGTGGTACGAGCAGTGCACTCCCCTCACAGAGCTGCGCTCGCTCGTACGAGAGGCCGTAGTAGTCCCATGGGCCGCTTGTCCCCGAGGGGCCCGTGAGGGTGTAGTTGCGGGCTGCGAACTGGTCGCTGAAGGTGTCCCAACAGCATTTGCCGTCCGGGGCGATTATGTTGGTGTAGCCAGCTGCAGTTGCGGACAGTGTGAACCGTTGCAGGTTGTACGTTGTTTGGGAGTGGAATACAAACATAGGGAACATGGCGAAAGGCGGGTGTCCACATGAAGTGCGCAGAAAGTGCGCATGAAGTAACAAAGTTGCTAGGGTTGGATTTAATTTATTCCATAATTGTGAGGCGCTGAGACCAGACCCCCCCAGACCCCCCCAGACCCCCCCATAAGTTACAACTCCCCTTGTAGACCAAGAATTATGCACTGAGTTGGCGCGTTGGCTTTGTGAGGACCGGTCATACATGCTGCAATGCCGCGTTGAGTCACGGGCGTGACCTTCTTACGGCCCCTCATATCTATTCTATGATTAAAAATACTAAATTCTGCAAACTACGGAGCAATCTGGCAGCAATGGACGTTTTTGGCTGGAGGAGTGAAAATGTACGGGTCGGCCTCAGTTTATTCCTTTTTTCCAAAGGCCAAAATGCCTGTTTATTCCTTTTAAGTAATATATTACAATCGATAAGATCGATTTTTAAAGTAATATATTTAAAAAAAAAATCGATTGTGAACTGCAAACACCATCGCCGCGGTGGCCCCAAAAGTTGGCCACCATCCGTGCTTTGCACCCTTTTTTTCACGGTAGGACCAAGTAAGGGTTTTAGGTGATAAGGGTTGCTATTAAAGCATGCGTATGTGGGAAGCTCGGGGGATCGGAGTGTGAGCGGCCGAGGCATCCTCATTCTTTGACAGACGGTATCGCTCACCTTCTCCGGTACTGGGGTCGTACCACTGCCATCCGAGGCCATCCATGTCGTACACCGTGACGTTCCATTGCGTACCCTTGTTAGACCAATCGATTGGCCCGTAGTAGCGCTTAGGGAGGCCCCAAACCGCACCGTATGGTGTTTGGTAGGTATACCACTGAATCTGGTACGACACAATCCTGTCAGTGGGAGTGAGACACTGTCACTAAGCGACCATTTTGATCAGGATGAGAGGGACGGTGTTAACAACATGCATGCATGCGCTCCAACCAGCCTCACTACTCGGTGATCATCGCATGCTCTCCTGGTGTGGTCCAGCGAGGTCTGCTGCTACTTTCCACATGTACAGGCCTCCACTGTACAGGCTGGCACAAAGTAAGGCCTTGCCCGGCACCTGGATAAAGGCGGTCTAGTCCTTAACAATTGATAACAAGCACGAGTCCGCAGCTCCGTGATAAAGTCCATATATAGTGATAAGCTCCGTCCACCCGGCCCTTGGTTTAAGAGTACGCAGGGGGATCACTACTGCTGATCTTAAGTGCATAGTAAGATGGCCTGCTGGTGGCCCGGAGGCCTAGCGACCTAGGTCGACACTATTAGCCCCAACCTAAATCACAGTGACTACAGAGAGGGTGACCGGTCGAACTCACCTATGCCAATCTTTGCAGAAGTTGGTGTGGCCTGTCAAATTGCTGAACGGCACAACGGGAAACAGGGGAGTGGTTGTTGCTCAGCAAATCTGGTCATTTCAAGACTGAAACAAGGGAATGTGCGGAGCACAACTTGTACACAAATCGCATGTTGGACGAGTATAAGGAGCTGCGAAAGGCTGACCTCCCGTTGCAGTTCTAGCGCTACCAGCCTGAGGCTTTCGTTCCCTTGCTTCGCAATCCCTCTTTACATTGTTCTCAGCTTGGTCATCATTAGCCAGGTGCTGGGAATGGGCCCCTCGATAAGCCCCTCGCCCATCTCGTCGCTCAAATCCCTGCAAGTGTACCAAAGGCACGCATGGTTGCAGGCAGGAAGAACGTCCATATACGGATTACCCCCAACTGCTGCAGGAAAAACTTCACTAGTCAAGTCTTTCCATAGTTGTTTCACCCTATGATTTCTCTTTGACGTAGATTGAGACCCCTTCCAGCTAAACGCATGTACCCATCGAGCCCATACGTGTGTGCATGCATGAGCTGAAGGGATGCGTAGCCTTAACGTAACTCTGCCCTCAACACGCGTATGCTAGTTGGCAAAAGTACATACTAGAAACCCACAGATGCTCCAGGTTCTTCAGTAGTGCCCACTCCGCGGGCAGGAAGCCCTTGATCACCGGCTTGCCCTGCCACGCTTGTGTCGGGTGTCGGCCATCATTCGTACGCTTGATGGTAAGGCGCTTGAGTGTGTCGGGCAGGAAGGGCCGGGCAGCCACGGGGTCAACAACTGGTGGGGGGAAGCCTCTTGGATAAGACTGGTTACCGTACTTGATACTCTCTAGCGATTTCTGGAGCTCCTCGCTCCACTCCAGACGTGCTCTGTTGGACCACCTGGTAGGCAGTCGAAGCAAGAGGGAGGGCACGTGTGTCAAACCTCTGTTATTGGATGCCACGGACGGGAAAGACCGACAGGCGGTGACCAGATCGATTAGTGCACGTGTTGCTCCTGCTTGCCGGTCACAGTTCACGGATGTACGTATTTATGATTCTACGGCACATCTCCGCCGTGCACTGCATCCTTACTTCCTTTGTTTCCCGAGCGCATGTTGCTCATCTGCAGGTTGAATGTCAGCCGCATCTTTTGGGACCGAGCGCCGACCTCAGTGGCATGCATGACTCGCTCGGGGTACAACGAGCGAGGCCACGTCCTTTGTACATGACTTACATGTCCCTACCTACCTACATATTGAGTACGTATCGAGTGCAGTGGGCTGCAGCCTTTCCTAAAACAGAGTTCAAATGGAGAATCACTGCTTGCGCAATGACGTATGTATGTATGTATGGTACTTCAAGGAAATACTTGCTGGATTACTACCGGCTATAGCTATTATCAGCAGTGATGTGTGTATGCAACATTCCCGGCGTCAGAATACGGCAGAACAGGGATATATATACAGACAAGTACAGCAGGCGAGCTAGCAGCAGCAGTTCGCTCACTCTCGTTCGTACCTCATGGCGTTGAGCTCCGTGAAAGGCGCAAACAGACATTTTTCCAATGCCACAGTGCGGAGCGCCAGGTTAGGGTTGAGACTGGACACGCTGCGCTGCACCAGCGCTCGACCCAATCCACATGGATCTGTTGGCAGTTGGGTAAACGGCCACACGGCCACACGGAGTGCACACCTAGATTCACCAGGAGGAGTCTTACAGAGCCATAAGAACAGAACTGCACGCGTGCAGTACCGTACGGTACATGCGGCACGCTAACCAGCAGAGATACTGCGTTTTATCTTTTTTTGAAAGGCTAGCATTTTGCTACAAATTGCGAGAAGCCCATGTCCTTGACGGTTCGTAAATCGTCATTTTTTCAGGTAGTTCCGTCCGCAGCGCTTATAAACGCCTCGAAGTTAGCTGCCGTACTTCCCCCGGTCCCCCAGCCTGGCCACCATGGGCCCCTCACGACTGGTCATGCCCTTAGCGGGCGCTTCGTCTCCCCCAGTCGGACGGCTGCGTCCACAGCCCCTTCCCCGCCTACGATCTCTTCCCTTTCCCTCCATTTTTTTGCCCTCCCGGCAGCCATGCTTTTGCCTACATTCCCCCGCTCCACTCTTCATGTTGCTAACCCCCGTCCCTATCGTATCGCCAGCACGGCTTGCATTCTTTCCCCAGAAAGAAGAGGCGCTACTCCCGAGCGCGGTACTTGCGGCTGTGGGGTCCAAACATATACTGGCCTGCTGGCTATATTATAGCGTGCACCCTTATGATTGCCCCTCCAAGATAGCTGATGATGATCGCCGCGAAGGTTGTGCTGCGGCACTGCCTATGGGACACCGCACGGCTTCTGGCTGCGGGCGGGCGAGGCCCACTACCAGCCGCAGGATCACCAACGCCTAAACCTCTCTACACATTGTGCCTGTGGATTGTCGCCAGCCAGATTCCATCTAAGGAGTCCTTCACTGTCTATGTCCCATGTGGCAAATGTCACCCAGAACACGCACGAAATAGGTCTTAAGTAAACATAATCAGAGCAGAGTCCTTAGGATATTGTGTCAGGCTGAAATCTCAATCACTCTCGGGTGTTCAATTCTGTGGCAGGGAGCATTATGCACCTCGTAGCTAACTACGAAGGACACCTGCAAAGCTAGCCCATGGTGTCACAACAGCTTACGTAGTCATCAGTCTCGACCCATCTTTACGCTCTTTACGCTAGCTCAGGTTATCAGACAATGTCCTGCCAGGTCCATAAGCAAGCCGCTACGCACTCCAACGCAAACTTTGCCACGTTAAATTCACCCTTTAGTGCAACCCTCGATTACCTACCGAGCATCATCATAAAGTAGCTAGATGCAAGATTGTATGCCACTTTCCCTGGAAATCCGAAATCTGCCATGTCCGCTTTTCGGCCATCCATGCGGTCGCAAATCCACGTGGAGGGATCGAAGCTGCATGATGGGCACACGCAAAACACGGAGAACACGGAGTAGGGGTGAAGGCAGATGGCGCTTTAGATACTTACGGCCATTAGATCGATAGATAAATATCAGGCTTGATTTCCAACAAAAAGAGTTTTTTGCCTGCAGTCTCTGCAATGGGGATCGAACCGTCTTGCGCCTGCATAACCCAAGCGTGCGGTGTCAAAATAACGCGTCAGCGACATTATTCGCCTCATGAATATGCTCAGGATACGGCCAATAACAAAGCTGAACCTTTTTATTACCGTACGTACGTCTTATATTATGTGAGGAAGGGCGCGTTAGCATGCATAGAAGCCCACTGTACAACATTCACCACATTATTAAGGAGCCCTTAAAACCGACCCCCCTACATGTCAAATGCTGCGCCATTAGCTCCACTCCGGTCCGGCATCACGGCAAGGAGGTTGTGCACAGGTCGGAAGTAAACGTCCTCAAAGTAACTGTACGTGGGCGGTTTATTAGGGTGCGTGACAAAAAAGATCAGGACCGTGCCAGCCATAGGAAAGTATTTTTACGTCCATTAATAAAGAACCCTGAAATATGTAGCGAATGCAGCACAGGGGAAGCTGCGAATGTCACATGGGTCTTGTGCATCTATATTCTCGTCTCTTGTGCACCCGTCTTGTGCATCTCGTGTCTGCTTAAACTGCTTTTGTCGCGTGTCAGGCAGCACGGGGCGCACAATTATGAAACGGCCATGACAATCGAATAATGGGATTGCGCGCCGTTACGAAGTAAGCGCGCTGCCAGCTGCAGATTGTTAAGGTGCTTACTGCTGGGACGGTGCGTGTCGGGTTTAGATGACAACTTCGGCAGGCATCTGGATGAAATGAGGGATGACTTTCGACAGTAGTCCGGAAACAATAGTTAGGCCGCCCACACCCGGCCCTACCCCTTCACGAAGACTGCTTTCATTGCTTGCAGGTATTTTCTTTCTGTAACGAAGACTTTTCATGAAAACGCAAAGAAGGAAGGGGAAATGATCGCACAGCCGCAGTAGCTGCACCAGTGGAAAAATAACATGCAGAAATTCCTTGCTTGCATGCGTGTCGGACCCTGAGTAACCTTCCCTTCCTAGTTCCTTCGATGTTGCAGTATTCTGGGCTTATCACGAGAGCCTATCACGAGATGTGCATCGGTACTTTTCTGAAGTCATGATATGATAAATGTACTGGACCTCATCCGCATGCATGATCAGCAATGCACTCCGAGGCGCTAGAAATCCCCTGATAAGCAAGCTCGCTCACATTTCCTCCAGCGGCAGACACACCAGGTCATCCACCAGGCTGAACTCGGGGGGTTCTGTGATGTTGATGGAGGGATGGTGCCACGCGGCCACGTGGCGGAGCGAGCTACACACATACAGGCGCATTGAGATGGGGGAAAGAATGGTGTCCGTGTGTAAGTATGGCCATCCGGCCTTACAAATACAGGGGCGGCTTGTCCAGGTAAGCGATAACACTGGGATACCACACATACCGCGGACCAATGATTGCACCGGTGGTTGGTATATATGTCAATCTATAGGCTGTCAGTCACCCAACCGTCGCCGTGCTTGCTTGGCCTTGGAAAGAACAAGCCGGCCACCCAAATCAGGTTGATGCCAGCGGTGAACACTACTCTATGTAGCTACCCTCATTTGACGGTGCGATAACCACGGTGAAATTATGAAATGTCTGACATTGATTTTCCCATTATAAACCAACCACACTCTTAGGCACCACAAGGGCGGGCATTCGCGTTCTGTAAGCGTCGTCGCACGCCACACACGCACATGCGTTGGACGACGTTCCGAGGGGCGTGAGCCTGCCTGATGTCGTTGTAGTACATAATACGCCTGGCCGTTTCACTGCGATAAAATGTGCCAGTTATGTGGAATATTGCTGTTTCGTTGACCCTCTTGCAAGATACCGCCAGGAAGGGGTCATCCGCGCCACGAGGTGGTGAGGCTCCTCGTGCAATGTACGCGTTGAAGTCGCACACGCTAGGCCGTGGGACCGGGACCCTGCACTTCAGGTTAGAGACGTTCATGCTTTTTGAGTGGACAGAGAAGGGAAGCACATTCGCCGGAGTAACTTCCACCCACCGGGATGGATAGCTGCTGCACCAGGGGGGTGATGTATCCCCAAAGACTTCCAGCTGGTCAAGGAGGTTGAGCAAACAGCAGGTGGTATCGGGGTCGCTGAGAGCCATACCTGAAAGATGGTGTGTAGACACGATGGATTTGGTTGGAGAGTTAAGGTTTCGTAGTTTCTACTTTCAACAAAATTGGCAAAATGTCCCATGACACACACACACACACACACACACACACACACACACACACACACGCGCGCGCACACACACACACACATACACACAAACACGCACGCACACACACATACACACACACTGCTGCTGACACGGTGCGGCGCAGTGTGCAAAAACTAACAGCCGGGTGCTAGAAGGCAGCAGCCATCACGCGTTTTTAGAGTCTGTACGGACAAGAACATACCTCCTGGTTCGCAGTATGCTTGGGAAATACAGTCGGGTGCACACTCAGCGGCGGACGCGTAGTACTGCGTTTGGCAGCTGCTAATGCAGCGCCAGGGTGCGGTGCCGAAGCCTATGCGGGTGGCTACTTCCGGCTGGCTCCAAAAGCTTGTGTTGCCGCTGAGGAGGAAGCGGAGGACTGCCTTGTCTGCATGCACAGGACCCGAGGGAACACACAAATCTCATTCATGGCTACTATTCACCAGCAGTGCAGACGACGAACGATGGAAAGGTCAGGCGGCATCCATCTTACGTTGCTCATTTAAGTCTTCAGAAGGATCCCACGGGCCGTACGCTGCCAATTGACTGTTAGCGGTGCTGCGTGGTAGTAATGGCCCTGCCAGCAAGCAGCATAGCAGCAGGATGGCGCTAAGCTGCTGTGTCCTTTTCCTAGGGAGACCCAGGCATACACGGCTGCTGATGAGAAGCACTTCCTTGTTAGTCGCCAGCTGCATGCTGCCAGCAGGTTGTGGGCCGTGCATGGCTTGTCCACACAGTAATTTAGCCAGTATCGATTTACCCTGCTGAGACGTCGCGTCATAGCAGAGGTTTTCCGATTGCATTTACGTCTATCGTGTAAAAGGCTGCCTGCGCATGTAATAATGTGATAAGGGGCCAGGATTAGAAAACCAATAATAGGCTGTGCTTTAAATATTGGCTGGGTTGGGCGATCAGCGGCAACAATAAGGATATGGATCGGTAGGGCTGAATACGTTAAAGCAAGGTCAATATGTGCCCATGAATTTCTGGGGTGTGCTGACGCAAGTGATGCTGCATTTCCTTACCGCTTAGCCCCCCAGGCAACCTTTCCCATCCTTCACATTCTGCAAAAATCATGATACGTACAGTAAATTATTTGCGACATTTCCAATATCCGTATTGTTACAGGGACTTTCGCTTTTTTATATATGCCACATCAGAATTACACCAATAGCAAGTTTAAACCAGGGTTATGTCGAAAACCAAGGAACGCCCTACCTCTAACAGGACAGGCAACGGTACCCTCCCTTCAACTGACTTTCCGGCTGCCGACCTCCCGTTATCATTGCCGCTTCGCAGTCAAACATATGTGATGCAACAATATACATTCAATTGTAGCTAGCATTTTGCATTATTTCAATAAACATTTTGGGTATGGCGCTTCTTGCATTTCTGTAACGTTGCATTTTCTGCCGCCGCGCGAGCAGCGGCGCAGGTTCATACTCCTATTAACTCGTTAGCGGGTTTTTAAGCTTCAATAGAATACATGAATAAATTTATTATTAATTATTGATAATTCTACGATAACATCCTGGTCCTTTATGGATGTTGAAGTTTCAGCAGCAGCGGCTCGTTCTTCAATGAATGATCGCGCTTATGGAACAACGACCAATCTAATAAGAATAAAAAATATTGAACTTCTTTTGCAGCTATCCACGTATTAGTATTAGAGATAGAAAAGCGAAACCATGCGTACACGTTCGCCTGCGAGAAGTAACCATGGGTTAAGCTGGCGAAATAGTAAGGAAGTTGTAAGGAGCTAAGTAATTGTAACAATACAAATTCTTTGAGTTCCTAAATGTCTATGGTCATGAATGTCGTAGGACTACAAATCATTCGTGCAGGTCACAGCTGCTCTTCGTCAGTAATATTTTTAACACCTATAGGCGACATATAGGTGATTGAAAACTTTACTGATACAAGTTGCGCATCAGCGATAACCCGGGTGCCTCCAAATCAGGCCACCAGCACACTGGGGGCCCCCCACGAAGCACGCAACCCCCAGTGGTAGCGCTAGCTATCAATATAAATCGGGCGGGGCTCTCAATAATGTGCAATATAGATATTATTGCTTCATTCCTCTCAATTAATTGCAATATTTCAAGGGCCAGAGTGTATCAGTCATTCTGCATCCAGTACATATGCATAACCTACCTTCAGCTAGGAAAGGATGCAAGCATTACTCATTCATCATCTTGAGGACCATGGCGAGCTCGAGTCATCATAAAACGCCACAGGCAGGAAGCTCAAAAGGCTACTTTGGAGCGATTGAAGTTTATTTTAATCCAAGGAACACGGTGCTCCGCTGATGCAATGGTGAGCTCAGCACTCGAGCGGACTCGGGGACTGCTGCGTGCGTCATTGCAGCCATGCTAGCTAGCGCACGCTAGTTCACTACTCAAAAACGTTACTCTGCACGCATGCTGATAATTACGCTAGTGCACAAGCAAGAGAGTGGTGATCCATGCATTATGTAATCAATCCGGACCCGAGAAGCTGACCTACTTATTAGCTCCTGCTACGAGTCTATTGCCATTGCCATTTCTGTTACAGATATTGGCTGTGCTCTTACGGCCTGATCGATGAAAAGGCCGCACCGAACAACAAAAACAAGATACAGAAAACCTGCAACACGCGCTATTTATGCAAAAGACGATCCTGAGGACACGGATCGCCGGCCTCAAGTCGTACCACTTAAAACGGCCGTAAGGCCCTACGCCTTAGCTAACCCGGCTCAAGCTTCGCATAGCCCGCATTACCGTAAGTATTACGTAAGTCCATGCATGCATGCATGCTGGCGACATCATGCTATACCATGCATGCTACACTATATATGCCACACCATACGTGCATGCAAAAGAAACGTATGTAGGGCCCTGTTCGCCGCCAGCTCCAACCCAGAGTTGCTCTCTCTGTTTTGTCAATGGCCATTGACAAAGAATCTCATCACGCCCACGTGCAGCCGCTACCTGCGAGGAGTTCCCTCCACAGTGGTTATCAATGTCATAGGTGGTCTATGTTAGCTAGAAAGCAGTAAATGTTTAGCTGTCCAAGTATCTGCACCTGCGCTTTTCACATAACAATGTACCGCACTGATACCTCTCTACATACATGTGGCAGCCTTGTAGCAAGACCCGCATGAGCCTCCACCGCATGCCCTACTGCACCACGCCGCATCATGCTAGCCTATTTGCAGTTTGTGAATGTACTAATGGAAAGGAGCAACATAATGTGACACACAATTTGCGCAACCAGCAACCAGCCATATATTAGCGCTATGCTAGCTCGACTCACTGCAACCAAGCTATCTCCTTATATATTTTAGCATGCTGTTTAGGTTTAACACTGTACACGCTCCTGGCCTAGTCCAGCAGTTTTGGTCTGGGCTGGGATTACCGCGGCTGTGGCCCCCTCCTGCATCACTGATGGCCCTTGATCGTTCTCCACGGGCTCCTCCACTACTTCGACTATGACATCCAGCTTGCACGGTGCTCTTGAATAGGGCTTACGGAACGCGTGGGCCCATGTGGACCCATGCCAGGAGTGCGGTTGTTGTCAGGAGCATGTTCAGCAGGTGCGCGGTTGTCTGGGCTTGTCTCAGCAATTGGATCACCATTGTGGTTGACCCTTAAGCTTATCAAGCCATACCTTGCAAGTCTAAACATACGGTTGCAGCAGCACGCCTTGAAGATGTGAACCATTGTCCACATGCTTCGTAAGCTGGTGAGCAGAGCGAGGACCTTGACGAGGAAAAAGCATGCTGCAGGGGAAACCGCAAAAAATGTTAGGTGAGAGGGAGTAGCACGCATACGTAGTGGTGTCGTGGTGTGTGCTCTTGGCTCGTCTGGTCGTACAAGCGCATAGGTGAAGCTTGCAATGCAAAAATAAAGGTCACATGTGGAAATCATTTGTCCTTGCATATCCTACTATCGTTGGGGCTTCAACACCGAACCGAGCTATTATTGGAGTTAAGCACCCGATTCAATGGGTTTCGATGAGTTTCGATGCACGGCTGTGGCTGTTTGCTCCTGCGTCGACATTTTAACAAATAGTCATCAATGCCACGTATCACATGCATGACAAGTAAGGTACAAATAGGTACAAAAACATGCTGGATGTGCCGGACCAGCAGCAGAACCAGCCACTTCCCGACGACCCCCTCTATCTACACTTACATAACATCAGGTACATGGTGTCACCAAACGAACATAGCCGGTCGTATAAACGCGTTTAAAACGTAAACGAACAGATTTTCGTCAAAACGACCCCTAAACGACCCTCTAAACGACGATACGGAAACGTACGCTAATCGTTAATATCTTGATGGTTTTGATGTTTTTACACATAGCTCTATCATTTCCAGTGGTGTCCGAGGGCGTTAGGCAGCATCCATGTCGGGGGCTGGGCCCAGCAATCAGCATCCATTGGGACCGGAGTTCGAGTATGTGAAGGTCTTGGACGCAAGCAAAGCCAATAAGCACCTGGAGTGTACTATGTGCCATCATAAGTTCTTTGGGAGCGCAACTAGGATTCGGGGACACATCCTCGGCCTGTCGGAGCGAGGTGCCGGCAAGTGCAAGGGCGCCACTCGAGAAGCCATCGACCACATGAGGCGTCTGGACGATGAGAAGAAGGTCGAGGATGCGAAGAAGCGCACGTCTGAGCAGTTTAAAGTATAAGCTAGGTCAGGCGAGTTCAAAGTATAAGCTAGGTCAGGCGTTCACTTGTTTAGAACAACGAAGTGGTATTGATATATGAAGCTTTTATGCAAGTAGGAAAGGTGCTAAAGCCGCCCGCGATAGACTAAGTGAACACTCCATTAGGTCCATCTAGTACATTGCCTAGCGTTCTTCTACCTACGAAGAGATATTACGTATCCGTGGTAACAGCATGAAGCATAGTTGCAAACTGGCGTGCGTGTTTGAGGCGAGGCGAGCGGGTCAACAAGCATGTCCATGGTCAAAAGCTTAGCGCCGGTCATCCCAAACGAATGTAAGCAATCGTTTAGCGTTTCAGTACGGCATCGTTTAGCAGCCTCTCAACGAACGAGACACTCGTTTCGATTCGTTTCGTTTCGTTTCGTTTACGTTTTCGTTTTTCGTTTGGTGACACCATGATCAGGTACGACACAGGGCTTTGCGTTTCCGGTGCAGACTCCATCAGCCAAACAGCACAGGTGACAATGATAACCATTGTCGCGTGGCATAGCAGCTCCTCTACCTGCAGCTGCCATTCTAAGTACGGCCGCCATGTCGCCAAGTAGAGGACCATGGAGCCTTGCAGCAGGAGGAGCAACGCCATCTGCAGCACGCTGGTTGCTTTCAGGCCGAGGAGACCAAAGGTGACCGCGCAAAGTGTCTTGTGCGTCAGGTTCGCCGGCCCAACACTGAGGATCATCTTCGTCTCCCGGCCCACCTGCTTCTCTCCTTGCTGCAAGGAAAAGAAAGTGCACCAAGGGGGAAGAGCGAATTTATTATAAATACAGAGAATGCTCATTTCCCTGGCGGGGAAATGAAGGACGTACGAGATGGAGAAAGAATGAACACCTGCTACGAGCATATCAAAACGGCGCATCTCATCGACGTGCATGTGTCCATCTATATACATACGGACTGATTTGCATGAGTGATGAGGATTACTACTGGTACTGGTCCCCAGTAGATTTCAGGCCTTGGCCATTCCTTGCTAATGGATTAGCCATTCAGCATGGGTGGGACCGTGGGAACGCAATGTTCAGGTATTGGGCTGTTGCAAAGCTTGTTGTACACCTTCAGGCATCTCCCTTCCATAGCGTTACTATGTGACACTTCTCCCGGCTTGGTACTCAAATCATTATATTATCCTTTTAACAAAAGCCCTAGTGTTGCACTTACCCCTATCGCGTCCTCGAAGAGGAATTCAAACCTTGCCAGTATATGACCTGGCGGTGCTATGTGCAGACGCAGGGGCCAGCAGCCAGGCACATAACCTAGCCGATGCATGGGTAACTGCTTGCCTGCGGGTCGATGCCAACGATGTGGTCGGGAAATAGCGTGCATCATGCAATCTGTGGTAGGTACGCGAAATATCCCCATGACGTGTCTGTAGTACAGACCTCTGTACCGTGAGCTATCTCAAGAGGCCAATGCAGTTCCGTTAGGGTAACCTTGTTCTTACGTTTTGGAATTCCATGATAAAGAGGCCCGGGGCAATGTACCACCGAGCGTTCGTGTCAGACCTTTGGCTGGTGGTTCAGGGTATCGTCGCTTATTGTGGGTAAGGAAAGGTCCTTGCCTTCCTAGCCAGCAGTACCTTACTGCCCTTACCT